TATCAGGAGAATATATTTTGCGAGGAGGTCGATGATGCGTTGATGACCTCTTTACAAATCATGTTCTCCTAATAACGCAAGCGTGAAAATTTTCGAAAATTCGTTTCTTATTATTTTATATTATCAGGAGAATATATTTTGCGAGGAGGTCGATGATGCGTTGATGACCTCTTTACAAATCATGTTCTCCTAATAACGCAAGCGTGAAAATTTTCGAAAATTCGTTTCTTATTATCTTATATTATCAGGAGAATATATTTTGCGAGGAGGTCGATGATGCGTTGATAACCTCTTTACAAATCATGTTCTCCTAATAACGCAAGCGTGAAAATTTTCGAAAATTTGTTTCTTATTATTTATATTATCAGGAGAATATATTTCGCGCGGAGGTCGATGATGCGTTGATGACCTCTTTACAAATCATGTTCTCCTAATAACGCAAGCGTGAAAATTTTCGAAAATTCGTTTTTATTATCTTATATTATCAGGAGAATATATTTGCGAGGAGGTCGATGATGCGTTGATGACCTCTTTACAAATCATGTTCTCCTAATAACGCAAGCGTGAAAATTTTCGAAAATTCGTTTCTTATTATCTTATATTATCAGGAGAATATATTTTGCGAGGAGGTCGATGATGCGTTGATGACCTCTTTACAAATCATGTTCTCCTAATAACGCAAGCGTGAAAATTTTCGAAAATTTGTTTCTTGTTATTTTATATTATCAGGAGAATATATTTTGCGCGGAGGTCGATGATGCGTTGATGACCTCTTTACAAATCATGTTCTCCTAATAACGCAAGCGCGAAAATTTTCGAAAATTCGTTTCTTATATTTATATTATCAAGAGAATATATTTTGCGAGAGGTCGATGATGCGTTGATGATCTCTTTACAAATCATGTTCTCCTAATAACGCAAGCGCGAAAATTTTCGAAAATTCGTTTCTTATAATTTATATTATCAGGAGAATATATTGTGCGAGGAGGTCGATGATGCGTTGATGACCTCTTTACAAATCATGTTCTCCTAATAACGCAAACGCGAAAATTTTCGAAAATTCGTTTCTTATTATTTATATTATCAGGAGAATATATTTTGCGAGGAGGTCGATGATGCGTTGATGACCTCTTTACAAATCATGTTCTCCTAATAACGCAAGCGTGAAAATTTTCGAAAATTCGTTTCTTATTATTTTATATTATCAGGAGAATATATTTTGCGAGGAGGTCGATGATGCGTTGATGACCTCTTTACAAATCATGTTCTCCTAATAACGCAAGCGTGAAAATTTTCGAAAATTCGTTTCTTATTATCTTATATTATCAGGAGAATATATTTTGCGAGGAGGTCGATGATGCGTTGATGACCTCTTTACAAATCATGTTCTCCTAATAACGCAAGCGTGAAAATTTTCGAAAATTTGTTTCTTATTATTTTATATTATCAGGAGAATATATTTTGCGAGGAGGTCGATGATGCGTTGATGACCTCTTTACAAATCATGTTCTCCTAATAACGCAAGCGCGAAAATTTTCGAAAATTCGTTTCTTATAATTTATATTATCAGGAGAATATATTTTGCGAGGAGGTCGATGATGCGTTGATGATCTCTTTACAAATCATGTTCTCCTAATAACGCAAGCGCGAAAATTTTCGAAAATTCGTTTCTTATAATTTATATTATCAGGAGAATATATTGTGCGAGGAGGTCGATGATGCGTTGATGACCTCTTTACAAATCATGTTCTCCTAATAACGCAAACGTGAAAATTTTCGAAAATTCGTTTCTTATAATTTATATTATCAGAGAATATATTTTGCGAGGAGGTCGATGATGCGTTGATGACCTCTTTACAAATCATGTTCTCTAATAACGCAAGCGTGAAAATTTTCGAAAATTCGTTTCTTATTATTTTATATTATCAGGAGAATATATTTTGCGAGGAGTCGATGTGCGTTGATGACCTTTTACAAATCATGTTCTCCTAATAACGCAAGCATGAAAATTTTCGAAAATTCGTTTCTTATATTTTATATTATCAGGAGAATATATTTTGCGAGGAGGTCGATGATGCGTTGATGATCTCTTTACAAATCATGTTCTCCTAATAACGCAAGCGCGAAAATTTTCGAAAATTCGTTTCTTATAATTTATATTATCAGGAGAATATATTGTGCGAGGAGGTCGATGATGCGTTGATGACCTCTTTACAAATCATGTTCTCCTAATAACGCAAACGTGAAAATTTTCGAAAATTTGTTTCTTATAATTTATATTATCAGAGAATATATTTTGCGAGGAGGTCGATGATGCGTTGATGACCTCTTTACAAATCATGTTCTCCTAATAACGCAAGCGTGAAAATTTTCGAAAATTCGTTTCTTATTATTTTATATTATCAGGAGAATATATTTTGCGAGGAAGTCGATGGTGCGTTGATGACCTCTTTACAAATCATGTTCTCCTAATAACGCAAGCATGAAAATGTTCGAAAATTCGTTTCTTAATATTTTATATTATCAGGAGAATATATTTTGCGCGGAGGTCGATGATGCGTTGATGACCTCTTTACAAATCATGTTCTCCTAATAACGCAAGCGCGAAAATTTTCGAAAATTCGTTTCTTATAATTTATATTATCAAGAGAATATATTTTGCGAGACGGTCGATGATGCGTTGATGATCTCTTTACAAATCATGTTCTCCTAATAACGCAAGCACGAAAATTTTCGAAAATTCGTTTCTTATAATTTATATTATCAGGAGAATATATTGTGCGAGGAGGTCGATGATGCGTTGATGACCTCTTTACAAATCATGTTCTCCTAATAACGCAAACGCGAAAATTTTCGAAAATTCGTTTCTTATATTTTATATTATCAGGAGAATATATTTTGCGAGGAGGTCGATGATGCGTTGATGACCTCTTTACAAATCATGTTCTCCTAATAACGCAAGCGTGAAAATTTTCGAAAATTCGTTTCTTATTATTTTATATTATCAGGAGAATATATTTTGCGAGGAGGTCGATGATGCGTTGATGACCTCTTTACAAATCATGTTCTCCTAATAACGCAAGCGTGAAAATTTTCGAAAATTCGTTTCTTATTATCTTATATTATCAGGAGAATATATTTTGCGAGGAGGTCGATGATGCGTTGATGACCTCTTTACAAATCATGTTCTCTTAATAACGCAAGCGTGAAAATTTTCGAAAATTTGTTTCTTATTATTTTATATTATCAGGAGAATATATTTTGCGAGGAGGTCGATGATGCGTTGATGACCTCTTTACAAATCATGTTCTCCTAATAACGCAAGCGCGAAAATTTTCGAAAATTCGTTTCTTATAATTTATATTATCAGGAGAATATATTTTGCGAGGAGGTCGATGATGCGTTGATGATCTCTTTACAAATCATGTTCTCCTAATAACGCAAGCGCGAAAATTTTCGAAAATTCGTTTCTTATAATTTATATTATCAGGAAATATATTGTGCGAGGAGGTCGATGATGCGTTGATGACCTCTTTACAAATCATGTTCTCCTAATAACGCAAACGTGAAAATTTTCGAAAATTCGTTTCTTATAATTTATATTATCAAGAGAATATATTTTGCGAGGAGGTCGATGATGCGTTGATGACCTCTTTACAAATCATGTTCTCCTAATAACGCAAGCGTGAAAATTTTCGAAAATTCGTTTCTTATTATTTTATATTATCAGGAGAATATATTTTGCGAGGAGTCGATGTGCGTTGATGACCTATTTACAAATCATGTTCTCCTAATAACGCAAGCATGAAAATGTTCGAAAATTCGTTTCTTAATATTTTATATTATCAGGAGAATATATTTTGCGAGGAGGTCGATGATGCGTTGATGATCTCTTTACAAATCATGTTCTCCTAATAACGCAAGCGCGAAAATTTTCGAAAATTCGTTTCTTATAATTTATATTATCAGGAGAATATATTGTGCGAGGAGGTCGATGATGCGTTGATGACCTCTTTACAAATCATGTTCTCCTAATAACGCAAACGTGAAAATTTTCGAAAATTTGTTTCTTATAATTTATATTATCAAGAGAATATATTTTGCGAGGAGGTCGATGATGCGTTGATGACCTCTTTACAAATCATGTTCTCCTAATAACGCAAGCGTGAAAATTTTCGAAAATTCGTTTCTTATTATTTTATATTATCAGGAGAATATATTTTGCGAGGAGGTCGATGATGCGTTGATGATCTCTTTACAAATCATGTTCTCCTAATAACGCAAGCGCGAAAATTTTCGAAAATTCGTTTCTTATAATTTATATTATCAGGAGAATATATTGTGCGAGGAGGTCGATGATGCGTTGATGACCTCTTTACAAATCATGTTCTCCTAATAACGCAAACGTGATAATTTTCGAAAATTCGTTTCTTATAATTTATATTATCAGGAGAATATATTGTGCGAAGAGGTCGATGATGCGTTGATGACTTCTTTACAAATCATGTTCTCCTAATAACGCAAACGTGAAAATTTTCGAAAATTCGTTTCTTATAATTTATATTATCAAGAGAATATATTTTGCGAGGAGGTCGATGATGCGTTGATGACCTCTTTACAAATCATGTTCTCCTAATAACGCAAGCGTGAAAATTTTCGAAAATTCGTTTCTTATTATTTTATATTATCAGGAGAATATATTTTGCGAGGAGGTCGATGATGCGTTGATGACCTCTTTACAAATCATGTTCTCCTAATAACGCAAGCGTGAAAATTTTCGAAAATTCGTTTCTTATTATTTTATATTATCAGGAGAATATATTTTGCGAGGAGGTCGATAATGCGTTGATGATCTCTTTACAAATCATGTTCTCCTAATAACGCATTTAAAAAAAAAAAAAAAAAAAAAAAAATTTCGCGAACAATTAATGTTCGAAATAATTTACGCATTGCCATCCGCGTTTTGTGGGCTCTTAATGCTCTTTACTTAATTATATTATGCTTTGTTTGTACGAGGTCGATTGAAAGCGGGCAAAAATGTACTGATTCATTCTGGTGCGGGTGCCGTTGGCCTAGCGGCAATCAACATTGCCCTGCACGCCGGCTGCACCGTCTTCGTCACTGTCGGGACAGAGAATAAACGATTCTATCTCAAGAAGACTTTTTCGCAATTGACTGACAAGCACATTGGCAATTCCCGAGATACGAGTTTTGAACAGCTGATATTGGACGAAACCCAAGGCTGTGGGTCGATGTTGTATTGAACTCGTTATCAGAAGAGAAACTGCATGCCAGCGTACGGTGCCTCGCGAAGAATGGTCGCTTCCTCGATATTGGGAAGTACGACATGTTGAATGGCAATCGCATAGATATGTCGATATTTTTAAAGAACAGCTCCTATCATGGTATACTTTTAGAAATGCTGTTCGAGGATAGCGAAGATAAGCTAGAAACTGTTAGGCTAATCTCAGAGGGAATCGAGAATGGTGTAGTGCGTCCATTACCAACGACCGTATTTTCGAAGCAAAGCCTCGAGGAAGGATTTAGATTTATGATGGCAGGCAAACATATCGGCAAGGTATTGCTGAAGATTCGAGACGAAGAGCCACAGAAACATATGCTATCGATGCAAACAACGGTAGCGGCCATACCACGTACTTATATGTATCCAGACAAGTCGTATGTATTGATCGGTGGTCTTGGTGGATTTGGTTTGGAATTGACCAATTGGATGATCACCCGCGGCGCTAGATTCATCGTTCTCGTGTCACGTACTGGAATACGCACTGGTTATCAGATGTCACGCGTGCAACATTGGCGCAATAAAGGCATCAAAGTTATCATCTCTACGGCAGACATTACAGCATTTTCGGGCGCCGAATGTTTGATCGACGAGAGTAATCGATTGGCTCCTGTGGGCGGTATATTTAATCTGGCCGTCGTTTTACGTGACGCTTTGTTTGAGAACCTGCAAGTGGTCGACTTCGAGACTGTAATCTTGCCAAAGGTCAACGGTACGAGGAATCTGGACGTGGTATCGAGAAAGTCTTGTCCATCATTGGATCTTTTTGTTGTGTTTTCGTCTATAGCGTCTAACCGAGGCAATGCGAGTCAATCCAATTATGGTCTCGCAAATTCAGCTATAGAGAAAATCATAGAACAGAGGCATACTGCTGGTTTGCCCGGTCTCGCTATTCAATGGGGTGTTATAGGAGATGTTGGTTTATATATTGGTGAGACATTTCTCTATTTCTTTCTTTGAGATTCAATAATCTTAGATCTTTTTCGGATTTCATTACCCTTTTTCTTTTATTAAATTTTACCTAAAAACTGTTTTCATTTTATTGTAAAAAAATATTCACGTAGTCAACATAATGATTTGTATGACTCTTTGAGAAGATTTATTAAATTATTTATTTTTATTATTAGAAACATTAACAATTTTTATTGGAAGAAATACATACAGTAAAATTATAGAGGAACTATTAGTAGAAGATAATTGCAGACTTATAACGTTATTAAAATTGCAGATTTCTAATATTATTACAACAAAAGCACAAATTAAATATTTAAAGCGAATAATAATCATTTTTTATATTTAATATCATTATACGATACTCTGATTTTTATAGATTCGATGAAGAATAAAAACATCGGTATAACGCGTATTGGTGTTTTACCGCAGCGTGTGTCCAGCTGTCTTGAGACTATAGACGTTTTTCTTCAACAACCATATCCAATAGTATCATCTACAGTGATAGCCGAGAAACACAAATCTGTAAATAACGACGACAGTATTGATCATGTCGTCCATGTCATTGCCAATATCCTTGGTATTGAAAATATCTCGGTAAATATCAATGACAGCTTCGATAAATTTGGCATCGATTCGCTAAGCTATATGGAGATAAGACAGATTCTTGAAAGAGAATATGGTATCTTATTATCGCTCCGAGAGATGTATGTTTTAACGTTAAGTAAATTATTAGACTTGTTAGCGAAAAACGATGTATCTCACAATCCTTCGACAAGTTAAAGAAAAACAAAAATGATCACAAATCTGCGGAGAGAGATATATCCTTTAATTTAAAAAATTTTTTTGTTTAATACTTTTCTTTTTAATATTTGATTTATAATAATGATTTATAATAACGATTTATAATAATGATTATATTTTAGTGTAATTTATGGTGAATTACATATTTTTTTTCGAAACAACTATGAGTTTTTTTTACACCAATTGATTCTTCTCATTATTTTGTACATAAAAGTATTAAAGTAAAATAATCGAAAAATGAATATTTTACAAGATATTTTACGGTTTATGTAAAATTAAAAAATGATTTCAAGCCTCAACTTGGAAAGTACTTAATGAAAACTAACTTAATTATAGTGTTTTGGTAAGCTCTTGAGATGAGCTACAAGAATATGCAAAAGCATATAGGGTGTCCCATTTAAAAAGTTGGAGCTGACCTTCGCGTGTCCTTCAGGTGGCTCTTCAAGATCAAACTAATGACACCATCTTATGTCCCCCTTGAAACCATACAACTTTTGTCTAAAACATTTTGTTGTATCTCACCAACATTCCGAGATATTTTCCATTATAGATTAAAATGGTCCACCCTGTATATATCTCATCGGAAAAAGCGAAAAATATATTTGGAAAATAATAATTGCTTAAAATTATAAAAAAAATATTGATTTCAGGTTAGGAAACTTGACCACTGATACACACACACACACACACACACGCGCGCGCGCGCGCGCGCACACACACACAATAATATAAATATATATTATTCAAAAATAATAATATATGAAATATAGTATATTAGAATGATAATATTATATATATATATGTGTGTGTGTGTGTGTGTTAACATGAAATGAAACACTCATTACTACTGCATTAATTAGTGCAATATTTTTAGAATAAATTTTAATAAAAAGTGACTCCATGTGATTTTGCAATCGTGTAATAATCTTTATATTAGTAGTTGGTAGATTTTAATCTCGATTTTTACCTCGTATGTAATATCTCTGTCCAGATTATATATATCTCGTCGGAAAAGTAGGCTATATTTTTTAAAAATCTTATTCCTATAATTGTTCTAAATTACAAAGCTGTAATAGAGTATATTATATTTATTAATTCGTTAATATTACATAATAAAATCATGTCTAGAAAAAAAAAACGAAATACGAGCAGACTGTGTGTAAAATAATTATCTTGGATGCGCGTATAGAATCATCACATTACATGATATGACATGTTTTATACAGTATGATGGGAACAATTATGTATTATATGATGATTAAATCTACTGTAAATTCGTTCGAAATCAAAGCGTCACAACCACGATGGAGCGATGCGTTACGAGCGACGAAAAATGATTCGAAAAAATTACACTGCATCACGAGTGACACTGCGTTTGAATGTCATCGAGCGTACTTCTGTCGCTCCAGATTTCCCGGATTTGCCAGTCACGGAGGAAGAAGTATTTGGATTTGGCGTCGGACTTTGGGAAAGAGATGCTCGTTCATCGTTGTTGGATTTTTCACGTTCTAGTCGCTGCTTACTGAACTTGCCCATGCCGGGTCTATATATCTCCATTGCTGGACGATCCTGCAATCAAGATAGTTTTTGAATATTTGTAATTAATAAATATGCACATACATATTGTATATACATATTTGATTTATAATCACGTAAAAGAAATGAAAAAATGTTTAACAAAATTGTTGAAGAACTAATTGAGTATACATGTTTGACAAGGAACGTTTACATATTCAATAGCACTAACGATAATAAAAGAATGATAATAACGATAATAAACAATTGAATAATAACTTTGCACAATGCTTCTTGAACGAATATATAGCCTCTTACCTTATTTCGTATTCTGCGTTCCAATCGTGGATCTTTTTTATCCTTTTCTTTTTCTTCATTTTTCTGTAAATTACTTTCACCATCTCCATCTAACGATTTGTGACGTCGCAGACAGCTACCGTCGCCTGCACCACCTTCGCCGCCACTTTCGAGCGAATTTCGCCTCTTCACGACTTTTGATTCTTTCTCCTCAGATTCATCCTCATCGTTTGCATCTATATTAATCTGTTTGTTATTGTCGCAAAATGTTTACGCAAATACCTTCCCCCTAACTTTTCGAAACAATGATTGCATTATATTTCCAACCAGACTCAAATTATTCACTTGAAAATAAATATTCTGCTCTTATCTTCCATTAAAATTTTTATTAAATTTTTCTTAAGATATTAAAAATGAAGGGAGAAAATATATAAATATTGTTCTAAATATGAATAATTATTTCTCACCAGGATTAGATGAACCATTTCCCTCTTCTCCAGTTTCATCCTCACAATTTCGCATCGCGTCCACTGTTACTCGATCCTCGGCAGTATCATGTTGCGTGCATTCGTTGTCTCCGGCATGTTTGAATTCATCCTCCTTATGCACAGATTCTTTGCCATTTCCATCTTCTTTCTCTCGTACAATATCGTAGTCCTCTTTTATCTTTTTTGAATTCACATCATCTCCATTAATATCAACAATCTGTTTCTTCGTTTCAGCTAACTTCTTCTTCTCTTGTCTCATTTTCTCGTAACTCTTTCCGCGTCTTTCCTCCACCTTCCTGTCTCTAGATTCTCTAAACTCCTCCTTCGCCTCGTATCTTCTGTCATCTTTAAAATCAAATCTTCTCTCCTCTCTTACTCCCTCTCGATCATCACGTCTTCCGTAAGGCCTCTTCTCATCATATCGTCGATGCTTTATTTCCTTGTTTCTATCATCGATTCGCTCTCTATACCCTTTAATAATAGGTTTAATCTCCCGGTCTCGCGATAATTTTTCTCTTATTTTTTCATCTCTTTTGTGCCTATTCTTCAATTCCTTTGGCGAAAGTTTATCTCTCTCCTCTTTATTTTCTTTGTCGTCCTTACTCGAGTCTTTATCTAAGTCCGGATTTCTTAAAACCTGTGAAAAAAATAATATCTTGTGTACCTTCTAGTATTTATTATCAATTATCTTATAGACTTGTATTTTTTATATTTTTTATATTTTTTTATCATATTAGTGTACTTCATTGTACAACAAAATGCAAAGAGAACACAATTATCAAATATAAATGTATAATTAGTTTCTATTAAAAACATATTCTTCTCAAAAATTTGATACAAACCAGTTAAAACAATTACAATATTACAATGTATATGTATATATAAAATCACATAAGGTTTTAAGAAAATCATAGATACAAAAGTGTAATTGCGATAAATATATAATAAGCGCCCCTCTCTTAAGGAAACCATCGACGCTGGTCAAACATCGATTTTTCCATATATCTCACGGCGCAGCAGTAGAAGTGATTCACAAAATTAAATTCCTGATTCCCATTCTTTTACATGCTACTTCAAACAGACATACGATTCTTTCGTACTACAACTTTTTCACACGTTAAAGTCAGGAAGAAATTCGCGACTACTAGCGTACATGAAAAATCATATATTTCATATTATTGTATATACTCTAATACTAAAAATAATTTAAATAGAAATAATTATATTTTTTTTTAATAAAGTATTTTTCCTTACATGATCGCCTTTGTGGAAATAGAAATAAGTTTGACAGTTAATTTGATTACTGGCATTTAAATATCGTTTCTTGACATCAAATATGCTTTTAATTGATTTTGTCTTTTTAACATGCTCATAGAATCTTTGATGATTCTTATATAATTTTTCTTGTTTATCTATAAGTCTATCGAGGAAAATGTCCTCTTTGTATATGCTTGCATTTTTGACGAAACATTGAAAAAACGCATCTTCAAATTTAATATTTGTAGAGAGATGTGTTTGATGAGATGTGGGAAAATTGGATGATTGATCGTTTTCCACATTATATATGTGCTGTAGATGAAAATACTTAGTATCAGCAAATACAGTAAAGAATGAAGTATAAACTGTTTTCAAGCTTGATAAGTAATTATTACAAGCAAAATAATTATTATTCCATATCATATTCTATACTGTATTTGTTGTATTCTAATATATCCCAATAATTACTCTACCTTAGAAATAACAGGATCATCTCTCGTTCTCCGTTTTTCTATATCTCTCCTTCGTCTTTCCTCACGTTTCTCATCCCTAAGACGTTGCTTCTCCTGTTTACGAAGTTTCAGATACTCAAGTAGTGGAGTTGTTGTGATTTTCTTTGCTGTATCTATGCAATGTACAATCATTATAATTTTAAAATATTTTTCAATGTCTATGTAATGTCTCCTTACTTAAAGAAATATGTAACTAAAAAATACTCACTGTCTGGTGGTTGATAAGAGTATTCAGTTTTCGATTGAGTTACACTTGAATCAACCTCCTGATTCTTTAAACCTTCCAGGAAGTTTATAAAATACAAATCGCTCTCGATAGTGCCACATTTGAGATCCTTCTTCTTGCCGACTCGTTTCTTTGGTAATCTCTGAAAAGGCGCGAATTCTACTACTGCGGGATATTCCACTCCCTTGGAATCTATAAAGACGTAATTGTCAAACTTCTCCCGAAACATAAAGATATCTTGTTGGTCTATAAAATTAATATAAGCGCGAGAAAACGCGAACTGGCCGAGCGACATGTCGGCTTTCACGAAGTACAAATGATCATGTTCCGGCAATGGTGACACTTGCTCCAAGAATTGATCCTGAGTCATTGTCGGAGGCAATCTTCTGATCACCACCTAAAAAAAAACAATAAATTATAATATTATTTCACATTTTGGAAGATACATTTTTGATGTAAGACGTATGTTTAATATTAACAAATGTAAACTATATAAACATTTGTTTATATTTTAGAATCATTTAACCAGATCCGGCCGGATATGTTTTCTTACATCGATTAACATAACCTTTTGTGTTTACATGTTTATCGAGAAATTAATAAAGAACGTTTATCGAGATAGAAATCCGCATTTATTAGAATTCTGTTGAGACGAACCTTTGTCATAGGACGACATTTTTCCTTTTTGTTGTCTTTGACTTTTCCGATATCTGCCGAATTGATTTGCGTTTCGTTCTGCTGTGCGGAACAGCTATCGTTCTGCGCAGCACCCTCGGTCTGCTGTTGCGTTTCTTCGGTCATTTTGACTGGCGACCTTCCGAGATTTCAGGAATGATCGCTATCGAGATCTTTACGGTCCGAAATAGAAGATATATATACGAGGAGTATATATAATTTAGCTTTTTCGGAGCACACAAGAAGAAAATGTTTCTTTCGACGCTTACGCGATCGCCGCCATCTTTGACAAGGAAGAGAGGAGGAACAAAAAGTGCAGCTAGTTCAAGAGTAAAAAAACAAATATAAAAAAAAGTAGTCTATTTTCGATTCATCGTTGTGTCACACTAGTGAAGTTTAGCTACGAAGAATAAATCTCGATGCGAATTTCGCGGGAGTGACCCGTTTGACAGATTGTGTACGACTACAATCACTCGTATTGACCGATATCTAGGATATGTAGCAACGCTCGACCAATCCGAGAGAATCTTATTTTGAATTGGCCAATTGACAAATGTACCCACGATCGTTTAGTGAATTATTAAAAATCCTGCATTCTATTGGTGTTTTCGAATGATCGGGTTTGACCCAACTCGGGGTAGTTTACTAGACGTCATTAAGCGTCGTCTACAATGAGATTTTTAAGGAGACATAAGGCGTAAGACTTAAGAAATTGACCAATCACAATCGAATATTCTCTTAATACTTGACTGTGATTGGTCAATTTCTTAAGTCTTACGCCTTAAGTCTCCTTAAAATTTCATTGTAGACGACGCATTAACCAATCACAGTCATTCTTTTGAAAAATGTAATTACATTCTTCAAAAGAATGACTGTGATTGGTTAATGACGTCTAGTAAACTACCCCGAGTTGGGTCAAACCGACCATTCGAAAACACCATATGTAATGCAAATGTAAAGACTCATATATAAATTTCATATAAGCATTAATGCACAATAAGCATTAATAATTGAAACAATAAGATAATTAATTCTACAAATTATTATTATATCGTTATTCCTTTTAAATAACATAATAATTAACTCGTAGTATTAGGGATGTTTTGTACCTATTTTCAAAATATTGAGAATTTAATGAAAATTGTACAGAATGTCCTCACATATGTTTAGAATCTAGTACAATTTTTAAATCGATTCACTAAAGCGTTCACAAGTTATAAGGATTTTAATTTGCACCGAATTAATGTATTCTTATGGGAAACGTATCCCACCTGAGTAAGATCAAATTGTAATATTCCACATAATTTCTTACTCAAAATACACCAAAAGTGAATATATTCGTCAATATTGATTTTCAGCTACTTTTTGCTGGAATTATACATACAAGACATCCTTAATTATCATTTTAATTATTTATATTATGAAATCTTAAGAATCAATCATAATAATATCATTATATATATATATATATATATATATATATATATATATAACGCAATTACTTGTTTATTTAATTATTCATGTATATTTTAATTATATTTAAGCAACATAATCTTTTTAAAATTATATATAATGCGATTATTGAACTTAAAAATTTATGATTCTTTTTGTCATCTTCAACTTACTTTTTAATCATTTTTGTTTAGGTAACTTTTAAGTGATAAACAAAATCATGATAACGTCCTAATGATGTCATTATGAGTTTCAGGTTCTACCTGGGTAGCACACTCAATCGAATTCGCTATTAGATCGCCCATCTCAGAGCATCCCTTGGTTTGCGGCGATGCTCGCTTGTTTAAATGGCGCGTCGCGAGAGGGCGCGTCAATCGTCTTGATAGGGGGGCGCCCGAGCGCCAGTTTTCGCGCGGGGCGGGTGTTGTCGTTGTCGCAGGTTTCGCGCGACCGAGAGGTGGAGCGTTTCCGCGGGGGAGCCTTGCTCGTGCACGGAGGACCGCGCGAAGATGCCGCCGAAGAAGCGGGAGAAGGATCTCGACGGACAGAAGGGACCACGTATGGATCAGATCCAGGCCGATCACGAGCTATTTCTGCAGGCCTTCGAAAGTAAGGGAAAAATATCCTTCTCCTCTTCTCTCTCCTTCTTGCTCTCCGTACTCTCTGCCTTCCTTAGCGCCTGTCGGCGGCGCGCGTCGTCTCGTAGCGACGAGCGCCAGCCCTCGCCGATCTTCGCCTTGCGAGAGGATAACCCTCGAGGAGGCCCCTTCGCGGAGGTCGCGTCGATGTATCGTTATCTCGCTCGCCGCCGTCGCGACCGAACCTAACCCCATCCGTCGAGAATCAACTTGGGCGCCCACCGTGGCGCGCGTCGGTTCCTCTCTCTCTCTCTCTCTCTTTTTTCTCTTTCTCTCTTTTTCTTTCTCTCTCCGCGCCCTCCGCTCCGACGCTGAAACGCGCGGACACCTGTCATCGTCCTTTCCCCGCACGACACGCTCGGTTTCCTTCTCTTTCTACCGCAGATCGGATCGCGCGCGATGATTCCTCCTGACGTCGCGAACAGTTTTTCCCGGATGAAATATCCATTTTTTTCATGTAAAATATCTTATTTTTTCCTACGCGAATTATATAAATTTGCGGGAAAATCCAGGCTTTCTTCGACACGGATTACGTGTTTCGTTATAATTGTTGGTTTTAGCGGAAAAATGGCTATTGACACGTGTAATGAAGAAAATGTCTTCGAATGCATATATTTACTTGTTTATGTTATGTTTTGCGTTTGCCACATGTAAAATGGGAGCAGTCTCAGTTTTATTCATAGAATATGAAACGTGCATCCAAATTTTATTTTTGTGAGTCTTTTAAAAAGATCCTTCAGATACACACATAAAACTTTACAAATAGAATAGAAAAGTGTGGGATCAGAGAGGTTTTGCCTGCTAGTGTCGTAACAAAGTAAGGGATGCAGGCGTCTCAAATAATTTTGAGTAAAACCCATTCATCATTTCCCATTTGAAACTGAATGAAGGATCAGTTTTTGCATCGTACACTGCTTCCTTTAAATGCTTGTGAATGTATTCTGAATTCGAGATAAGAGTCAACCTTGTGGCCATCTGTAGATTCGATTTCGTACTAACAAAGTGATAGAAATAAAATTTTTTTTTCATAAGAACTTAATTAAAAAAAATAATGTTTTGTACGTTTAAATAATTTTATAAACTACTTAGTTTATTTTTAAATATCGTACAATTATAATTGTTTAATTATAATTACTTTTTCATAAATATTTTATAATTTATGTTATCTATATACATTTATTTTTTTATCTGTATACATATTTAATAATTTTTATATTATCATAATTATTTATATCTTTTTCAATTATATGCAATAATTGTATAATAGAAATTTATTTCTTTTTTTTTTTATTTTTATATTCCAAAGCTGCAAGTTTGTAGTCAAATTAAAAAAGAAATTTTATTATAAGAGTAATTTAAATTGAGGAAGAAATTTAAGATTTATAAAATTTATGTTAAAAAATTTGTATTATTGCTTTTTTAAAATTTATATTAATGCTTTTTTAATTTTCATAAATTCATATGAATAACACTTCTAACAAATAATAAAAATTATTGCATTTGATTCTAAACATATAATCAGAAAGAAAAATTAGTTTATTTCAAATATTCTAACATTTCACAACATTCAATCGGTATTTATTATAAAACATCTTTATTGTGAAACATCTTAATTTCTACTTGTAACTTTAATTTTTTTATTTTCAGAACCAACGCAAATATACCGGTTCCTCCGCACAAGAAACCAAATTTCAGTGAGTAAACAATAATCCATTTTAATTTCTTTATCTTTGTGTCATATAATTTTAATTTGCGTTGCCCTCAAAGTGTTAATTATACATCATATTTTTGCTTCTGTTATTTGCATATAATTTTTTTTATATGCGTCTTTGGTGTAGTAAAAGTTCTTAATAAAATAAAAGTATAAAAGTAAATAATTAAAATGTATGCACAATGTTAAATTGAAATTTACCAAGCATTTGCTAAAGGTAAGTTAAAATATATTTTTTTGACCGAGTCGAGATTTATATTTTTACACACTTCTCAGAATTGCTGTGTGTAAAATTTGTATAGAATGTGGTAGGTATAAAATTTAAGTACAAGATATTACAAAAATTTAAATTATTGGGAGACTATCGAATATTTTGTCCAACTTTTGGATAAACTTTATGGTTTTTTTTTTTTTTTTTTAGCCAATATTTCTGTACAGAAACTTAACGTATATGCGGCAACGTATGTCCAGAAGTCACAAATCACGACGAGGATTTAAGATTGACACGATTCTGGATAAGCTGTTAGCGAAAAAGAAACAAGAACAGAATCTCGGCGTTCGCGGATATATGACTCTTACGTTTCTAGGATTTTATGACAAAAGAGGTACATTTTTTAATTACGTTTTACCCTTTTTTTCATCCTAGAAATTCAGACAATATTCGACGAGGCATTTCGCATAACGATTATATGTTTCTTAAGTTTGTGATGTGTAATTGTAGTTGAGATATCGCAAGATCCAGTCAAAGTGGAAACATTGTTGTTAAAAATCTGCCACAAGAAAAGAAAAGATGTCAGTTCGCCTATCATGCAAGTAAGTTTTAGTTTATATTGGATTCAAGATAATAGTCCTATGTATAAAAGTCATAGTTCTATATACACTAATGTTCAATCAGATTTTCTATTAATGCTATATTCTCGATATTGAAATGGTCCATTTGTTTAGGTTTCAGTCGGTACAAGCGAGGTCCCAATCAATCCATCAGAGAGTCAGCCTCCGCCGAAGGCACCCACGATTTCCATACCTAACGAATCTTTTAGCTTAAACAATGGTCACATAGCGAAAACTTACATGCTCTTGCTCAGGGTTTATTGCATGTCTAACAATGGCTGCCTTATAACTAACTGTGATTTAGAAGGTATGTACGATCGCCATCTAAAAGTAATATCTGTATACTTCAAATTGTTAATTCTTTTTAATTCAGAACCAGCTCAAAAACGTCGTAAATCATCTACGGGTTCGATCAAGACTGCCGGTGATGAAGTAAAACAGTATGGCTCGGAGCTCACTGTCTATGACAAACACAATCGATGTTTGTTGACGGATGGCGAGTATGAGTTAGGTTTGCAAGAGGTGCAAACCAACGTTAGGTCCAGTCCTAAGAAACATAATTCTTGGGAAACTGTAGTCGACATCAAGGATTGCGAACCGTTCGAGATGTTCAAGCAAGGACCGACATTGAAGTTCCGGCTCAGCTGGACCATGGAACCAAGCAATGGTTTAGTGGACAGACCGACGCCAATACCTTCGATACCGAGTGGCGACAATAAAGAAAATCGATCAGCCAACGGTTAGTTGTCTTCATTTATCATGTATGCGTGCACGTAAATTTACGATATTGTAATGTGTTTGCAATAATCATACAAAAAAGAATTGCGATTAACAATGTTGTCGTTATTTTTTTAGCTGGTTTCGAGCGTTCCTCTTCTGTAAATCATAATAATAATAGTAGCACAAACAATAACAATAACGCGACACTGCCAACGCCTAGTCCGCTGACACCCTCGAGGATGAATGTCTCCAACGAAAAAGTGGACGCTAACGCTAACGCTAACGGAATTCAGCAGATAGTCTATCAATTTTTGTACAATAATAACAGCCGGCAACAAACGGAGGCCTGCGAAGATCTACACTGCCCCTGGTGCTCGTTGGATTGTGGGAAACTGTACTCTCTATTAAAGCACTTAAAACTGTGTCACTCGCGATTCACATTCACATACGTGGTAAGTTATATAAATAATAAGTATAATTTGCATTTACCTATAACGAAAAATATTGTAATTTCTGGGAATTTGGATTCTCTTATTTTTCAAAGATACAAATAATGTTCTTGAAATATTAGAGATTTTGCAGTTACAATATTTTTTTATGGATATTCTTGATATGTAAACTTATGTTCGAAGAGAAATAAACCATCGACTTGATTTGATGGAATCGAAAATAATGGACGCTAGAGATTAATGAGGAATAAATGGCCGCAATCAAACAACAAAGATGCAAGCATTATGATTGCTCGCGCGTAATTAAATCAACTCACTATATACTTTTTTTTTCCAGCCAATTCCACAAGGTGCCCGAATAGACGTAGCAATAAACGAATGCTATGATGGTTCGTATGCAGGTAGTCCTCACGAATTAATTTCACAACCATCTAGTGTACCTTTTTCAAGGACAGGACCAACCAGGCGCACGAGCGTGACAAATATTTTGGTGTGCCGTCCGAAAAGAACGAAACCAAGCCTGTCCGAGTTTCTAGAGCTCGATGAAAACGAGTTTGAGAGCCAAAGACCTTATATCACAGGTCACAATAGGTGAGTGTTACAATATAAACAATCGCGAAAGTTATAGCATGAATAAATCTTTCGTTATTAAACGTGTTTATTTTCTTTAGGCTATATCATCACACCGTAACGTGTCTGCCTATATATCCCAAAGAGATGGATATCGATTCCGAAGGTGAAAACGATCCCAAGTGGTTGCAAACAAAGACGATGATGATGATCGACGACTTTACGGATGTGAACGAGGGTGAGAAGGAACTGATGAAGATGTGGAACCTGCACGTGATGAAGTACGGGTACGTGGGAGACTGCCAGATACCACTAGCTTGCCAAATGTTCTTAGAGAGTAAGGGAAAGGAGTTGCTCATGAAGAACCTCTATCGCAACTTTGTGCTGCACATGTGTAGTCTATTCGATTTCGGTTTGATCAGTCCGGTGATACTGTACCAGACCATACAAAAACTGCAGGAGATTATGAAAGAGGGCGGCGAGGACGGAGACGTACGTAGAGTATTACAAAAGTCGCACGAGGCTCAGGTGGATCATTGGAGAGCTGTGGGTTCACAATCGATGCAGCAGGATGCCTTCAAGATCGGCGGCATGTCGAGCGGTGTTAAGATTAGCTTCGGCAATGATGGCTCGTCGAGCTCGTCGACAAACGCTAGACGGAAGATGACCGCCTCGTTGCCGTTGAGCTCACCCAGTTCGCAAAACGCCAAGAGCATGCACAGTAATGTGCACAATGGTACATAAATGGCATTTAAGTGCCAGCGTAATGGCATGTCTCGTCGTCCTCGTCGAGTAGCAAGACTCATTCACGATAGTTCGATGCGGAATTCCGTTTATCGGTGGAAGTTCTGCAGGTGCGATCTCCTTCGACACGGGACATCCCGGACTAAGATCGCGATCGTCCAATGTGTGGCGTTATCCGATTAGAGTGAAAATTGGAATACCATTGAATGATGATCCGCTAGCAAATGCGCAAAAGTACAAACTGTATAGTGCAAGTGACGAAGAAGGCACAGCAGCGCGATACTACGCTGCAAATCGTCGCAAGCTGAGCGAGAGAATACCACCGAGTCACCAACGGCGAAAATTGGTCCTGGACGCGATACGCCGGCGGCGAACATCGCTGCCAGCCAGAAACCGTCCGCGAATGGAGGTAGCTTTCAATATAGCTACTAACGTCGGCAACAATAAGACCGATCTCGCGTGTTTGTAATGCAAATTGTACTTTTTTTCCTTTTTTTTGTACAGTATTTGTTGCAAGTAATATAAATAAGATGCAATGAAATTATTAAATGATTATCGTTCTAGTTAGATTCGATTTTCAAGATTTAATTTAAAGCTGTAAATGATTATACGTATATAGACGAATCGAGAATAGAGAAAACGGGGAAGAGGATACCCGGCGAATGACTCTATCCTGTTCGTCTCTGTGTCGATGACTCCGATCGCGAACAATAAACGAACGATGCCTCTCGCGGGCGTGCAACTTTTATCTAACTTATATACATTTTTTCCTCTTTTTTTTTTCCTCTAGTCAGTGACGTTTTATTACTTCGCTCTTTTTTTAAAGATTTTATATTTACATTTTTCCGATAGATTTTTTTTCCGATATATCTGCAACTAATCCGTAAAACTCGCGAAGTTGCTATGTTTCAGAAATAACGCAGAATCATTTTGTCACACGTTGTAGCAAACGAACACGAAGAACAAAGGATCTCAAGATTTAAAGAATACTTTCTCGATTTTTTTTTTAATTTTCTGGAGGCACAAGTAAAGCATAAAATTTTATTCTCCGCTTACGCGAGATAACTCGAAATCACAAAACGTTCTATACACATATCGATAGATTTTATATAGCGGATTCTATATAGCAAATTGATCGTAGTTGAATGTTATGAATTTTCTATCGTTTTGATTTTTTTGAAGAGGTAAGGAGGAAGAGGATTTAAGGCGAACGCTGAATGTGATTGACAAAATGCTATTTGCAATTTCCGAGATTTCCGCGAGTGTGTATTTATATACGTGTGTCATGTATATACATGCATAAAAGTACATTAAAACAAAAAAATTGTGAGGCTGTAAATTATACATTTTTTACATCGAGAGAGACGGATCGGTAGAGTGAAAGTGCCTTTTTACCAAACCAAGCGTAGATCTAAATCCGCGGAACGACGGTCGACGATTTAGAAGATATCATAGAATAATCATTTGTTCTGAAAAATTCGCTGATCAATTATATTCTCGTTTTGGATTAATGAAATTAATTGATCATTTATATTTTATTAATCGACTATTAATCCTGTTGACGATCGTCGTTCTTTCAGTGAGTGTAATACACTCTTGGCGGTTCAGATCTCTAGTATATCAATCTAGTATACTAGAACTGTTATGAATTTTGCGTGTAACATATTACAATCTCTACTGCCGCGGTCGTTCGAAGAAGCGCTTACATTCCTTTATATATACATACTGTCTTCTTTACATTGTAGGTAGTCTAATGAAATTTTTTTATTCCTAGAACATACGCCGCCGATCAAATGCCGGGGCATTTTTAAGCTTAACGGAATTATCGTTCTCTTCGATCGACTTTCAATTCACTGTCCAATAATATTATATATAATAGGTTGTAAATAGGAAAGTAAACGATGAAATAAAATTGTGGACGTGAGAAATCTATATCACATAGCTGTCATTTTCACGAACAATCTGAGTATTTTCTTCTTATTAATTCTTAGATTACCGTTTCTAATCCAAGGATTAAAGAGAAGGAATTTCTAGATGTAACATCCTAACTTAAGTTAAATCTTGTTTAGAGATCGCGCAAAATTTTTATCGTTTAATTATTTCATGTACATGTGTCGGCGAAAATAATACCCGAGAAGTGACTTGTTTTAAGTAGGCAATTACTTTTTACAACTTACATTAATTGTGATGCTATATATTTCGTTAGATATAAGCGTACATCTATACGAAAAAATCTTAATTTTTTAATCTGGCAACTTTGAGCTCTGTCTTTCTACTTGTAATACTGACGTGAATATTTTATATAATATATGTTATATCGCATATATATATTGTGTTACTCGCGTACCTTATTAAGAACATAAGCTGTTCATTATACACATGCAATAGATTTTATATTGTTTTGTATCTTCATTAAAACCAAATGTTTGACTCTATCGTATTTGAAGTAACGTGGAAAATCTATATTAATATAATCTACAGACCAATTCATTTTGTACTTTTCGACACAACGTAAAAATTCCTCGTACATCGGAGCGATAGTGTCCAAGTCGGCGATAGTGAAGACGTATCGTTTTTCCAGTGCGATATAAATAATCTTTTTCTTCTTCGTGTATAGAAGTTTCGACAATGTGCGGACAAATCCATCCGTGATCTTATCATCGTAGATCACTGCAAGAGACCAAAAAGAATAATACCATTTATCATTCCATACCATTATAATATCATTATCACTCCTCTTATCTCTATCTTTTACAAATTTGTTATTACAAAATACAGAAATTATTAAATTTACCATCCGCAGCCAATATGATATTTGCACTCTGTAATTTTTCCTCCAATTTGTTCGACCACCTCAGATTTAAGAAATTCACTTCCTCGATATGATAACCGGATCTGACGTACGGATGATTTCTTAGAAAATTCCGCTCGATTAGATTCAAAATATCACCCGCATTGATGTCTGGAATTTTTCAATAAATTTAAATAATCTGGAATTTTTAAATAATTTTTAAATAAAATTGAAACTCTCAATAGAAACATTTGTATATGTATTACCAGTGCAAATAACTTCTTTAGCTAAATAACTCGCTACAATGCTAGTCAGGCCAACTCCGGATCCTAATTCCAGAATCGTTTGGTCCTTAAACAAGTCCGGATGCGATAGGATGTAGTCGGCTAATAAGAAAGCACCTCTCCACACTTGCAAACCGACCAAATTGAGCTCCGTGGATACGCTATGTTCTGTAAATACGCAATCTGCGTATAAATATGGATGTACACGATATAATAGCACGTGCGTGAGACGACAATTAATTCCGCACCTATCTGAATCGTCCTTTCTCTATCTCTCTCTATATCCAGATCGTCGTCGCTATCGTAATTTAACGTTTCGTTCGTTGTCGTGTCGATCATGTATGACGGACATTTAAAAGTGAATTGAGTTACCGTATCTGAAATTAATTGCGGCGTGTTTTAACACATTTGCGCATTTAAATTTATATTTGAAAATCCAAAAAATATATCAAACTAAAAAAAAATTGCAACTCACTGCCGCTATCGAGTTTTTCGGAGATGTGATTGTTTTCTGTGTATATTTCCGATGTTACTTTATGCATTGTCACCTTAGCAGATAAAGAGTGTTATTTTTTCTAATTAATTTTCTTTGTATATTATAATAATAATTAATTTTTGTGTATATTATTATAATCATTAATTATCTTCGAGTTGCGGATTTATTAATACAGGTCATCAAATAATACAAATTAAGAGTCTAAATTTTTTATGCACAGCACAAAATATCGATGCTCATTATATTTTACTTATATAATGTGCTAATTATATACGGTCGGTTTACACTAAATATGTATGCATAGTATAATGAGTATCTTCAATAAAGTCTCTGCTAATGTCTAGAGGCCGAGAACGTCTGAGATTGATGCGCGAAAATAAATCACGGAAGTGACTTCGTACTCTTCGACCACGATAATGAAGCGTCGTCGTCGCCAATATTATAGCTTTCGTGGCTGCATTTATTTCGGGCATTTCTGTCTTAACCCGACAATTACATAATCCATAATTCTATAGTGACGTTTTGCGCTTGTATTATTACTGGATATAAAGTGCACGTTGAATCTTTCAAATTATTAAATATTATGCTGTTAAAGAAACTTCTTTTCCGCTTATTGTTAAAATTTGTTTAAGAGCATCATTATTTAGAGAGAAATTTAACTTGAGAGAATTTTAAATGATCCTGCGAAAAATTATAAATATTTATATGTGAAGTGTGGTGATATTTTGAATACATTTTTATGCGTGTTTTTTCTATACTTATACATTTGTCAAATATCTATATCTGTTTTTCCAGGTATCGTAAGACTATATTTTTCTCATGTCTTTCTACATTTCTGAAGCATGCAATGTTTTAATATTTTATAAAAAAACACTTTTGAGGAATAAGAAGATTCCTGGAAATATAACAACAGTCTTTACAATAAAAATTAAGAAAATAATTCTAAAAATATAATTCTAAAAATGCTAGAGTTCCTACTCTAATGATTAAAATTCCTCTAATCGCTTAAACAATCGTGGATACCTTAGATTGCACTTTGAATAAATGATCATTATGCGGTTTCTTCGAACGACAGGATTTTAATGTGTGCAGTTTTATTAGCTGTGCTCGTCGTTTTGCCATTGCTTCAATTGTGCTTCAACTGCAACAAACATCACCGTGAATCATTAAGATTTTACTTGAATCTGAATCGTTTGGAATTTTATTTACTAATAACTGCGATATTTACAAACCCCGTGAACTTGACAATTAGGCGTTCGTTAACCTTTTATTTTCGACTGCATTAAATTGCATTGTTGCGTCACCAATATTATTTTACACTAAACTCATGTTCCCCAATATACATTGCCAATATCGGGGAAATCTACAGTTTACGTCTTCACGTTACGTTAAATATTATAGATTTTCTGTAATGGCAGTGTTATATCGGAACATAACCTGTGACACTGGCGATCTTGACCATCTTGACATTTGTTGTCAACATTCGTCGAGCATGGCCGATACGCCGAAAACATCTCCTCCGTCGATAAAAATGAATAATGTCATTTGAGATTAATTATTGATTTATATAAACCAAGAATATGAATTATTAAATGAATAATATCAAATAATATAGCGACATTTAAATATTCAAATATTCGAAATCGAATTAATCAGAATATTATTATTCAAATAATGTTCTAACAATCGAATCGTGTTATATCATTTTATTTCGGAATGAAATTGCATATTAAATTGTAATAAAATTTCATCGATATTTGTAACGCGTTATCTTTCGATTCGCCGACTTATTATCCTTATCGTGCGAGATTGAAAACGCGATCTCCCCGGAAATCGCGTTTTTAATCTCGTCGGAGGGTAACGTCACGCTCCTTGACGCATTGTTGACGTGCACGCGGATGCGGCAGTGATGCCAGGCAGGTCAGGTTTTTCGCGCATGCGCAGCGAACACGGCCTCAATGAAGTATCTAATACAGACAAAAAGGTGTGCCGCTGGTCGCCCGAAAAAATGTTCTCTTCGAAAATTATTCCGAGCAATTAACGGCACACATTTTTATCTGCGTATATATGCGTATGTGTTTACACACACGCATAATATAAAATACATAAAATATACACACAATATAAAGTACATAAGATTACTTATAAAAGGTTGTAATACCTGATACCAGATACCAGTGGGTCTGTTCTTTTCAGCTGCACTGTTGCACTAGTGCAATTAGTTAGAGTGAAAGAAAGTATGTTTGTCTCTTTCTAACTTATTGCACTAGTGCAGCAGTACAGCTGAAAAGAACAGACCTAATGATACAGCGCTGGTTAGCCGCCATTACTGTCGCGCATGCGCGAAAATCCTGACCCGCCTGGCATCACTGGGATGCGGAGGCGCGACATATGGCCGAACGCGGCCGCGGCCGCGTCAGCGTCAGCCAATCAGCGGCCCCCACGATGAGGACGGTGCCACGCGTGAAGGCGCGAGCCTATTGCTCGCCGACGCAGCGCCGCGTTCGCTCATTCGTCGCGCGCTCCTCGTGGACGGTGTCTTCCTCGTCATCCCGTCCTCTTCATCGTTGCCGTCGTCGCCGACCATCTTCGTCAACGAGACGGACCGTATCATTTCGACTCGGCTCTCCGAAGGGACGAGAAGCAACGAGAAGAGAGTATCCCCGGATCCGGAATAGAAAATTCCGATCAACATGAGGAGCTTCGTCGGCGAATTTTGTTTCGCGGTGCTTTGCCTCACCGCGATTTGTCTCGCCAAAGTCGAGGTCGAGGATGGCGTCCTGGTGGTCACCAAGGACAACTTTGACAGCGTCATCCAGGACAACGAGTTCGTGCTCCTCGAATTTTGTAAGTACATGCATGTACGTGTATGATATCGTATTTGTGTGTGTGTGTGTGTGGGCGCGCGCGTACGTGTATGTGTGTATTCTTCGAAGTAAATCTGTTGCTCCGAAGGAGCTGCACCGGCCCATCTGTACTTTCCGTACTCGGGACGGAACTTTATTAACGTTTCCAAGGATGTCTCGATAAAAACAATGTAATGAAATTACGATTAAAGAGAGGGGAGGGAGAAATCTTTAATGAAAATATATTCTCCGCGTGCGCGCGACTCCTACGTCAAGACGCATGGTTCGCCGGCCTTGCTCGGGCGATCCAGATGCAAGCACGAGTACTCCGTACACGTCATCACTCGGCATCCTCGAGAAGAGATAACGGGAGACCGGTAGCAGCGATACACGACTTCAGCCACGCTCTTCGTTTTCTTGCGATTTTCCGCGATTTATCATCATTCCTGTTCTTTCCTTCGTTTCTCTTGGCCTTTTTGATGAGTTTGAATGATGAAGTCTGTATACTTGCCTCGATGATTGAAAGAAAATGAAAAAAATGCCGAAGAGTGTAAATGCCCGTCTCCATCATACTTGGACAATATCTATGCAATTCTTATCAATAAGATGTTTACGAGATTTTTAATCTCTTAGATGCCTTTCAGTGACCTTTCAGACTTTTCGAAAACGATTTTCGATGACTCGTTCTCGTCCAAAACGCAGACCACGCGTCGCGTGGTTTGTCTTGTCCAAGTGTAGAAAGTGTAGGACAAGTACAAAGAGACAAGCCTCCTTCCTTGACACTTTTTTTACCGTTATACGTCTCGGTGATCAGACTGAGATGGTAGCGTCACATTATGGTTTCTATAATGATGATGATGATGATGATAATCGAATAGTATCCATGAATGATCCAAATCGATCCATCGTATTCGGATTAAGCGATCGAATTAATCACGCCATTCGTCGGGGAAATTTAATTTTATCAATTTTTAAATCACTAGTTGCCTTTTATCTACTTGCATAATTAACCATATGGTATTCGTGTAACTTATAAATATATTTCTGAAAGATTTCAATATATGAAGTCGTAAGATTATAATTTAATATCTTTCTCTTTTTTCAATTTTTTGATCTTATTAAATGAAAACTTTGATGTAAAAAAGAGAATTCCTTCAGATTCTTCTCTTTACAAACTTTCTAAATTCACTAGAATCATGATGGTTCATATGTTTGATTGTATTATTTTTTTCAAGATTATAATAGAGATAAATATAAAAAAATAATAAAAAAGAATTCATAGTATTGCCAATAGTTATTGTCAATTAAATTTTTATACTTTAGTAAGGTAAAAAATATAAATGCTATTATAATATTTCTTTGTCACAGATGCTCCATGGTGTGGACACTGCAAAGCTTTAGCACCTGAATATGCTAAAGCGGCAAAGAAACTCGAAGACATGAAATCAACGATTAAATTAGCCAAGGTAGATGCAACGATCGAGACGCAACTCGCCGAACAGCACAAAGTGGGAGGATATCCTACTATCAAATTTTATCGTAAAGGAAACCTGATGGAATACACCGGTGCCCGTAAAGCTGATGACATTGTTAACTGGCTGCTCAAGAAGACTGGTCCACCTGCCAAAGATTTGCCGACAGTCGACGAGGCAAAAGCATTTATCGAAACACATAATGTCGTTGTTGTCGGATTCTTTAAGGTATAACAATCGTGAATATTGTTGAATGTATCTCTTTGGTTCAATGTTGTAATGCATTACATTTATCATCATTTATTGACAAATGTATAAAATTTTTTACATTCTAAACTATCATATATTATGATAATCAGAATCTAACACAGCAGCTAATTTTTTAATGCATATTTGATGTTCTTCACATATATAATAATGTATAATGATTTTGCTAGGACGTGACAAGTGATGCTGCTAAAGTATTCTTGGACGTTGCCATTGTAGGTGATCATGTGTTTGGTATTACTAGCGCCGATGAAGTATTCAAGGAATATGAGATTGAAGATGAAAAGATTGTATTGTTCAAGAAGGTATGCCTACATTACTGTATTAGTATTTTGAAATAATTTGAAGCAAAATTGTTATCTACTTTTCAAAATAAGAAATAAAATTAATTTTTCTTATTCTTTGCAGTTTGACGAAGAAAAGACCGTCTATGATAAAGAAATTACCATTAAAGATGTACAAAGCTTTATTTCTATACATTCGTTACCTCTGGTTGTTGAATTTAATCAAGACACAGCGCAGAAGATTTTCAGTGGAGACATCAAGAGCCACTTGCTAGTTTTTCTCAGCAAGCAAGCTGGCCATTTTGAAAAATACATCGATGAAATTCAAGAGCCGGCGAAAAAATACCGCGGCGAGGTATGAAATATATTCGTGTATAATATTCTTGTTTTGTATATCATTTTCAAAAGAATCGATTAGAATATTATTTTAAAATATCTGAATGTAGGTCCTGTTTGTGACGATCGATTGTGATGAGGCTGATCACGAACGCATTCTCGAGTTCTTCGGTTTGAAGAAGGACAATATACCGACTATGCGGATCATTAAGCTCGAACAAGACATGGCAAAATATAAATCCGAAAATCCAGAGATATCTGCCGAAAATATTCTAGAATTTGTCACTGCTTTCGTAGATGGCAAATTGAAGCGGCATCTGCTTACGCAGGATCTGCCTGAGGATTGGGACAAGAACCCGGTTAAGGTCCTCGTCGGCACAAACTTCCATGAAATTGCCTTTGACAAGGAGAAGGACGTTTTCGTTGAATTTTACGCACCTTGGTGTGGTCATTGTCAGCAACTCGCGCCCATTTACGAGCAAGTATGTTTGTTTTTTTCATTGAAACTAGCTTGTAAACAACATTAATTTCATGTATAGCTCTGTAACATTCCTAAAATTTATTTTAGCTTGGTGAGAAATATAAGGACAAGGACAAACTAGTCATCGCCAAAATGGATATCACCGCTAATGAATTGGAAGATATAAAGATCATGAATTACCCTACGCTCATACTATATAAGAAAGAGACGAATCAGGTATGAATCTTTCACTTTCATTCAATTTACAGTATACTTAACAGTTATACAGTATACTAAAACGTGTTTATTTCAACTTTTACTCTTAGGCTGTAGAATATGACGGCGAGAGGACGCTCGAAAATCTTTCCAAATTTATCGAAACCAACGGAGAATATGGTCGAGCGGAAGAGGTATGTTATGGAATTGCATTTGAATTACAAAAGGAAAGCAATACAAATATGTTGAATTATAAGAGAAAGAGACAGTAAATTATCTAATGTTCAAGTCATATTATAATTTAAATTTCTTTGATGAATTTGACGAAATTTTTCTTTATGTTATTCACACATATTATTTGTTTCATAGATTGAAGAACAAGACGAAGATGATGACGTGCCAAGGAAGGACGAGTTGTAAACGCACATAATCATTATTATAAGAAGTAAAATCAACATTAACTCGTCTCTTATATTTCCTGCATCCAATCAATGAACTCCATAATTTTTCCCGCTTTACAACAAAATATTTCATTTACTACGACGATAATTTTCAGTGGTGCATTCTCGCACACTTATTTTAGGAATTTAAGTTAACGTAAATGTGTACAATTTATATAATTAGAAAATTATATATTTACAGTTTCACACAGGGAGTTATTGTCACAATCTCGAGTTTAAATGTCGAAATGCACAGAGACATTTTAATTGGTAAAAAATTTCAATTAAAAAGTTTCAGTTAGTAAAAAGTGAATGTAAGCAGTAAATTACAAAAGTCTATGGAATATTTGAAGTATTTAAAATGCGTGCGATAAGGAAATATGCATGTCTATATAATTATGCCGTTTTGTTGACTCGATCTTTGACGTGACTATCTCTACCCTCTGGAAACTGACAACATTTATATAGTTTCGCGTATTTATCTTTCTATACACACGTTCTTATGGAAGAGTGAATCGTTGATCTAAGAACAAAATTTGAAAAATCATGGATCATGTTTTATTTTTTTATAAAAACTCACCTTTTTTTATAAGTGATCATTGCTCGTTGCTGCGCGCAAACAAAAGCAAGTCTTCGGACACTGCAAGGGCTAGTGGTTTACAAGTACATTTCCAATTTGCAGCATTTTTAAAACTATCACTGCGGGTGATGGTTTTAGATATACATAGTTAGGATAGGCAATTGTTTTTAATGTCCTTCTAGTTTTTGATTGACTGAAACTCTAGGAAAAGAAATAAATTAGCGATGAGACACATATTGTCGAAAAAAAAGAAAATTATATATACTCTATTAAGTCTTTATTATATATTATTCTTAATATATAAAAGATATTATTCTATTCTTGTGGTTTATGTCTATTTTATTATCACTGCTATACGATATAAATTATAAATATATGTTTTATACTACATGTACTGTATACACATACCCATACATATAAATATAATTTTTAATTCTTTTTTACACGGAAGTTATCAAACTTACGTTTAGCAAGTAATATATGATTTATGCGTTTGCATAAACAAGCAAAAGTGACAAGTAATCACACTGATTATATAATAATTCGCATAAACAAGTACTTATGTATACTATCTTATTGTTTAGAACAATAATCATACTATTTATGTACCGAAATTAATACTTTGAGTGGCAAAAATATTTTATTTTTCTGCATCATTCTTCTTTAATAATATTACGTTTATATTTTTTTTATTAGGATCGCGGACAAACGGAAATAACAGATCATACATTGAATTTGTCAAATTTGCACGAATTGTTACACAACACTCTATTAATCACGGAGGAAGTGAAACAGATACTGAAAACGGACTGCGACGAAGCGGCATTTATCTTAAAGCCGTGGCAGGTGAAGGCCGTTGTTGAAAAACAAACAGATAACAACAGCATTTGTAATTGTAACAAAGTATATAATCTATCATTCATTAAACATATATATTTATTTATATATAATTATGCACATATGTATAAATAGTTCTTTAATATTTGTCATTAATTAGATCGCGACTGAAAACGAAGCTGAAGAAATCGCCGCAGGCATAGGACGAGCGATAATTTTGGCACAGGAATTGCGGGAAAAATTGAAGCTTAATGTAGCTTCGTCGAAGAAAAAATCTTACAGGAAAGACTCAGTTGAACGTGTTTATTCGTCCAATTTGACATTAATTAATGACCGTAAAAAAGTATCGAAAAATATTTCAACGCATAAGGTGAAAGTTGCGAAGAATTCTAACGGTAAAAAAATTGCACAAGTTAAAACTGACAAAGTAACTTGTAACTTTACGAAAAAAATCACATCGCCGAAACCTATCGACAATGCGAAGCATAGTGATGCGTTTGATAAGAAAATACAAGATGCAAGATCGAAAACATCACCTAGGAAAGTTGCGACAAAATCAAAGAGGGGAAAAAATTTTATACTAGAGAATAAATTAAACGTTAAAAAAATAAGTTCAGCAAATAAATTACAAGCTGAACGTAATAATTTTAACGACGATTCGCAAAATGTATGTAACATAATATATACATATATGAAAAAATATATATATTTATTTATTTATTTGTTTATTTATTTATTTATAAATATATAAAGGATATATATATATATATATATATATATATATATATATATAAAGTTTTAATATAAAATTGTTTTATTGGGCGCGTTTTTATTTCAGTCAGGAAAGTCTTTAACGCCCGAAGCATCAGCAGCAGAATTGAACGATTTAATACGCAAAATAGCAGTGCGACAATCTACCGAGGGTGCTTTAATACCTTCTCCAGGCCGTGATAGAATAGATTGTCCGTTACATGACGCGCATCAATTTGTCCAAGAACGGATCACAACAATAGACGTAGTAGAAGCACTGCGATACTTTAATGTACCGAATGACATTGTTAAAGTATTGAGAGCTTATTATGCATTTTTAAAGACTGAAATTAATGACTCGAATGATATTAAGGAGAATAGATACGGGAAATCACGTGACGCTTTTCTAAAAGAATTCGAAGCGATGGTAAGTAAAAAAAAAGTACAGGAGGAAGTGATATATTTTTAAAATTATATAAGGTCATTTTTATATATCTGTGATTTGATTTTTACATCGTATAGAATACAGCCACGCAGGATTGTTTGTCACAAAAGCGTCATTTGCTTGAAACTGCAGCTGGATCAATATCTATATTTAGTAAAATTTCTAACGAAGATTTAGATTCGACCCAACTCAATGATATGAAGAATACCCTCGATCAATTAGGAGTCTCTTCAAAGCAATATAACGTCAAAAATATTGTCGAACCGATTGAAACATTCTGTAATTTTTCTTTGACAAGAGGTTGGATGTCGAACGGCATATGGAATATTTCCTGTATGGAACATTTTAAAAGTAAATTTACTCTTTATATATGCACATATTGGTCGATTTTTTTAATACTTAATTTTTAATTTTCAAATTTTTTTTTTATTTAATATTTCAGATTTTTCCCGAGCGTACAACATAAGATATTGTAATAAAAAGCAATTGTTATCGCTGTATGAAGCGATACAAAAATTACAGCGCACAAAATATTTGAATACGTTGATCCTCCTTATTTTACGCGACTTAATGCCTACTGTTAAGTCTAACGTTAAGCCTACAAGCGCGGAATATGCGTTGGCATACAAAACAATGTTTATTCTTCATCAGGGTTTAAATCCCAAAGTGCCAGTTTTAGTGAGAATCGATTGAGCCAGTCTCACGTTATACAATATATTCTGCGTTACTATAGTAACTACCAAGTATGTACGTTTAATTGATATCTATTTATCTTTTGTGAAAGTAGAATTCTACTAAACAGACAGTGAAGAATAGACGAAAATATATCAGGGGTTGTATATTTTTCTTACTATAATTCTCATCATTGTGCCAGAGTCAAAAAGTGTTATTAAGTATGTTTTAACGAGTGGAAATAAAGTGTTGAATATTAACTGAACATTAATTTTCACGTATATGCTAGATCTGTATTTCTGCCCTTTTCTCTCTATAATTTTGCTATTATTTATTATATACGATGAATACGGAGTACGCTTATACAAGGAAAAGAATGCATTTCGGGAAGAAATGCAGTTTTACTGACTTCGACAAGACCGAGGTGGAGGTCAAGTCAAATCCGGCATTGATGAACAATTACGTAAGAATGGATCCCGTTACGCATGCTACGCAATTTGGTAAAGTTTATGCAGTCCACGAGGTATGGCACACATTTCTTTAGATAATACTTCTATAAAAGATGTACTGCCACAGTGTGTACCTACATCTATACACACATGTATATGTCACAGGTAAATACGACTACCGCGACATATAAAGACAACAAGATGTTTCATTACGAGGGCGGTTGGCCGAAGGATATAAACATGAAGGATTTAGAACAAACGGTCAGATATAGACGCAAGATCGAGAAGGATGAGCTGTATATTCACACGATGCTGCAATTGCTACCCGTAAAGAAATAATTCACCTTTTTCTCTCTCTCGTCCATTTTCATTAAATGATTGGGATTGAAATTCTTTCGTCTTTTTCAAGTCGATGGAGCACTGCATTTTGCAGAACAATGCTTGCAATATCTACGAACAGTACTTTGCCGATGTAGAAGCAAACCCGCTGATACAGAGAGCTTTCTCGCGCACAGTAAATGTGTACCGTGATCCTTTAACGTCAAAACGACAGATCACTCATCTATCATGGTCACCGGATCAAGGTAATCGTTTCGCGGCCAGTTATTACAATGACAATTTCAAAAAGAGCTCCAGCAGCAATTATGCATCGTACATCTGGGAAGTAGGTGCGCGTCGCAAGCGATTAAAGTAAAATAACAATCGCATTGACGAATAATACATTGGAAGAAATTCTATTCCATAGAGAATCCAAACAATCCATATATGATGTTGAAACCGTTTTGTCCAATTCTGACATTGGAGTACAATATCAAAGATAACAATGTTTTGGTAAGCGGTCTAGCGACCGGACAGGTAGCCTGCTGGGACATCAGACGAGGATCGGAAGCGGTGGACATCAGCTCGGTGGAATTCAGCCATCGGGATTCCTGTGACAAGACCTTGTGGATCAATTCCAAGACCGGTACCGAGTTCTTTAGCGCTTCAAAAGACGGACAGGTATATATAATTTCTCGCTATTTGCAACATCCGTAACAGGACCATGTCATATCGAACGTTACATTTGATCTTGTAGATAAAGTGGTGGGATACCAGGAAAATGCAGATTCCGACAGAAACATTGGTGATAGACCTGCTGAAACCGGAAGATCAGAATGTAGACAAGGCGATTGGCATTTCGGCTCTTCAATTCGAACCATCAATTGGCACGCGTTTCATGTGCGGTTTGGAAAATGGTATAGTAGATTCGTCAGATGAATCATGATGTACATTTTAATCTTATTTGAAATTCACGCTTCGATAAACTCTTTGAGAAATCGGAAAGAATAAGTTGAGACAAATTGTTTTATATAAAATATTGATATCGCGAAAATGTTTCTTAAATAAAGAGAAAAGAATTATTTATGCGATATCAAATAATATAAGTGATACGAAAGACTCGCGCACGTACCATTAATCGTTGAACGCGTAAAATTGAGCTTTTGAGTTAGTCCTTAAATTTTAAATCTGTATTGTCTATGATAATTCTAATATTATTCAGGTATTGTGATATCGGGTAATCGAAAAGGTAAAACTTCTGGCGAGAAGATCGCGTCGAGATTCAAGGCGCAATACGGGCCAGTTATAAGTCTGGAGAGAAATCCCACATTTGTGAAGAACTTTTTGACGGTTGGCGACTGGACCTCAAGGATTTGGTCAGAGGATTGTAGAGAATCCTGCATAGCGTGGACACCGTGAGTATTTTAAGAATAATCGAGCGAAACTTGCGCGGCAAGCGTGTTAAATAAATGACGAAACAATTAAATATTTCTATAGCGGTCACCGAGATTTTTTAACTGGCGGCGCGTGGAGTGCCACACGTTATTCCGTCTATTATTTGATCAAAACCGACGGCACTTTAGATGTGTGGGATTTTCTAATTCAACAGGACAGCCCAGTTCTTAGTGTAAAGGTATTACGCTGATGCGACTTATGTGATTGCAATTTCGAAATTTCACAATAACAATCTGATTTAAAGGTCTGCGACGAGAGTTTGACATGTTTACGGCCACATGAACAAGGGCAGCTGGCTGCGGTCGCGAACAAAAAGGGTTCGACCTATTTGCTCGAATTTTCCGAAGCTTTAACGGTCAATCAAAAGAACGACAAATTGCTATTAACCGCGGTAAATATTAGATAACAATAGAGATTGATCAAAAGGATTGTCTCTTTTGTTTATCAATATAAAATATATATAACATATACAATCTCTACAATAATAAATATACAATATAAACATACACAATAATAAATATTTCGAATACAATCTAATGTATCTAATAATATTTTGCTATCATTATATTAATTTTTAACATTTAATAATTAGAGACTTGGCTCAAATAATCAAAAAACTAAAAAGAAAATAGCATAAGAGCCAATGCGCGATAGTTGGAGCGCAGAAAAGCAACAACACTTCTTTCTTTTTTCAATATTAATTTATTAAAAACATATTATAATAATAAAAAGCGAACGTTTCGGATCATCTTTGATCCTTCTTCAGCGCGATATTAATAATATATATTACAAATAGTAATATATCTCTGCTTCCAACAGTCAATTAAATATATTACAGTTATGCTATAATTATTAATAATTATTAATTGTAAGAAAGCGTGAAACCTGATCTGCTGTGACGTTGCATAGCATATAGTATATTTAATTGACTGTTGGAGTGCTTGCTAGATCTCTGCGGGATGCAATTTAGCGGCATCTACGCGTCGAAAAATTATAAAAATAAATTCGTTTAATGTAACGCGTCTCTATTTGTAATATATATTGTTAACATCAGCTGAAGAAAGATCGAAGATGATCCGAAACGTTCGCGTTTTGTTATTATAATATGTTTTTAATAATATAATATGTTTTATTATAATATGTTTTTTAATAATAATATTGAAAAAAGAAAGAAGTGTTGTTGCTTCTCTGCGCTCCAAATACCACGCATTGGCTCTTATGCCATTTTCTTTTTGGTTTTTTTAATTTTGAACAATATATCTTTATAATAATCTTATTAATAGGAATTCTTTTATTATTATTATAATAATTGAATTTGAATGATCAATTTTTTATGAATTATATGTATTTTTAAAATTTTAATAGAAAAGAATATTACTGTTTGATAAGCTTTCTTTGATGCAATTATATCGATGTTTTCAGATGCGAAAATAAAACTGCATAAGCTAATAATATGAGTTAAACTCTTATATATATATAGTGAAAAAAACTGATATGATTTCTCGTTTCTGTTCATTATAATCTAATATGACTGCAGTGGTCAGAAACGATAGCTTATATCATCTACGAAAATAAAAGAAATAGATTTTATATACAATAAATTATACTTTTAAAAGCTACGCATTTTAATGTACCAGAATTAATATGATCAGTATCATCGATCTTGCTTCAGCTTCTAGATCGTGAGACGCGTAGAGAGAAAGTGATAGAAGCGAAAAACAGAGAGCAACGATTGAAGATGAAAACTTTAAAGATGCACGACGAATCGGATTTTATCGATACTTCCTCGAAATCGGATGAACGGGAAGACGTTAAAGAATCTTCGAACAGTTTGAGGAATACGCTGATAACACAATGCGAACAAGAGTACGAAAACATAATTAACACGGTGAGCAGATTATTTCGTCAAATTCAATTAATTTCATATACAAAATACGTGTTTTTAAGTTTCAATTATTACAGGAGTTAACACGAGAAATGGAAGCGAGTAATGTGGAATTGAACAATAACGTAATACAAAATGACGCTGTTATAAGTTGAATTGATTACGTAAATTAATGTAATTTAATTATACAAATAATTACAAAATACAAATAGTAAAATATTTCAATTCCAATTAATTTTAATTCCAATCAATTCCAAGCTACATTACGCTTATATTAGATAATAGATAAGCAATTTAAAGAGAAATAATTTAAAAGAAATATAATCAAAAAGACGTTAAAAAATATCGTTTAATATTAATGTTCTAATTATTTCATTGATTTTCTTGATATTAGATTAAAAAACACTTCATGATCATTTGAATCGTTTCTTTTACTTCTCTCACCCTTTTCTTTGATATTCTTCAATTTTCTTCTAGTATTTTCTTTCTTCCACTCTCTTTCCTTAATTCTTCTTTTATTTCGATTTCATTATTTTCCATTATCATTTTCAGGCATTAACAAGTGGAGCTCTAGTATGTACGATGGAGTGCCATATAAAGACGAAAGTTTATATGCTTTCTTCAATCGAAATTCAAGTCGCTTAATAAACTTGACAAGGTGACTAATCTTTTTTGTAATCCTTGTACAATTTTAAATAATTCTTTACTCAATTAGATAAATATAAACATGTTAAATTATTTTTTATCTTGATTACGAATAAAATTCAGCGAAGAAACTATGAGACAAACAAATATGTTTTTTCGTATCATAATTAATACATTAATACATAAATATTTTCTTCTACTATCTTTCTTTCCTAAATAGCATAAAGCATTTTAAAAAACTGAAAAACAATAAAATGTCTAAGTCATTTGTTAATTATTTTTTAGGGAAATGTGTTGTCTGGGTTCTCTTGAACAATGTTTTTCCTTTGTTTTCTTTTAACGTAAATCACGTTTAATAAAATGAAAATATTTGCGATCGTATTTCTGCGAAAATGATGCGAAAGAAAAAAATTTGCAAGAAATAAATTAAAAAGAATAATTACAATTAACAGTTATTGTCTTTTATCTCAGATTCCATTTTATTGCGAATATGAAGATCTCGTGAGACTTGCTCGGAAATAGAAGGATTGCACCAAGATCCGCAAGAGTTTTGAATTGGTGACCGTCACTGTTTATCGATCGATCCACACGGTCAGTGACTAAATATATACTCCCGCACCTGGCATGTACTCATTCCTAGCAACGAGCTGTTGGTGGACGACTCTTTCTTCGCGACAGACAACGAGTTATCGCCCTATTTATATCAATAACATTAATGAAGACTGCACAGCGAAAAGGACTTATTCTCTTTAGTGTCTATGATCGTACGAAACAGTAGTGAACTTGTCATCTTCGTAAGTGCAATCGATCGATTTGCACAAGTGGAACATATATACGCGATACTTTTTTTCGGACGACCTTATTTTAACGCAACAAGAGTCTGAAAAGATATTGTAAGAATGGCTAAGTCCGCCGGGCCTATGAGAGGCAGAAAATTGATGAGGTCGCACAACGTATCATCCTTTTTGGAGGAATCGATGGAGAGCGCGACCTCGCCAAAGGCGACGATGAGTGTCATTGTGGACGTTCACAACGAAAATTCATTGAATCGCCAACAACGAAACGATGAGAATGGTCTCACGATCGAACTCTCGGACGATAAGGAGATTAAACAATCCTCTCAAAGCTCGAAAGTTTCTTCGCGAGCTAGCGAAGCGTCTCGGAATCGTTCCACTGATCGCGAAGCGAGGAGGAGGAGATCCTCGAACGATCATTCTCATCGATCGCATGATGAGGTAATGACGATGGTATCATTGGATCTGATAGAGGAATCTGGGAACAGGAACGACTCCCATGAGGAAAAACCGCGCCGTAGAAAGCAATGGAATGCTGCGACGAGCGAGCCAGATATGGTGGACTCTATGAAGAAGCCACCGCGGAAACGCTGGTCTAAGGACACTGGAATCATTCGATTGCCCGAGACGAGCGATGACGCGTCTCCGTTGATCGACGACTCGCGACGCAAAGTTCCGGTTCCCGCGCCGCGAACCAGCAATGCAACCCTCGTTTTCGACAATCCAGCATTTGTGTCCGAGGACGAAGTGCTTCGAATCGAAACTGATCACAATCGCGAAAGCACTAGGATCGAGATGGGAAGGATAGGAAGTGATCGTTCGAACATCGATGAAGTTAGCTCAACGTCCGGCAGTTCTTCGAGAAAGCAAAAACAAAGCAAGCAACATATCGCAATGAGTAGCGACAGTCGATCTTCAAGGACAACGAGGTCTTTGAACGGTCGGAAGAACAGCGCCGGGGAACTAGATTCGTCAACGAGTCTGGGAAGAGTCACCGATGAGGTTCGATCAAGTTCGATGGTTTCTGAAGATCGAACATCGACAAGCGGTAGAAGACTTCAATCAGAAGCGACGAGACGAGATCGATCGTCGAGAAGAGGAGAGCGATCATTGTTCGAAAAGAAGAAGCTTCCCGTCAGTGACGAAGTCATCAGCTCATCAGTTGTGAAGAATGCGATTGACTCGACTGTTAAAAAAAAAAGGAGGAAGAAACGGAAACAAGAAAAGGAAGACACGAAGAAAGATACATCTGAGAAGAGATACATCTCCGTAACAATTCATCGGGCGGACGTGCTCGAAGCCGACTATGCAAACGTGAAACGGCCGATGGTAATGGTTCACATCGTCGAGGCACGCACCGGCTCGTACTTGAAGAAGGTAGACGGCGGCTATCTTCGGCCGTTGATCACCGGCAAATTCGATTTCAGAGAGAATAGATCAATGATACCGGTCTGGGAAGAAGAACTCGTCTTCGAGTTCGACTATGATGCGATTGTGAGACGCGAGGATGGCGATCGAACGGTGATCTTCTTCGAAGTGATAGATCTTTTAAGCTTCGCTGAGGCGAGTCTCGGCTACGATAAAATCGGCAAGTTTCGTCCTCGATGTCTCTTTTATTAATAATTATTAATAATTATTAATAAATAATTATACAGGATCAGCTTTATATAGATCTTTATTATTTTATTATTATTGTCACTTAATTATTGTTTATTATAGATTTTTATTATAAAAAAAATCTTTTATATACTAAAACTGATTCTGTATATATAAATATACGATCGTTCTGTATCAATCAGACAATTAAACAACAAATTTGTTTGAAATTCTCACAGATAATGCAATGCATCTTTTCGCAATTTTAATATTGAGCAAAAAAATAATAATCAATTATTTATGTTTGCTCGAAAAGCCAATCGGTCAAAAAATACTTGTATGAAATATATGCGAATTAACTGCATTGTTACAAAAGTGATTAAAATGTATGTTAATTTCCTAATTACTCTTTTTCCTATTGCAATTTTATGTCAAACAGTTTTTTATATTTTCTTTGTAAATTATTATATTAACTAACTGATATAATATATACATTCTAAATTAAGGAAACAAAGATCTTACAACTGAAGATATTTTCAGAGAGAGTAAATTATTTGATTGTAAAATCTATATAAAATCTATTTTAATATCTGTAAGCTTCATAATAATTTTTCTACGCTTTAATTACGCTTTTCCGAAATGAAATATATTTAATTTATGCTTAATTTTAGGTAGCGAGGGATGCTGGAATAAAATTGCCTGGGGGTTTCTTAAACCCATTGGGACCAATAACATTCTTCATACGGATAAGAAAGTACGATTGCAACTTTACAGACCTAGACGAAGCTTCAAACGATACGGGAAGCACACATGCGAGGTATATTTCTCTGTTTCTCATTTGATGAATGAATTTTTGATAATCAATTCGATTTGCTATCTGGAATCTTTAAACATTTTTTTAAATTTTTAGAGAAACTATAGACAAGTCTACTTTTTGTCTACTTGCATTTTATTTGGAAAGTTCATCCTATAATAAAATTTTTTAGTCTTTATATAAATCTTTTGTTCTCTGTATATTGAAATAAATCATTTTTCTCGCGTTATTATTTATTTATTTAATAGATTGTTAAAATATATGTCGGAAATTTTCTCATTTTCTATTTGATATCCTTTATTAGAACGCATATTTCACATATCCATAAATGTTATATTTAGTATGAATTTATAAAGTATTTATTTATAAATTTATAAATCTATCATTTCGAATACGCGAATCGTGAAACGTTTATAATAATAAATTTAATTTAATTCAATGTATATAATATTGAAGAACAAGATCGTATAATTCTCTCTCTCTCTTTTCTTACTTTTGACGTCAAAAGAATTGAAGTGAGGAACCTTAAACCTAGCATTCTATATTTTTTTTTAACAGAGAAAGAAAAATTTATATCAAGTTTTGTGCTAAAACGATATCGCTATTCTATAATTATTCTTTCATATATGCAGGTATACACTTGGTGGCAGTCAAACAACAGAGATAAGTATCCGAGCAGTCTCCTGGTAACAGTGACATCGGTTCCGTCATCGAAACAGGAATCTGTGCTTTATCAACAATTGCCGTTAAACGATCTTTTCGATGACTCGCATGATTCGCAGAGGAGGCTCTCGACGGAGCGTCGTACATCGGAATCAACGATAGGTCTTCCTAAATGGGCACGACTGGCCGCCCAGTCTTGCAAAATACCAAACGAGAAAATGTTCGAGACGGAGGCGAGCGAGAACGGCTGTTTCTACGTCGCCTTCAGCAACGACGGCAAGTATCTGGCTTGCGTCCATTCCGAGGAGTACAATTATCCAATTGTCGTTTATGAGGTGCGTTCGCAATGTCGCAGATATTGAGATAAATTAGTATCGCACCTGTAGGAGAGAGAACGGAAGATGAAAAAAGAACTTTTATTTTTAAATTTCAATTTTTTTCAAGACGAAGAGAGTGTATTACGCAAAATTCAATATATTGTACCTACATCATCGTTGATACAAAAAATTATTACTTTTCATTTCACAGTGTAAATGTTTATTCGCTGAAACAACGATATCTTTGAGCCATGTGTAATTATTTTTATTTACAGATCGAGACCGGCAAAATCCACGTTCAGTTTCTCGGCCACAAAACTTTTGTGTACTCTCTAAATTGGTCCAACGACGACTATCACCTGTTGTCGGCGTCCGCAGATCAAACGGCGCGCATCTGGGATATTCGCAACCAGATTGTGCAACACATCGAGGTGATCAAGCATATCATTCTTATTTACTTTAAGATTAATGAAAGCGTAAAGTGTGCTTTCTAAATATCAATATTTTCCAAACATTCAAATAAATACAACTATGTGCATATATTTTATCGATATCGATTATCTATTTTTTAATATATTTGTGCTAAAATTTTTTACATTTAATATTTTTATAATTAAAAAATATTAGAAATATATATTTAAGAATTTTGTTATGTATTTTAGTCGAAATTTTTAAAAATGTATTATATGCAAATGATAAACGATTTTCGAGATTAAGCATTAAACGAATATATTTAGAAAAACTAACATTATATTTACAAGCTATACAATGTTAGATAAAATTGACAATTGATTTTACTCGACCATCCAATTTATTGCAGATGCTGCCGCATCCTTCGTATGTTTATTGCGCCAGGTACGCTCCCAACAAGACAATGATTGTAGCAACAGGATGTTACGATGGAGTAGCTCGCATCTGGGCAAGCGAGAATGGAAGATCGATGAAGCAAGAGTTGAGCCAGGAGTTGGAAGGCCACGAAGGTTTCGTCAACTCCATGGTCTTCCAAAAAAATGGTAATTTAATCACAGCCGACAGTGTAGGATCAATAATCCTTTGGACGATTCGCCGAAATGATAGGATGTCATCCAAGTGGGAATGGTATGTTGCGAGGAAGATAAAGATTCGCGAGATTGAAGGGGTTGTTATCAACACGATCGCTCTGCATCCCCTTGAGTCTAGACTTCTCGTGCACTCGAGGGATAATGGCCTGCGAATGGTAGATCTCGCAACCGGTGTAGTCTTGCGGAAATACAAACAGCTGAACAATCAAAGGTTTGCATTCATTCCTCAAAAATATCTTTCTCTATTTTATAATATATTATTGTAACTTTGCTTCTACTTTCCTCAGTTTTTTCTTTTGTTATTTTTATTATCTTGTCTTTCTTTTTTTATATCATACATCTTGATTTCTAGATCACATCTCAAAAATTTTTTCCATGTTCCTTTTGATTTCTTTCAATCAACTTCTATAATTTCGCTTTAACATGATCGTCGTTTTTTCTTTAAACTTTTCTCTATATATTCTGTATATATTTCCTTCATACACTTTATACTTTTATACTCTTTCATATTATTATCCCTCTTATTTCTCTCTTATTCTTTCTCGTATTATTAATTCGATCTATTAAATTCCTTATCTTTTTTTATATTCATAGAATACAATTGAAAGCCTGCATATCTCCTTGTGGTGGTTTGATCTTGTGCGGTGGAGAGAATTCTGTACTAAACGTTTGGAACTTGGAGACGGGTAAGCACGTGGCCAAATATGCTAACGATGGGCATAACTCGTCCAGGGCGATTATTACCTGCGTAGATTATCATCCCTACGACCACGTACTGGCATTTTCAACATTCGGCAATCCAACGTCAGTCCGCGTTTTGAGATTCAATAAGAATGCAAGTGGCAGTGACGTTGGATTAAATCTTTTTACGGAGGATACATCGCGAACTTGCGATAATGAAGTGATCATGAATGTATCGGAATATCCTCTATCCCGACAGAGTAAACTTGATGGCGGCTCGACAGCGAGGAAAGAGATCTTTTCGTCTTCTTATCGCCCCGCGAACGATCACATAATGATTCAGATGGAGAACGATGATGGTGAGCGATCGTGGGCGACGCTCCGCCGTTTGAAAGAAATGGAACGATGCTGGAGGGAGAAGAGCCGGAATCGCTTGCATTGTATTATCGAAAAAATTGACTCGATGCTATCCAAGAGTTCAATGTTCTTCGAGGATGAAGGCGAACGAGTTTCCAGCCGGATAAACGAGCGTAGTCATTCCTGGAGCCGCTCAAATACTAGCACATCTAGCAATATCACTTCTAAAGGAGACATACTTCTTAAAAACAGTGCTACAAATTTCCTTAGATTTCACCAGGATGATCCTAACGAGGACAACGCACAATCTAGTTTGGCGAGTCTCTCTAAGAATCAAAATTGTTCCCGCAACTCAATTTCAGAGTCTCCGGAAAGAACGAACGCGCTCGAGCGTCTAAGCTCTCCGGACAGCGCCGGGACTTATGTCATAGAAATGCAAGATTTGAATGAAAATGACAAAATCGACAAGGTGTCAGTCATAGCCGAAAAGGTAGATTCCACTCGTTTGAGCGATAGTTCGCTGGCCAGCAATGTCACATTTATCATAGAGAACGAGCGAACATGAGTAATCTTTCTATTATGTTTTTCATATTAGTCTTCTTTTTAACACAAGAGATACATATGATATTTCTGTCATGTAGCGTACACAATATTTTAATTATATAAATAATATAAAGGTATAAAATGCACACATGGAGATAAAAATTATTGTACATAAATTTTATTTTATGTGTTGCAACTCTATCTCTCGCTTTCTTCAATTTTAGATTAATAAAAAAATAAAAATATATATTTGTTACAAATAAACCTCGCAAGAATTTCTAACAATACGCTTATAATATGGCAATAAGATAAATTATTCCAATTCAGAGTCATGTGGAAGCGACTAATTATATGTTTAAACATGAATAATATATGCGTATATGTGCGCGTGCGCTGCACACGATACAGTTAATGTTTTATATATGTGTGTGTGTGTGTGTGTATATACATATACACATATATGTATATATATACACACATATATATGGAATGTCATTATGTTTAATTAATTATTATACACAGCCAATCTCCTTGTCGTTTGACAATCATACTGTTTTGTTTAATATCATGAAACGGTCACTAAGTTAAACAACGACAAAGAAATTAAAAAGAACATAACATTTTTGTTAAGGAATACTTGACATGAATAATATATATAATAATGCTTCCAAAATTATATAATAAAACTTGACATCTAAATAAACTTTATGTTATAACCGTAACAGTAATACATCTCTGTTTAACTGTGCGATAACATAAATGTAATTAATAATAAAGAATGATAAAAGCCGAAGAAAAAATAACACATGTTTATATACTCATAAACATAAGCTTTTAAACAAATTAATAATAAAATAGCGCTTCCTTACTACTTAATAACTCAAATCCTGCTATGCACATTGTAATCTAGTATGTCCGTATTTTCTAATATTAAAAAGAAAAAAATATAATTTCCGAACAATGAAATGCGCATTCGCGGAGACAAATTCAAATAACGTTAAATAAAATTTAAATATTCGCTAGTTATCCTTCTACATTGTTCACATGCGTGTCGTATCGTTACAGAAAAAAGTAATAAAAAAATAGTAGAAATATATTCACGCATTACCCTTTTATATTCGAGTACTCGCGGTTATGCGAGCGATACGTTACTGTGCCATTATAAAAGGATAACAATAATGCGATAAGAAAAATAAATTGTTTCTTGCACTCATTAACCGATAAACAAGCTAACTAGATGCAAAATAATCCTCGTATCCATTAATATATTTGGCACGTTTTTCCTCCACCAATATTTTATCGATGTATATGTCTTTTTCGGTACTGACATCGATTAATCTTAAGCCCAGCACAGTACCGTTGGCCGGCGAGAGATGGTCAAATACCGATTCGGCGACTACTGAGACAAAATTCTTATCAAGCACTAAATCCTTAAACCTGACACAGTCGTTTACCGTCCAGTCAACATTTGTCGGCTCTATTCCTGCCATTGTTATATAAAAAAAGAGATCATTAAAATTTATATAAAGAAGAAACGATTCAAAAGAAGAAAAAGAACAACTATATATTCTTTCTTACCGATAAGTTTAGCTTTCACGGCTTGATACGGTAGCTTCATAAAATCACTCTTCAACGGCTGTAAGCTATTGCGCGACACTATTGTTACGTCCCCAAAATCGCAGAAATATATGGATACTTCGTTTTCGCTAATAATATTAGTGACATACACTCTGAAACGAAATCGTTATTAATCGAGTCTTTTTTACATTGCAAGATTGAATATATCACATACCTGTACCAATCTTCTCGAAATTTGCCCGCATAGAGCTTGCCCTCGCCAACAATTTCTATTGGCGGACCATCGTACTCGTGGCAGTATCTTTGCAGCTCATTCATCATCATCTGAGAATGAAATGAGATGTAGCATGAAAATTCATCCTAATTCATTTGGCTAATTATCGATTTAAACTTTAATGTGTATATGTATGTGTATATGTACCTTCAATTCCCTCGCATCATTCAACGGTTGCACAATAAAATGTCCTGGATGCGCTGCTAATGTTACGTGAACATCAAAATATTGACCAACATCTGAGATGGTGGGTGGATTTAATTTAACAATAGACTCAAGAACGCGAGAATTCCTACGCTCTATACGTTTCTTTGATAATTTAATATTATTGTTTCCATCTTCGTTGGTTCTGCAAATACAAAGTGTATATATGTGTATGTGTAAAGTATTTTTAGATAGATTCATAAAGTCAATAAAAAACTGTAAAGAAGTAAAATCAAAGCTATATAATATACAGTAAAATAGAATGATAAAGAAATATGGGATAAAAAATATGAAGATGAAAAATTCAGAAACAAAGATACAAAAATATAAGGCAGGAAGATGCAGTATCACAAATATTCGACAAGAAATGAAAACATAAATATTTACTTTAATAATTCATTATCGTAAATTAATGATGTATTTATAGAGGCCAGCATGTTACTCGGTCCAATTCTCTTGAAAATCTCCACTATTGGGATTCCGGATGAGCTAATTTTGATGATCCTTGCCACAAGTAGATCAGTATCTGATACCAGTTCGCAGAATCTCGCCACGAGCTTTCCGTTGTACTTCGATTGATCGAGGTGGTGCAGAAAGATCTGTATTGCCTGATTTTTCGTGTGTAAATATATCCACAAGTATTAATTATATCATCCTTACAAAATACTGAAGATTGAAACTCGACGGAGATTGGTTTTAATAACAAACAATAAATTTACCTGCGGCGGAATGTAGTGCAGAGCATTCGTCTCATTCGTGAACAGATCTCTTTTCGATATCGTGACAGTTTTACCAATATCGAACAAAAACACTGTTACTTTATCCTTGTCAGGCATGTCTTTCACTCGCGCTCTATACCACTGCGAGTCCCATTTTGCAAAGTATACTTTAGTAAAATGAATCGTTTCCCTTTCTAAAGATGTCGTGTTGTTTAGGAGTATTTGTGACAAGGCTTCGTTATGCACTAGACTTTTCATGAACGAATTTAATTGTGCATATATCTTTCCAGATTCATCTATGTGAGTAATATATAACTCGATTAGTTGTCCAGTCTGCAATGGAAGAATAATTAATATGTATATAGAGAATATATAAGAAAAGAATTGTAAGATTGAGATTGAATAACTGCAATACAAATTTTCAAAATTACTTGTATCTTGGACGCGATGCTAATATCTCTTAAAATCCTGTCGGATAAAACTTGATTAACATCTATGTATTTGCCTTCTTTGCTAATATCATAAAAAGTCACTTTTGTATACGAGCCATACTCGTCGGCGTTCGTGCCATGCACTTTCGCTGAAAACATATTCTCAACCAAAAGATGATTTTCAATCTCTGGAACTAATTGGGTATAATCGCGAAATTCTTCTAATCCCTCAAGAGCTACTCTGATCGCCTATATAAGATAAAAACATGCGCAGATACAATATACAAAAAACAATTAAAATAAGAAATACGATTGAAATATTACTTGAGCTGGAAGACTGCAGAATTTCTTGTCTAAAGGATGTAGCATATCAGGTTTATATTGTTCGTCATAGCCCTCGTCAATAAAGAAAACTGTAGCGAGTCCAGTCTCGAAGTCAAAATCTATACATTGAACTCGGCGCCAATAGTTTTCCTCGAAAATGGCATAAAAATCGCCAATGACACATTCCGTTGATAGCATTGAAGTCGGTTTTTTCTTATCGTAATGCTTTGTCATTTCCTTTGTCATTTCGACGAAATTATCCTGGAAAAAATAAAGGGGAAAAAGTAAGATACTTGTAAAAAGAAAGTAAACAGATAATACTATACTTACATTATTCTCACCCAAGCGGACCCAAATTTCGACGGTGCTTATGATGCAAGTGATATACACCTGCCAAGTAGTCATCTTCGGTACTATCAGTTTACCAGGTGCGGCAGGTCCAATCGGGTTCAATTGTATTTTCTCATTAAGCGAGAAGGTATTTTCGACGGCATTCTTAAGTGGGGTAGAATTACTTCGCTAAAAAAGAAAAATAGAAAAGTTAAATTTCGATAAAAAGAAAATTGAATTATAGCGCACATATATATATTACTTTCAAAGTCGGCAAGACTCGGCAAAGTATTGTTAAATCGCCGACGCTCTTCTCTTGATTTATATCCACGCATTCTTCAATAATCCTTTCCCAGTTGTGAGGTAGGGCCTCTTTATATTGCTCGCAGTAATATTCGGGTAATAGGTGCATAAAAACTCCGCTATGATGTTGGGTCACAATGTTCAGAATACGCTTCATCACCAATTTCTCATCGACAGTCGTTATCTCGGGACTCGACAACTTAGTAAGATTCACTAGAGCCAAACGTGCTGCGATTTTTTCGGCTTCCTCTTCGGATGCCGCGTCTTCCGGATACGTATGAAACGTGTGTGCACCGACCTGCAATATGATATTCATCAATCTGTTAATGTCGAAAAAAGAGAAAAAAAAAATTATGTCTACCTTTAAAGTGGCATAAATGATAATCTTAGAAGAATTTCTTTCTTTTTTCGAATGCATCTTATATACCGGTGATGGTAGATTCAATTTGTCAGCATAAATCTGTAAATCCTTCCTAGGATCGGAAATCTGCTGTGACATGGTCTACAAAAATGATTTGATTGAAAAAAAATGTTTAGCTTCATTGAAGAATATTCTAATTGATATTCTTACCTGCAATTGATTTAAAATCGACGGGATAGATAAAGATGTATGACCGTTATTATAGCTATTAATCAGCGGCGAAGGCATGATAGGAGTACTTTTAAGAGGAGAGACTTTGAGTCTCTCACTCAGTTTCGAGGGTTTGAGCTCTACAGTCTTTGGTTTCAAATTTATCACAGGCGACGCTGCTGTCTTGTCATTTAAAACTTTGCACTTTAAATCTTCGATAGTCTTACAATTAGCAACACTTTGGTTCAAAATCGTTATATTCGAATTTGTCGCGTTATCTGTCAGTCTCTGAAATTATTAATACATGATTAATATTTAATGGATTTTTATTGAGAGTTTGAAACACTTGCACTTACTTTAACAGGAGAAACTGGCGGTGTGGTCGGAACAAAGCTTGATTTCTCGTTATTAATCGATAACGGACACTGTACAATAGTTTCCATGAGTGGTAAAATAGGTCTAAAATATTATTTTTGTTATAAATAAATAAATAAATAAATAAATAAATAAATAAATATATATATATATATATATATATATAATATATAATTTCAAAATTATAAACAATTTTAATCGACTAAGAACAATTACAATTTCGTGTATATAAATTTTTAACTATTAGGAATAAAACAACATATTAAATTATATATATGATAAAAGATATTTGTGTGAAAAAATATTTTATTTTTTTTTCAAATACCTGCTGAAATCTGTATACAAATTGCTTTTCCCAGGTGTTGATTTAGTGAAGGAACCATGAGAATTTACGTAATTATTCTTAATAGGTTGAAAGCCATTGAAATTATTTTTATTACTACCAGATAAAAAACCTTTGGTAGTGTGTCGAGGTGGTGTCCACTGAAAAAGAATTCTATATAATTAATTGTGGCTACATAAAAAAACTAACTTTTTTTTCACCTCAGAACAAACATAAAATAATAGTTTTCAAAAATTTGTTGCAACAAGTACATTGCAAAATACATAGATTAGATAATCGTTGAATTCTCTTTCGCTTTTTATATTGATCAATTAACTTGGTGAAACAGTATACAGTATATTTTGACAACATAATTATATTCTCTTGAAAAATATAAAATATCGATAAGTATACTTTTTTCGGTTGAGGTCGTATTTTTCGTCGCGCCTTTTGTCGTGAAATTAATTTCGTAAGATGTGCTGTAGATTTGGAAGGCGTAGCTTCCACATACAATTCTCCATTTTTTCTTGTCACAGTAACTTCTGGTACATTACGTATAAAATCTTCAACAGAGGAATATCCAAATTTTTTGAAGGGTAGCGGTTCTCCTGCGATCGTGCGGTAATCCGCTGTAAGAAAAGTTTTTTGTCAACCTTTAAAATGATGTATAAATTAATACGATATTAAAAAATGGCATATTATAAGATTACTACTATTAATATTCCTTAAAATCGTGCACTAAAATATAATAATAAATTTATAACAATAATTTCATTATTTACCTCTTAAATTATCTAATTTGATACCACCTTTGCTTGATATCAAACATGATCGCAAATTCTTCACAACTTCGTCTTGATCCATGATAATTCTCTCTCATAAAAGAGAGAATACAGGAAGAGATGTATTTAAATCTCTTAGATATCTTAATTGATCGATCTGAAAGAAATTTTATAGATAAACCAATAATATTGTAACAAAATAATTGTTTATCTGCTAGATTTTAAGACAAAATCAAGCAATAAATGAATAAATTATACTGAAAATAAAAAGATGGAAACCATAGAATCTTTCATTAAATTTTGATTGTTATATCGTCACATGTTGAATCTTTATTGAAATAATAGCCTCTTACAATGCTCTCATAAGAAGAAGTAAAATAATATGTAAGAGCTGAAGATGGAGAAACAGAAAGAGATCTGTAGAACCTGCGGATACAGCAAAAAAGTGATAAGATATCAGGAATGTACAATCAGGCGTTTACAATTGCTGCTATTGCTAAGGTACATTTTATTAAATTTTGACATTATGTACTAATAGTTAATAATGAGTTATATTTTATCACGCAAACATTTGCAAAAACATTTTATAAAGTAAAATAACAAAATCTGTAATATTTAGAACTATATAAAATATGATGTAACATGCATATAATATTTAATAAGAAATCAAAATTTGGACAGGATACAAAGATATAGATAATTAAAAATCCTTGTTATTAATATTTGTCTATAACTCTCCTTCTTAGAAAACTAACATTATTTAATTATACATTATCTAATTGTACACAGATAAAGGAAAAGAAAGATGCAAAAAAAATATATTTCTAAATTCACATAACAAATTTTATTTTTCTTTCATTGATCTAATTATTTAATATGTTATATATATAATGTATATAATAATTAAAAAGTAATACTTTCATTAATTTTTTATATTTTATTTTTGTATACTTAAAAAAGACAATGTAATCAAATACATAAAATAAGATATTCACAAAATAGTGTTCCTTTGTATTTTTTCCTATGTTAAAAGATTACAATTTTCATGGTATTATGTGTATTAACCTTTTAAGATTGCATAAGAATCATAATATTGTTTTCAAAAATAAGAGAGGAAAAAGTAATTAAAAAGTTTTAAACACGCACCTTTCCTTAAATTATACCTTGTTTTAAAAGAGAAATACTTTGACAGATCAAAAATAAAATAAGATTCGATCAATGTTTGAAAAATTATTGCAAGTGAATAAAATTGCAAATGGAAATATACAGTTAAAAATGTATGTAATTAAACTGGTATACTCTTGAATTTAAAAAAATTCGAAAAAAAAAGATTATTTCAATTGCTTTCTGTATACAAGATAGCTAATAAAAAAAATAGAAATTCAAATTTGCGCTAGAATTTTTGTCGGAAAATAAATTTTTGAAACAAACGGAAAACAAAATTTAATCCCTGTTATAATGAAGAATGCCGGTTATCTTTTATCTGAAATATCTACAAGAATTGTTAATTGGACACCTTGTATATACCTCGAAAGCAATATTATGCAAATTACAGTTCATATGTATCTTCGCGGTTATACATTGAGAGAGAACAATGTCGACCGCGCGCCTAAAGAGATTCGGGTCGACGAGACCGAAAGGACGACGCAAACAAACGCCCGACCTCGCTCGAGCGAGGTGTCGGGTTTCCTCACCGTGTGCATTGCCATATGCAACGTAATTAACGGTAACGGACGATCGAGAGGACAGAACGACGATCTCCCGGGGTGGCGTATCGCCGCGATAAGTCGGCCGATCAAGCCGGAACGAGGTCGTCAGCGGTGGACGACGAATGTACGTTACGTGCAGGAATGTACGGATCTCTTTTTACGCGTTTACCTCTTCTCGATTCGCGCGCGACGAATCGCTGGCGACGCAAGTCGGACGGTTGGATCTCGTCGACTTGGTCGTCCGGAGGATCGTGAACCGCGCGACCGCGGCTTTCGTCGCTCTTCCTCGAGCCGGTTCCTCGAATGCAGAGTATTTCCTTGGGAAGACAGAACGCACGTACCAAGCACGACTGACGGACTGACGACTGACTCGATCCTCGATCGTCCCGTCGATGTTTCACGAGAGCCGCGCGCTTTCGCGGAATCTGTCTCTCTCTCTCTTTCGTCTCCCACGCGACAGCCTATCCCGCTCACCGAAGTGGGTCGCGGTTACCAATCATGCGTTCGCTTCTTCTAAGCCGAGCTGACATTCGCTTCCGCGCGAATTTTTTTAAACCGTATGGCTATCCTTAAAGCAATCTCCAACGTTTTTATTTTAATTTTTGTCGAATCTAGGATATAAAGAGCGATGTATAAAATTTCTTTCTTAAGCTTTTTCATTTTTTTATTTTTTAATTCAAAGTAATTTGAAATAAAATTTATTGGAATTTGTTACAAAAATTCTATCTCGCATCAGGTTTAATCAGGATCGTACGAATGGAATATTACATCGATGTATCGTATATCTCAAACGTTAAAAGAAATAGAAACATAAATACATGACATTAAAATCGCAAAGTACTAGAACAATTGTCATTTTTCTCCTCTCGATTCGCTCAACCTCGTATCTTGTTTCGAGTGTAAATCAATTAGTACTTGGTGTGTAATCGTAAAATCAAAGAATTTATTATACTGGAAAAAAAAGAATACATATTCGAAATCCAAAGCAATATCGCGCGTACACTAGGCGCGTAGGAAAGAAAAAAAATGGAACTTCTTATGAACTGATGACATCATTAATCTCTTGTTATCGCTAGAGTATCATTTTACACAAGAGTCTGCGACAATCGCAGAACGTAAGACGAGCCGAGTATAACCGTTATTTATCTTTCGATAAACTATAGGGAAACTGAAGAAGGTAAGAAGAAGGAAGAATACTCGAAAGAAATGCTACGCCTTTTTCTCTCGATCTTTTCTTAAATTAAAAATATATGTTGAGGAAAGGAAAATACGCAGGGAAAATTTAAAAAACTGCGATCAGCGGACGCAATAGTTGCAGATACTGTTGAGCAACAATTGTCACTTAATGATTGATACATATCTTCAGGTTTTTAGGCTCGGTTGCATCAACGTTATTTTAGCTGTAAGTGAAATTTAAATATATGTCTATCTTTATCTTTCTTTCTAAATAAATAAAAACATATATTTAAGTTTCGCTTAAAGCTAAAATGATGTTGGCGCAACCTTATACATCGAATAGTTTTTTTTCTGAAACTGATCGTCTAACCGTTACGTTCGCCGAACGCGCTTTAATCTATTTTTTAAATTTTTATTTTTATTTTTAATCGGACTTTTTGAAAACAATATTCAATTATTTTAAATTTACAATTAAATTGATATAAAATTACATTATCTTTGTTTCGTTTCTTTTTATTTTCTTTTTCTGAATATTTCTATTTTTTTCTGAATTTGTATATAATTGAGTTAATATAAAATTACATATAATAATCTCTCTTTTTTTTCATTCCCTTTTTTGAAGTAGACGCGATTAAACTTTTATATTTAAATTCTAAATATGCTTATATCTATAAATATTTTTACGTAATAAATTTACTTTCAAAAATAGACAGCGATTTGTAAATAACTGTTGTTAATTAACGTATCAGAGTAAAAAAAAAGAAAAGAAAAACATAAATATATTTTGAAAGAAAAATTTATTAGTGTAAGTCTTTTTTATATGCATTTTACATTCAAATATGTCAAATTAGTCGCGTCTAATTCAGAAAAAATAAAAATAAAAAAAGAGAGATTATCATATGTAATTTTATATCAATTTAACTATATATTTAAAACAATTGAATATTGTTTCCCGACAAAAAGTCTGATCTCACAAAGCACGGTCTCTTATTCCTTTTTCGGTGCAACAGCTTGTTTGGCCTGATGAGCCTGTAACACGGCCACGGCCTCCTCGACCTTGGCTTTCAAGGATTCGTTGTGCTCCAACATGTGAAGCAGCTCGCTGTTATCGATCTCCAACAGCATACCGGTGATCTTGCCGGTTAATGACGGATACATGCATTGAATGAGCGGGAACAATCGTTCGCCGAGCATCTGCTTCTGCTCTTGAGGTGGCGCCGCAGCTAACATCGACGCTGTAAGCGGCTCCTGGCCTTGAATATGTACGGCCTGCTGCACCGAAGGGCCGCTCGGTGCAGGTAACGCCATAGCCGTCTGCGGCGGGTTACGCATGTTCGCAGTGTATTTGTAATTCGGCGGACGACTCTGACCGGGCGAAACCCCGACAGCGGGCCCGGCCATGGAACGGCTTTGCATGTTGGCGCCACCAACTGCTTGTTGACCTTAAAGGAGAAGAAAAGATATCAATTGTGCGTGAACTCTCACGATAATAAAACTAAATATAATTGTTACATTACATCTATTACAACAATGCTCGAGGCAGTTGTCTATTGTCAACTTAGAAGAGTAATGGTAAACATCAGATGTTGAACGAATGTATCATTTTAATGTTTTCCTGGGAATAACTTACTATCTTTGATAATTAATGATTGATATAAAAAGTAGTTATAAGAATCAACTGCAATTAAAAAATAAGTTTTTCAGTTATGTCGATAGTAAAGATTATTTTCGAATCGCATGATTTTAAATATCATTATACCAATACACACATAAAATCGATGAACTTTAAGCTTTATTTACAGTATACTATAAACATAATTCAAATAACATAAAAACAAGATATTTCAAATGTATACATCCGCGTACCCTCAATTCCGTTGAAGACTATACCGATTACATTTCTGTCACTCTTCATATAATTCTTTCTCGCTACATTATTTATAATATATTTTGAAAGTTTCGAATAGCTTCGCGAGTCGTGAAAATCTTGAATGTTTTGATATTCTTAAAGATCAATCATTGTCGCAACACATATTAAATGTTCTTATACATCTTTCTACACATGTAATTTTAAATATATATAAGAATTATTTATAATTTCAATTTAAGCAAGCATTTAATTAGATTGGATAATTATTATATAGTTAACTCATCCAACTATATAATTAACTATCATTTTACAAATTAGAATTCGAGACTATAATATCGATTTAATTCGTAAAATCTATATTATTAGTCATTTTAAACTGATGCATAAAACTCACAGACAAAAAATTAACGATTTATCTTGCTTATTTTAATATCCTTTCTTTATAAATATTCTTTGGAAGTATACACAGCTTTTTTTGGAATTAGTCACTATTTAAGTCTTTTATTTAGGTTGAGAAAGATAATTATGATGTTAAAATTTTGTAATTTGTTTGATAACAAAATAATCACATATATAAATATGGAAATAGTATTACAGAAAATTCGATGATGGACTCATATAGATTGCATAATCTTTACAATAAATGATAAAATTACTTAAAAAAATAAGCTCTTTTATTACATATAAAAAAATATAAATAATAAAAATATATCTCCTTCCTTAACATATTCTATTAAAATCATTTTCCATTTTCAAAACAAATATAAATAGAAAATAGATTTAGTCGACAAAGATAATCTCTTTTTTAAAAAATCCCTTCCAAAAAAATTAATTCAAGAAAATATTTCTATTCGTCCATGGTTTTTAAAATATTAAAAGTCTCCAAGTTTTCTAAGGATTCGAAGCAGTCTAAAGTGTTCCGAATTTTTGTAAGATAATACGAATTTTTATCTAAATTTGTGATAAGATATACTTTGATACAATAAAATGAATACAAAGTGAGATGATGGTAACGAAAACCTAAGAATAAACTTGAATCATAGGCGTTGTATATAAACGCTGATTACCTTTTTTGCTTCTTTTCATACCTGTGATAGGTCTGGCGGACATGCTGTTACGCAAGGCGCCAGCCTGTGCGGCGGGGGCACGCGGCGCCGCTCGGAAGGGAGCAGATTGCATCGATGCGAATCCGGAATTTCCGGTCTGCGCATTTGGTCGTACTTGATTCGGTTGCGCTGGCCAGCGCGGAGTGGCGCGGATCTGAGCCATCTGAGCGGGACCATAGAAGCGTTGCGGTTGCGGCAACGTGGGAACAAAGTAACTGCCGGCATTGCCCGGCTGGAATATCTGGCCCATTTGTTGCATGCGTACGTTCGCCATGCGTTGCATGTATTGAGAGGCGAGATGCGCTTTACGATCCTCCTTCCGCTGCGCCAGAGCGACGTAGAGTGGCTTCGAGCCCACGATTCTTCCATTCATCTCCGTGACAGCCTTAGTGGCCTCTTCAGGCTGCGAGAAACACACGAAACCGAAACCCTTACTACGACCCTCTTCCATCATTACCTTCGCGGATGTGATCGTGCCAAACGGTGTAAATTCCTTGCGCAGACGCTCGTCGTCGATCGTATCGTCCAGATTCTTCACGTAAAGGTTCACACCCTGGTAACGATTCAGTCGTTCGATCTTCAGCTGTTCGAACTTTCGCTTGAGCTCCTGTTGGCGCTCCGCTTTCTTCTGGGCGCGGCCGACGTACATACACTTGCCTTCAGAGATGTCCTTGCCGTTCAACTCGAGCACCGCCTGCTCGGCCGCATCCGGGTCCTCGAAAGCGACGAATCCAAAGCCGCGCGACTTGCCGTCGTCCTTGCTCATCACTTTATGACTGGTAATGGTCCCGTATTTCTCGAACATCTCTTTAAGTTTGTCGTCCGTCATATCTTCACCAAAGTTTTTCACGTAGACATTCGTGAATAGCTTGGCTTTCTCGCCCAATTCCTTTTCGCGTTCCTTGCGTGGGATAAATTTACCGACGTACACCTGTGCGTGCGATTCGTTCCAATTTCGAAGGAAAAAAAACACAAAAAAGAAACATGTTAGTATCGAGTAAGTAAATCGATTGAATCTTTTGTTTTAATAATAAGGAATAAAAAGTGTGAGACTTTACCTTCTTGCCGTTCAATAACATGCCGTTAACCTTGTCAATAGACTTATTGGCTGCCTCCTCGGTCTCGAAATGGACGAAACCGTATCCTTTAGAGGCGCCCGACTCGTCCTGCGCAACCTTGCAGCTTAATATGTTACCGAAAGCGGAGAATGTATCATACATTGCTTTATTGTCTATGTTTTTGTCTAGATTCTTTATGAATACATTTCCGACGCCCGATTTGCGTAGGGAAGGATCACGCTGGGACCACATGATTCGAATAGGCCGCCCCTTTATCATGTCAAAATTCATAGTATCGAGGGCGCGTTCGGCTGAAACATAAATATCCATATAAGTATATTTAATGTGCAAAAATTCTCCTGTGGAATATAAAATAAAATTTTAATGTGGTGTTGTAAAAAAAATTTATGTCTTATCATTAAATAAATTTATGCGCGAATGTACAAGTGTCGTTTTGCGCGATTAAAAAGATATATCTGTAAAAATTATTTAACTGTAAAATTAAATTATCAAATTAAATTGACATTTTTTTTTATGTTTTCGTTCATCGATATCAAAAGAATTTTTTTTATATGATTTCGTTCATCGATATCAAAAGAAGTAAACACTTGTCTGATAAGAAAATCCGAGAAATATTCGATTATAAGGTGATAATAAAAGAAAGTCTGAAATAGCATTGAATTGATAACAAAGGAAAAGTCAATAAATTCGAGCGACATAAAATTTCACGAAAGAAACAGACGGAAAAAGCGGAATCGAAAGTTTCCGTTTCGAATCTCTATTTATATGATAGAAATCCAAGGTTAAGGGTAAAAAAAAAAGGTAAAAGCTGTTTATTTTTTACGACCAAAAACAGGACCATATACTCGTTTCTAGGTCTTTTCGTATATTTTTTATTGTACTTTCTGTATTTTCAGAGTGAAATTTAGAGAAGTTATTTAACTTGGAATTTTTATGAAAAAGTAGAGATATAATTTAGAAAGTACGTCAAAGGTTTCTTTTTCTCAGTATTTTCTATTTTCTTTTTTGTAATATATTTGATGGTAAATTATAAAGCTAATAAATCTCTATATAAATTATAGAGATTTATTCATTTTCATTACATTTCCTACATTTTGCTTTGACATAGCTATTTTATTTTTAAAATGCAAGAAAAGCAGAATACTGAATTAAACCAAAAAATCTAAGTATGAAGAAGAGTGTAGATAAAAGTGTAATAATTGACAAAGGAGAAAATATCTAATATATTGTTGTTGGTCAGTTTCTTTGTCGTTTTCGTCATCGAAATGCCTGTAGGTAGAAGCCCAAAGAACAAGCATAATAGAAAGATAAAAAATTGTTTTCAGCTTTCCTCTCTTTGTTTCTTTGCCGGCGGATATACTCGTCCTTTGTATCGCCGCGTGGAACAAGTCCGAAGGTTAAATAAGAGTGGGGGACATTCTTTGATTTTTGTTTTCAACGGACATCTGGAATATTTTCTTCTTTTATCTCGCTCTTCGTAATCTTCGTATCTCGAATTCCGCGGAAAAAGGACGCACACGGACGAAAACTAACAAGTTATTTTAGAAAAATCAGTCTCCTCGATATAAGAAGCAAAGGACACGCGCTCGTCGTCGAAAAGCGCAGGATCCACGTTTGCCTGCACGGCTGCATCTTTTCTAGATTTCTCTTCCCGCCTCCCTCTCTTTCTAGACCATTTTCATCTTACACGCGCGAATCGCGTGAAAAGCGCGGGGCGACGCGTGCAGAGCTGAAAATTCGGTTCCAATTTCACGCGACCGCGATCGTGGAATTTTCGATTTCTCGGGAAAAAAATGTAAAAAAGAATAAAAAAAAAGAAAAATGAGAAACACCCTTTTTTCCCATTGTCACGAGGCGGTTTAACCGTTAACTGCCATGACGGAACGACAAAGACGACGGCGCGAATCCAACATGGCGTACGGTAACAGAACAGCAGGCACGTAACACGCGGCACGTGTGTGAGGCACATGCAGCAGGCGGTCGCCATTTGCGCGCGCGCGCGAGGCTCCACGTTGCGTCACTCGCGATGACACGGGACAGCGCGTAGAAACGTAGAGAGATAAATCGCAATGCGATGACTCACCGTCAGCCGGTTGTTGGAAGTTGACATATGCGTAGCCGAGCGAGCGACGGGTGATCATGTCGCGGCATACGCGTATCGACAATACGGGACCCGCCGACGAGAACTTCTCAAACAACATCGCCTCGGTGATGTCGGTGTGCAGGTCGCCCACGTAGAGCGAGGCCATCGGGTAGTTGGGCGCTCCGGGATTCATGCTGGCGGCTGCGGAGTATCTTGCTTCTTCGAGCTCTCACCAAAGGGAAAGAGAGAGAGGAGGATGGATGGAGAGATAGAGAGAGAGAGAGAGAGAGAGGAGATATACCAATATGGATGGATCGAGCCGCGCTCCTTCCGAGATTCCCGATTCCAAATTTCCTTTGGCTTCGCGAGCGCCGAGGATTTTTCGCTTCTCGCCCCCTCCGCTTCGCCTCTTCCGCCGCCTCTTCTTCCTCGCAATATGGCTCGTCCTCTTTCCGACTTTCCGCACCGAGTCCTCTTGTCTTCGTGCTCGCGTCGCGTCCCGTCACTCGCACACTGCCAGGGTTACGACGGTTTTCGCCTACGGTTTTGCGATTTTTTTGTATGCGTTTTTTCGGAGACTTTTTTACTTTTTTTTTGGGGTTTTTCTAGAAGAGTTAGTTTCACGAATGAACGTAGGTTGTGTGGCCTATTTCAGCGAAAGAGGAGACACACAACCAAACGTGAACACAACTCTACTCTTACTGAGGCAGAAGAGCGTCGTGGACAGTCACAGAACTTCCTGCGCGCATTTATATACCCGGCCGCGCAACCGTCTCGTCCACTTCCGGCGAAGTAGTCCCCCTTCGGGATTCAGCGACATCTACGATTAGGGATATTTGCGTTTGGCCAACCTCGTGTAGCGTCCGTAGATTTGGGACTAGATAGGCAAAAGGGGTTTTGATTGGCTGAACGTGTTGTAAGAGAGACGATTAGTTTACCCCGATTGGCTATCGAATAAAAAATTTCTAGGGTTCCGAAAGTGTGTTATTTTCACGAACTGATTGGCCTTTTTGAATGATCGGGTAGTTTACTAGACGTCACTGACCAATCACAGCCATTCTTCTGAAGAATGTATGTTACATTCTTCAGAAGAATGGCTGCGATTGGTTAATAACGTCTAGTAAACTACCCCTAGGTCAGATCAAATCCGACCATTCGAAAACGTCATGTGACTGTCAAACCTGTCAAACACTCTCCGCCATTTAACTTTTGGACAAGTCGATTGCATCGCCAGCGAAGACGAATAATTTCTTTCGCAATTTTCATTAAAAGCTTCTCATTCCAAAATCATCCCTGAAAATGAGTAAACAAATGAATCGGTTGATCTGTAAGTAGACAATTTTAAAGTCTACTTGTAACGAAATTTGATATGATTTTGTTTCTTTACACAATTGAGATACAGATTCTTACATAATACGTTACTTGTTTTCAGCCACCAATTTCAGGAAATGGTGCTATAACCTCACCGGATTTAATCAATATGGTAATGGCAGATTTATATCCTAAGCTTGCATTAAAATTAGTTATTACCAATTTGATACGGTTAATGTGCTTAACCTGATTTTTATATAACGGTAACATTTTCCTACATATAAAAATTGGCTTTTAACAACTCGCTTTTGTTGATCTTTTACATATAATATTTGCAGTATTTCTCTATCTCTTTTATTGTACACCGAATATACTATTTAATTTGAATTACATCTGCGATATAGCATTTCGTATTGCTTGCATATATATCTATATCTTATGTAAAAATAGCATCAATAAGCAATAATTTACATATCATTCTGACAGTGGAAGAATTATTACATGTTTGGAAAAATTAATTAATTGTTCTGTTAAGGATTACGGAGAGATGATTGTCTAGCTGAGAATGAGGATGTAAAAGAAGCGCTAAAACGCCTTCCTCAGCATATCGTAGATGAACGTAATTTTCGTATAGTGAGAGCCATGCTGTTGGATACTAATAAGCGGCTCCTACCTAAAGAACAGTGGACTAAATTTGAAGAAGTAAGTAAATATTGAACGCCAGTTATATCGCTCGATCAATTCAAAATTCATTTGGCTAAGAAAAGATATTTTTACAGGATGTACCGTATCTCCAACCAATCGTTGAGGAAGTCAAGAAAGAACGTGAAGAAAGAGAAAAGTGGAACTCGGAGTAAGATGTAAACATGATGCAACAGTTATTAGTAAATGTAACAAAAGTTTACTTACATTCTCTAATGCACACTTTGTGCGGTGAAGAATTATGGTCTGTACATATATATTTAAGATAAATAGATATTAAATAAATATTATATTTGCTTTACCTTAAAAAAAAAAAGCAGTCATTTATGAAATTAAGCGACGATTTTCTTTGACGTTTTTCAAATAATATCCTGCATTCTTGGTTGCATTGCAACATCCATCTTATTTCCTAAACAATTGCTTCCAAATAATTCAATAAACCTATCATAAAATAGTCATTAGTAAAACATTTAATTTACATTACTATTACTGTTTAATTATCGTGACCCGCACGTGTTTATCTAAATAATTGATAACTTATTGCGAAAGGAATATTAAATGAATTTCTCAACAATACAACTCATATAATCGAAAATTAATTGTTCTCGCGTCTATTTTCGTAGCTTATTTAGTATTCCTTACTTAATGACGCAAATTATCGATTGTTTAAGCGAGTATTTATTTACGATAACTAAACGATAATAAATTGTAATGATGTTAATATATTATGTTGACACATTCTCATTGATTAAGTTGTTTATTCAAGGGAGAATGGAAAATACACATAGTGACGTAATAAATATAGCAGAATTATATAAATAAAATGAATGCGCTGTGTATTAGATTTATATATATTTATATTTAATAATAGGTGGAAAAACAAAAAAGACCATTTTTTTAAATAATTTTTGACTTAAGACACGAATTTACATAATTTAATTCTTGTATTATAATTTCAGTCTCTGATGATAATTTTAAACATAAAAAATACTGATATTTTTAAAACTGCACGTATAGAATATATGAAATATATGAATAATATATAAATAGAAATTTTTTTTTGAAAATTTTAATGTTTGTTACATATTTATGTGGAATTTAAAAGCTACAATGAGAATTATTTTAAATAAGTATCTTTGAATCGTCGTTTTGAATTACAGTTCTCCTTACTCATCTCGGATTTAAAAAAAAATTACATGGGTCAAACTTTCTGAGTGAAAATTGCTACTCCTTCGCATTTTTATAGGATATCAAACTTCAAGTTAGTTAAAACTTTTTCGACTTTTTGCAATTTATAAATTGATATCTCGACATTACAAAACGACTAATATTATACTTGTCTTTAGTATCCATGGAACATGCGGGCGAATTTTACCAGATCGGATATCCGGGAAAACGAGGAGGCCTCGACAGGATTCGACCGGCGTGATGCCAAGGATCATCTATTGATCATCATTGAGCCGCATCATCATCCCCCGTGGCATGCATTTCGCGGGCAAATTGACGGATCAATATCTCACCCCCACGCGGACGGCATCGCGACGAGAGCGAGTGAGCGGCCGTCAGAGCTTCAAGAACGCTGAACGGTTTCGGGTCTCGCGCGGCTGCTGCTGCTGCTGGTGATTCGCCGGTGGATTTGGAACGCGTTGTTCATTTCTGCCTGCTCGGATGACCACCTGGCTGTGTGACTGTCGACATTATACCCGCAACGTGCTGAAGGACACGACGCGTGTTGGCCAGCACGAAAAATAACTTGGAACGTGGTAATATTGGAACCTCTTTAATATCGAACTCTCGAGTCTTTCATCGGTGATTTCCTTTATGAGAAATAACTCGAGGATTAAATCGAGAATTTTTATCATCGTTTTGTCTTCGACAGTTGATCCGACGCGGGACGGGACGCGCATACATGTAAATGGAGGGAAAGAAATAATTGGCGACTTTTTTTGGGGCGTCTTCTCTAATTTCAAGCAAAAAATTCAGATTTTTGTACTTTATAATCGTATAACTGTCGATTGATGCTATTGTAATGTAAAAATTGTAAAAGTTTTTAATAATGGACGAATTTTTCGTTTCGAAAGTTTTTAAGGGTGATATTTCTCTAGATATTTCTCTAGATATCAGAGATTGGAAAAAACGCTTCTCTATAAGTTTCAAGGCGAATTTGTGACTTATGATATTAATTCGCTATACAGTTCGAGGATCGAATTATGCGGCGGATGACTCAGGGGTCGCTCGTCGGGGCTTTGCACGGGGCGGTTTCGATCGTTAGCCGTCGTGCTGTCGCCAAAATTTATGACTTTTCGACGCTCTGTCTTGGCAAGAGAATCTGAAAATTCTGAATATTCGAAAAAAAGTATATTATAATAATCTGAAAATGACGTAAGAACGGCTTCAAGTTAGAATCTCGTGAGGGGTAGAGAGGGAAGGAGAAAAATCAGTAGGAGTATAACGATCGGATAATTCGTTGCATGCAATACTGCATTCAGCCGGCTGAAAGGAAGTTTCGCGACTCGTTCCTCGAAAGAATCTAAATTTAATATCCTCATTATATCGAATTTTTTCTTTTTCTGTGTGTCTTTTCTTTTTTCAATCGAATAAGTTTCAAATTAGTTAGATTTTTGACGATTTTTTTAGCAATTAATTTTTTTTTCAGCTATGTGAAAACGAATATTCGGCTTTTATTTTATATATGTGGATTCTTTTATCATATTTCATCATATTTTTTATGATAGTCTAATCTATTATATCAGAAAATATTTTACATTACAAATAAAAAAATCCTTATTTAATCATTTTAATTATATTTTATAAGTATAGTTTCATAAAATATATATATTTTTATTATTTTTATTTCCAAGAAAATTATTCGAAAAAACAAATACAAACGTACATTTTTCGAAAAACAGTGGTTATTTAATTTTAAATTTAAAATATATAATCACACACATAAGAGAGAGGTCTGAAAACGAGAAATTGTATATATGTGTGTATTTGTGTAATGATAATAAAAATTATATATATTATGAATAAAATACTTTATACTGAAAAGTTGATAAAATGTTGTAATACATTTATATGCAGATGCGGGGAATACAGCGACCGGCGTATTTCCACACAAGGAAAGCGCTGACAAAGGAACTGATAGAAGAAGACTCGAAGATCGTATGCCACAATCTCGATCTCGAGGAACAGTACGCGACGATCATAACGAGGATAGTCGGCGAATAATCATTCTCGTTCTTTGAGTTTACTAATTCGACACAGTTGTGCATCGACGATCTGTGACGAAATTACATCACGATGTTAGAAATTAAATCAGGTGCTGCGCCAAAACACTACCTCTGCTACATGTACAAAACTATTGAAGAATTGATCGTATTAGGGCTACAATGAAGATAGATACATTATATTATATTATATTATGAAAAAAATTATATATATATATATATATATATACATTCTTTCACAAGTATATATAGAAAGAATATATTCTGATGAATAAGCGTTTACACATACAGTATTGCTATAACATTCTGTATCAGAAAAGGTTCTTCCTTGTGCTACGAGGTTGCTCTTAAGCGATTAATCGCAATTAATTGTTATGGAAGCGTTTAGGAAAAGAGAAGATACGACGACGATTTATGCCTACCATTTTTCTGACTGGCGAGGATAATAGAAGGATAATAAAACGCATAGCGGTTGCACACACGCGCAACACGAGGCTCAAGCAGAATAGATTTAAGCTAGCTAGGAGCGAATAAAAACAATGAGTATACCGTACGATGAGAGCTTAATCTGGATAGTGGTGGCCGGTTTTATAGTGGCGTTCATTTTGGCGTTCGGTATTGGCGCCAACGATGTCGCCAACAGCTTCGGGACGAGCGTCGGTGCCGGAGTTCTTACGATATTCCAAGCCTGCGTTCTGGCGACCTTCTTCGAGATCGCAGGCGCTGTACTGATAGGATATAAGGTATCGCGATACTGATCATCAAATATTTATGAATATAATAAATGGATTCCACGAATAGATGTATAATTCTATAAATTAAAAAATGAGATATAGACTTTCAAATAGTATTTTAATTCCACCTATTTTACTTTGCCGCAGGTTTCTGATACGATGCGAAAAGGTATATTGGACGTCTCGTTGTACGAAGGCCATGAGAAGGAGTTGATGTTAGGAGCATTGTCCAGTCTAGCCGGTTCTGGTATCTGGCTATTGCTGGCAACCGCGTTACGACTTCCAATTTCTGGTACGCATTCCATTGTTGGTGCTACAGTCGGATTTTCCCTTGTGTGCAGAGGTACCGCTGGGGTTAGTAGCGCTACAACGCGTTGCGATCTAGCGATAACGAGTGTCTCAATTTTCAATTGCGTTAACTGTACAGGTAAAATGGATAGCACTTGCTAATATAGCAGCGTCCTGGTTTGCTAGTCCCGTACTCAGCGGGACCGTATCCTCCGGTATCTTCTGGCTCCTGAGAAAATACGTACTCAACTCTAACGATCCATTTGAGCAAGGTCTCTATTTTCTCCCTATGGCATACGGTCTGACCGTTGCTGTCAATATTTTGTCAATTGTACTCGACGGACCTAAATGTGAGTATTTTTCCGAAATGAGAGAGTTAATTCGCACTTGAACTCCAAAAATGTGTATTTTCAAAAAAAATTTCTTTTATAAGAAAAATTTATATTATAAAGAAAAAATTGTATATTGTAAGAAGAAAATATGCCATCTTCTCTACAAATAAAAATAATGTTTATATCTTTTATTTTTAATTTTTCAGTATTAATGTTGGATCAATTGCCGTGGTGGGGTAGTTTGATAGCTGCGTTGCTATTGGGTAAATTTGTCGCAGTGATCGTATATGTATTCGTGGTACCGTGGCAAAGAGCGAGGATACTACTGGCATCGAACGGTAATGGTGAGGAGACGGGGACGCATTTTAGCGCCTGTCAAGACAAAAAGGAAACGACGGCATTGTCGGTGATCTCGGAGGTACCTTGCGGCGACAATAGTAACGGTAACGCGAAAACCAATTTAACGGTAACGACGCCGCAGTTGCGCGGCAATAGCAGCGAAAGCCCGTTGCTGATGGTCGCACAGGCAGATGCGGAGAACGCACAGGCAGACGGTATGATAGATGAAGAAGAGCAGCCGGAGGTTTCGCGGTTGTTTGCTTTTCTTCAGGTACTCACCGCGGCATTCGGTAGCTTCGCCCATGGTGGCAACGACGTAAGCAACGCGATCGGTCCGCTTATCGCGCTCTGGGCGGTGTACTCGGAAGGCTCGGCTCGGCAGGAGGCTGAAACGTCCATACTTATACTCTTGTACGGCGGCCTAGGTATCTCCACGGGACTATGGGTATGGGGACGCAGAGTAATACGGACTTTGGGCCAGGATCTAGCGCGTATCACCCCGACGACCGGATTCACCATAGAGGTGATGGAATACGCGCTTATTTTGCGAAAAATTATCTAAGATTGGCGCGAAATCTATCAAGTTATACATATATGCATAAATTTGAATTTTCATAATAATTTATATAGTTATTTTTTCGTTGTGTTTTTATACACAGATAGAAAAAATAGTAATACAAAGTACAAGAAAGAAGAATCTGTAGTCAACGTAAAAAGAAAACTAAACTCCATTAATTAAATTCCAATTAACTTAATTAACGATTAACTTGTCAAATAATACCTGCAGTGTTTCGTTGACATGAATAGATTTTTTAATTTTTAATTTTTTGTAAAGGAAAAAATATTAGATTAAGTACATAGAAATTTCATTGTAAGCAAAATTCTGTCAATTGAAATTAATCAAAGTTTGGTTTAAATTTACTCTGAAAATAATTGTATATATTATGAAATATAAATGTTACTTTCTCTCTTAAGAGTACATTATAAATTTATTTTATTGCAGGTGGGAGCCGCGGTGACGGTCCTGTTGGCAAGTAAGATCGGTCTACCCGTGTCAACGACGCATTGCAAAGTGGGATCGGTGGTATGCGTGGGATGGGCCTCACGCGGCGGCGAAGGGGTCTCGTGGAAGCTATTTCGCAATATCGCGTTCGCGTGGCTGATCACCGTGCCGATGGCCGGCTGCTTGTCCGCCGGCTGCATGGCCATCTTCCGCGAAGTAATGAACTTGTGATCGTTGCGCGGCCGAGAAAACGCGGCTTTAGACGCAGAAAATCGCCATCCAAATACCGTTCTCCTCTGTTGTCAATAAAAGTTCTTCAACAAATAAATATGGTCGAACAGAAACTCCATAATATTGTATCATGTTTATTCCTTTTTTTCGAGTCCGTTTAAGTTAAGCGTTTCAATAATCCTAAAAAAAAAAATGAAAATAAATACCTCGGAGAGGTCGAGCTGCGCGGCGATACGAGGGTTAAAAATCGATGGAGGTAGCTTGCGTTGTTATAGAGATACATTCAAACAAGAGGTCTGAAATGTCAGATTATATATGAATCAACTCGATCATCGCGAATATGTTTCGGCGATTTATACACTTTTAATATCACTAAATACTTTGGTATCGACATGGCAAGTCTACCCCTTTTACCGGGATACATCTTTCGAGATGTTAGCGTAAGTCTGAATAAATAAGCTCTCTCTTGTTCTCTCGTTCTATTTTCATATCATCGAAATTATAGTGTGGTTAAATCAATTTTTATACATCTTGAAAAGATATTCTAGTGGCTAATAAGGGGGATATATTTTCATTCTCATTTCATAAGATCAAGGATTATAAATTGCCGCACAAGCTCGACATTTCAAACGGCTTTCCCGTGATACGCGACAGCAATTATAGCTTCGGTAGGAGACCGACAGACGCAGCATCCCTTCGATATGCCGAATGTCCACAGCCAGTTGTGTAAGTAATCGCGAACCCTGTTCTAAGATCATATCGCGCGCATTGATATTAATTATATTATTTTATTCCACACACAAATTTTATTCCACAGTACAAGATTATTCGAATTAAAATTAATCGGAATTATTTCTCAATTTTATACATATATATTACTACTTTACAGAAATATATATATATATGTATTATATGAATTTATATTTTCTTTAATTCATTCTTTTTATTACATTATTATTAATTGTGTCTTTAATTACATAGATATGATCCATCACTGACTTATGGCCGAGTGCCTCGGTACGCGTTTCGGCAATTCGTGCCGCATTACGCATTGTTTGCGCAAAAATGTCTCCGATTCAAGGCCTTCTTTCGTCAAGGGATCTTTGACTCCCCGGACGAGCACTATCGCATTCGCCACGTGGATATCATTTATTACCTAGAAGACGATACGCTCTGCGTGATAGAACCGGTAGTGGACAATGCCGGTTTCCAGCAGGGCAAATTAGTGAGGCGCGACAAGATCCCGAAGAACGCCAAGGGGGACCCATTCATCTGGAAGGACTTTAACGTCGGGATCAACGTGTGTATGTTATCGGTGATTGAATATTACATTCTTTATTTCCTTTCGAGGCTTTTCAGTTCTCTATTCAAGATGCATCTCAAGATTCCTTAGAGAATTTGATTAAAAAAGCATTTATTTGTTCAGAAATTATACTTAGAAAAATAAGAAAATTTCTGTCAAATGTATATCACATGAATTCCAAGTAAAGTGTGCGTTTTCTCACAGGTATTTACGGTGTGGTATATCGTATCGTCGACTGCGACCCGTTCACCAGGGAATTCTTGACGAGCCAAGGCATCGATGTCGGCGAAAAGGAGAGTCTGCCCGCGGATCCTTACGCGGAGCAGCGTAAGATCAAGCAGGATGGGACGATTGAAAGGATTGTTACGCGAATGATGAGCGACGATCCTAGACGACGTTTTCTAAAGTTCGATGGCATGGTGCTGTCATTCGACGCTACGTGGAACGACGATCATTATCGGGTGTTGTATTTTTTAACGGATGATACTGTGGCCATCCGCGAGATTCACAAGCCCAACGACGGCAAGGACCCCGTGGCGATGTTGCTCAAGCGAACGCGTGTACCTAAAAATTGGCAAAGTTTGCCTTCCTGGCATCCGAGTATCTACATGGAATATGGAGATCCCGAAATCATCGAGTATTATACACCGCGAGATTTTAGAGTGAGACTTGATTGTTTGCTTTGCTTGATGCGATAATAAGCTCTTTAATTGAATAGCTTGATAACAAGCGATAACAAGCTCTTTAATTGAATACAAATCAAAGAACAGTTAGAAATTAAAATTATCGCTAAAATATCTTTGTATACGTTTTCAATGCTTTCTATATCATACAAACGTAAAACACGATCTTGAAATTAAAGAGCATATGAGCGCTTTCCTTTCATTTCTAAAGTTCAAAATAATATCTCGCTTACATAAGATATACAAAATGCTACAATATAAGATGATCAATCTTTCAATGAGCGAATTTGTAGTCAGTTTCGAAATATCAGTATTATCAATACAATTTCAAAATATCATATTAAGATGAATAAGTGTTGAGAAAGACTATTTCTTGAAATGCAAAATTAAATAATCTTTTTTTCAATATAACATGATAATCAAGCATCTTTATATCTATGTTTACATAACATTTTTTTCTTACTTTTATTCAAAACATAAATATACTAAAATTTAATTTTGGAATATCCTACATATGTAAACTGCACTAATATTAAAAAATTTTAATTATATCTTAAACTTCTACATGCTGTACGATAGAACATGTGAATATTTTTTCAGAGAACAATATTTCTTCTTCGGAGCGAAATAAAATTAAAATCATATCACTGATCATTATAAAATGAAATTAAAATCATATCTGGTCATTATAAAATGAAATTAAAATTATATCATTCTCAGATAGGCGAGACGATCCTCTTGTACGGCCGAAGCTTCCTGCTACATGACTGCGACGATTTTACACGAAAATACTACTCGGACGTGCTGGGCACTCCACAAGCGGATGCGATTCCGGTTCCCGTGAAAGACGAGAAATTAATGCCAGTCAAATGCGAATCGCCGTATATAAAATTCGACAGTCCTGAAGATACGTATGTCAGCAGTCCGTCCTTCGTGTCGAGACCGATTAGCAAAAATGTCATTCGTCAACTGATCAATTTTCCGAAGAAACTGCGCTATTCTATGCGGATGGATGCGGTGCATCCGGAAGACGAAGACCGCGACTTTGTGCTGGAATACAGATTGAGCGACGGTGCCATTCAAATCGTCGAGAGGGAGAAGCGCAATTCTGGCCGGAATGAGGGTTGCTTTCTATCCTTCAGGCTGATCCCGAAACCGTGTAATACGAAAAGAGACGATCCGGAGTATTATACGCCTGAGGATTTTTTTGTGGGTGCGCGTATCAACATATTGAATCATCGCTTCGTCATCACCGGCGCCGATTTGTTTGTATATCGCTATGTAGAGGCGAATCGCGACAAATTTTGCCAGGAGGTTCGGGAGAATCTGCGTAACTACTTTCTACAGCAAGGCATGCTGCAGAACGATGTGGACGTCGAAGCTAGAAAGATACAGGAGAGGGAGGATGAATGCAAACTCGTTGCAGATACGAATGAAAAGATTGATGATAATGACGCGAGTAAATGCATGGACGAAGAAGCTAATATAGCTAGCCATGAAAAACGATAATGTCTTGTTTCAAATCAAATAATATGGAAATGATGTTTAATGCGAATTTCCTAATTGATTTGACCTGCAGTGTCCGTCAACAAATTTTTCAGCGGTTTTTCTTCGTCTCTATAGTATGACCTTATATGCAGAGCAATTTGAATAATATCGATGAACTTTATAGTTGGAAAGTCCTTGAAATGAATTAGAAATCGATTATTCCATATGATACTTCTTAAATGAAAGCAATCGAATTCCCGGCGACTTTCAAATTATTAAAAGTTATAATTGTCAACTTTAAACAACCTTCAAGAATAAAGATTGATAAAAATTTGTTTTTTATTGTTCAGTTTCATAGATTTTAATCAATTAAATGTTCAAAATCTGATAAACTTCAAGAGATTAAAATACAAAAAAAAACGTGAGAAAGATGGAGATGTATAAAAATTATAAAAGAGAGATTTTCCATTCCCTTTATATCGATTAAAAAACTCATACGCGAGAAGTTCTATATTATTCAGTATCGCTCTGTATAACGTTATCGTTGTCTCATCAAAGGATATATCATGTATCGTAAAAAAAGCAGAGAACAGAGATGCGTTTAACAATAAGAATATCTCATGAAATGTCATCAAATGGTACAATAATAATAATAATAATAATAATGATCGTCATCATCGTGTACATTACAGTATAGATTAATTGCAATATTATTTCACTTCTTGTTATATTATCATCTCAACTCATTTTTTTCTCTGTATAGTTCATGTGTGAATAATATAATAATTGATGATATACTCGCAATATACAGATATAGAGAATACGCGCTAAAATAAACGCCAATAATTTCTGTATAATTCATTTTGTCAAGCAAGATTGTTATAAATACAACTGAGAACGTTGTAATAACAAGCTCCCCCCCTCCCCCTGCACCTTTATAACAATTAAGGGGGAATTCATCCAATCTTCATAGCTGCAGGCACCAGATTAAATGTTCATTGGTGTTTAAAACGATATAACCAATCCAAATGACACTTGTTTATATAATATAGTAGTTCTTGTATAGATTTTTTCCATTTTCAACAAAAGTGTAAGCATTTTACAAGGATTAGTCCACATATTACAGTTTTTTATTTTTTATCTTTTTTTTTCTTTTTCTTCTATAGACCGCGCGTCTCGTTTCCTCCCCTCTCTCCCCCCCGTCTTCTGTTCCATTGCATTTGTACGTTTAAAAACACCTTTCGATGAATAGCACGCAACACCACACTATACGCAATTACGATCGTCAGTGAGTTTAGCCAAATATCCTTCGAAATAGTGTATTATTTTCCTCCTCCTCCTGCTTTTCTCTCGCATTGTCATAATAATTGCGGTTACATATTATTTTACGATGATGCCGACGCGACGCTAATGTTATCTCATTACCGGATTAATCAACGAAAGAACAACGCGGCCGAAGATGTCGACGACGGCGACAACGACAACGACGACGACAACGACGACGACGACGAGTGTTGTTGTTCGGTCACGGGAAATCAGACGAAGCCTATCATGGATCCGGGAAAGCAAAGATAAGTAGAATGTAGATAATTAGTCGCAGCGTGCTCCTTTTACGTCGATTACTCTTGTTAGTAACGCTAATACGTTTCCGCGATACCCAGCGCTACTGACGCGAACCTCCTCTGCCACTACGGCCGCGCTCCTACAACGAAACAATAAAATTCTATTAGACTCTCACCGACAGCAATCATCACAATTTTATTCAAAGATCTCGTTATCGTGATAATAGTACGTATTGAATGAAACTTCAACGAAATTGAATGAAACGGTCTACCTTTCGCTGATGCAGGTGAGACTGATGACCATGCTGATGATGATCTCTGGACATGTCTGAGGCGTGCCCTCTGTTTCTATGATTGGAGGAAGAATGATGATGTTGTACGGGATTGCTCGGAACCTTGCGCTGATCCTCCTCGGCCTGTCGACGCTCATAATGCCCGAAATCATCGAAAATGCTTGTAGAGTGACGATAGGAGTGCAGGATACGCAGCACCGTGACGCCCTTCGCGTGCGGGACTTCCTGCGCGTCCCGCGAATTGGTCACCGGCTTGTTCTCATTGTTCTCGAGCTTAATGTGTCGCAGTTGCACGTTAGGAACATCCTTCACGTATATCCAACGGACGCGAAACTGTCCCTTCCACTTGTCTTGCGACCAGACACTACTGTTGCACTGATAGTCGACGGGAGAGACCATCTGTGCCATGCCGCAAAAGTGACCAGACCCGTTGACGGAAAAGAACAGATAAAGGGGCGCGCCTTCACGATTCGCTTCTCGATAAGCCTGATCCAGCCGTTTATTACCGTGTTCCGTGCTGCACCAGATCTCATATTTAATGGATCGATGTATGTCGTCCTCCGAGTAAGACTTGATCACGAAGAACCTGGCACCAGGCGCGGTCTGATCGAACTCTATGGGATTATAATCATTCTTCACTTTCAGTTCGTCGAGAACCGGATGCGATGGATTGGCCTGGGAAAGTTGTTGCTGCTGCTGCTGCTGCTGCTGTTGCTGCTGATGCTGTTGATGCTGTTGCGACTGCTGATGCTGCTGCTGTTGCTGATGATGATGGTGATGGTGGTGGTGATGCTGCTGTTGATGTTGCTGCTGTTGCTGTTGCTGCGATTGCGCCGGCATGTGAATCTGCGTTTGCGGGAGCGGTGGGGTCGCTGTCGCTGTGGATGGTTGCCTGTTCCAGCAAGGCTGAGGCGGCTGCTGCTGTTGCTGCTGCGGTCGCTGCTGCCTCTGGACGGGCGGCGGCGGCGGCGGGATCGGTGGCTGCACCTGCGGTGGCGGGGGCGCCGTAGGCGGCGGCGGCGCGGAAGACTTGCCCTCGCCCCACGTCCCGATGTCCATGTTATGTTTGCCCGGCACAATCGGCGGTGGTGGCATGCCTGCTTTCTTCTTCATCCCCTGCGTGGACGAGAGGGGCGGTACCGGCTTGGCTGGTTGACTCGCCACGCTCGCCCACGTGATCTTCCTAGGTTCCTTCGGCTCAGGCTTGATCTGCTGCGCCGTACTCTGTTGCTGGGGATGCTGCTGATCCTGTCGCGGCAGCTCGCCGCCCCCGCCGCCGATCGACAGACCTTGCACGCCCTGCTCGATGCTCTTGATCTCGCCGGTGCCGCTCGCCGCAGGATTAGCATAGCTCTCGTTGCCGCGCGGTGGTTGATAGTAATCCTCGTACTTGGTCCTCCTCGGCGTGCCCCACGCGCTAAAGTCGCCATTGCCGTGGAAGTAGTTGAACGGGGGCTGACCGAACGCGCTGAAACCACCGCCGGCCGCTGACGCCGAGAACATGCCGTCTATCGTGCCGTAAGCATCGTGGCTTATTTGACCACCGTAACCCGAGAGAAAGGCGACCGGGTCGGTGCCGTTCGACCACGTACCATCGCCGGCACCGAAGGTCTGGTAGGGGAACGAAGTGCCGGGGTAGTACGGGCTGTACGGATCGCCGGTACCGATCGGGTAACTCGAGTGATGCTGAGCATTGTTGCCACCTCGCCACGAATCGAAGCCGGTGTCCTCGCCAGCGGCATGCTCCGTCTGTTGTTGCTGCTGGTGTTCCTTAGGACCATTGCTCACTGCGGCCGAAATAGAAATGCGTTTATATTCGTACTATTCGGAGATACGTATCGCGATCACGTGCACACACAGAGAAAAATATCATTCTACTAGCAAGAAAAGCGATTTATTTTTCTAATTATTTTTCTTTTTTTAAGTAAATTTTCTTCAACAAAGAATATATTCTTGATAATGGTCTTAAAATATACTCATTACAAGTGTTAGAAAATGTCATTATCAGGTACTCAAAAGAAGAAATTATTTTCTCTTCAAAGAAAAATCAAACTTACGCCAACTCATGTAGTAAGCAAACCAAATTTTTGTTTTAATTTAATATTCTTCACTAAAGCTACTGCACTTACTAAAATTCAGAATATATTCAATTAAATTGAATGTTTGCGGTGAACTTATAATATATTTGCGGATATACAAACTTATGATATACTTAAAATAAATAATATTTACTTGAATACATTTTTCTCTGTGCACAAAGTAAAAGAAAACAGCCAAGATATCGTTCAACTGAAATCTTTAATTAATACTGCGTCAGCAGTTTTGAAATAAGCATAAATTGGCATACCAAAATATCATAATAAAAGAATCGGTAAATTTACAGCCTATCGTTATCTTCATTCAAGCAGCAAATTAAGCAAGAGCCAAGAGTGTCGAATATGTAACTTGATAACTGCGTGAGAAAGTTTTCTAATTAATGGAAACCACTTGTCAGTTCTATTTCTGTGGAGGTCATTAATAAAATATCATTAATAAAAAAGCATTAATAAAAAATCGTTATTTGCATCATTTTTATACAAGACACGTTTCACACGCAACATGATCATCAATTTCTTGACTATAAAGATGCAAGTCTTATTAATCAGAGCTTTCAATCAATGTACGCACAATGACATTTCTCCAAACAACTAATGTACAATTATTCATCCCTCGACAAGAGAAATTTACTTTTCGCCTCTCATTCAAGCACGCATTCCGCTCCTTCCAGGAGAAGCTTAGACGCGAGCCAAGTAACAGCGAGGAAAAGTCGAGTCGTCCGAGGAAGCTGGACTCACCTGGGTTGCCGGTTTGTCCTTTCATCCGCTGCATGCCGTTGCATGAAAAAACATACAAAATTTAGAGAAGGGCCGACCCACGACGTAGATGTGACAGTACGTGTAGTACGGGGGCGGGAGGGCAGGCACGAGAGGAAAGACAAGGAAGTACGTGTCGGTGTCTATCGCGGAGACAGGTCGCGTCGCGTCGCGTCAACACAACACACTGACCTGGTTTGAGACAGCGCCTGCCAATCCGCTTGACATAACCTGCGATTCGCGCGGCTGTGTCGTCGTCGTCGTCGTCGTCGTCAGCGGGGGCGGCGTCGAACAACAACGACGGCGGCGGCGGCGCCCGTGTCGAGAGAGGACGAGTGACAAGAGAGAGAGACAGATAGATAGAGAGAGGCAGAGAGAGCGGCACAACTAGGTTGCGTTACAGGACAATATAATAGGCGGTCGGGAGCTCCGTCGAGCACCACCGGCTGCTGGGACAGCGGATCGCGCGGTTACGTCCAGCGATCGGTCGCACGGTCGCCACCTCCACCCTCGTCTTCCTCTTGTTTGGCGGCGGCCCGCCAAGTTATGCCAACACTCGCGGCCGAAACACGGGTGTCCCTCGCTTCTCCGACCCGCTTCTCGCGATTCCGCTCTATTCCACGCGATTGTTCCCGCTGTTCCTCCGCGCGCGCGCGCGCGCCCCCGACGTGGCCGCCCGAGCACAGACCTGGAGAGGAGTCCGAGATCGCGCACCAAATGTCCTCGGCCCGCTCGCGCGGAGTCGTCCGGGAACGATTACGGCCTGTTAACGCGACCCGCTGCGAGAGAGACGCTGTCGCGGACCGTCGCGATAACGGCTCGCGAACTCGGATTCCACGGCTCGAAGCAAATAACTACGGTGACGTGCACTGACCTCCCGCATTCGCTCGCAGGCGCGCCAACCCGAGTCGTTTCCGCGAATGTCACTATCTCTTCTCCCTTGGAATCTCGGAGGACGCCGCGATTCCGGGAGAAAGCTTCCCCGTTCGCTTTACAATCGCCCTTCCGGCCTCTTATCTTTATCCTTTCGACGTACGAGCGATCCGTTTCGCGTCAAACGCTAGCTAGAAAAGTGTAGGTAAAAAGTGGATTTACGATACCTTAAGCTCGTATCGAACGACTCGAGCTACGCATTGACAGTTAGAAATTGGAATTTGACCAATCGGAATGAAAGGAAATTAATTTCTTTGTCCTGATTGGTCAAATTTCAAGCTTTAATGAGTCTGATACGCGGCCAACCGGATACTCGATCCGAGCCTTTGGATTAAACTCTATACACATCCTTATATTAAATACTTTATTAATATTGGATTCATTCCTTGGGAAATCCGCATGCAAATACCGATTGGAAAACAATTCTTTGTGTAAATTCTCCTTGTCGAGGATGTAAATATAAAAATTAGCTTTTGCGAGAGATGAATGCTTTTATTACAACTACCAAAGCAATTATCTACAGTATATGATCTAAATAAGAAAACTAATAAGATTTGAAGAGAATTTTATATCACAAAGAGTTTTCCTATTAAGAATAATCATTCATATAATATATATGCACAACACTCCAATTACTTTTATACACATATATTCCTAACATTGTAAAATACGTCTGTAATAATATAACTTTATTAGTTTTATTACTCGCAATATATGTTAGACAAGATTACAATCCTAAGTGCTATGGCCACAGAGAAAACGCAACTATGTATCGTTGAAGTAAATCATTAAATTCAGATAAGATGTTCAGATAAGCATAGATAATCGTCGATGATATCGCACGCGACAGAAATAAATTATTCCGTAAACACTTCTTTTTTTTTCATTAATACTGAGAAAGGAAATTAAGTTATATTGTGATGCGCACTTCGATCAATATTCGCGCTACATTTCCTACGTTTACATTGTATGAAAATTAGTTCATTTTATTACAGTTCTGCACAAATTGTTGTATATACATTAACAATAACACACATATATATATATATATATATGTCAAACCCAATACAATACATACGCATCCTTTTAAATCCAGACTTATTTTTAATACAGCAAAGACAAGCGATCGTCATATTTTCAATGCGTTTCATATATCGTCTGTCTATCTGCTTTAGAAATTCTAGCACACCTATCTTGTATTATATACGTCATTCACCTCTATTTTGACGATTTATAAGGCTGTGATAAAAAATCTTTGGTTATACTTTTTTACAACAAGAATAATCCAAGATTCTGATTAAAAAAACATTGCCTCTTCTAGCAAAGTAAATGTTTCCGAAATTTTTTTCTTTCCTTTCTTTTTTTCAATCAATAATTCAATTTCTGGTTAACCAAGAGAAGGTTTTCAAAATGAAGTATGCTATAGTTGCAATATACAAGATCCTGTCTCTCTGCTGACGATGCAGCATGTCTAATTCAAGTGCCATTACTCTGCGATTCAATTTACCTACTTGACGACGTAAGTGTTGAACTTCTTCACTGGGTTGCAAAGAAACATCGAGAGCATTGTAAGAGGGAGTTTGTTCTCTACACAGTAAACATACAAAGAATAAGAATTAAAATATTTAGCAAAATCTCTCTAAAGTAAAGTCTTTATACCTGACATGCTTCACTATCTGTGTTTCCGTATTGTATGTCCTGGGTCTTATCTCATTCACTGGATTTACAATTTCATCAACATGTGATAGAACCTCCTCTTCATCCACCGCTGGGAAGTAATGATTGTCCAGAGTCAAAATTCTTGGAGGAGTCTGTTGAAAATAAGTATTTAACAAATGCCATCATTTTGCAATTTTTTTGATACATTACCTGTACTCTGACTATAGCAGGCTCACGCATTATAGTATTTTCTAAAACAATTTCAGGTGGTGGTGCCTTGGTACCAACATGCTGTTCTTGTCCTGCAATAATAAATTTTAGATTATAACAAAAGCAAAGAAATGAAATCAATATTATATAAATTAATCTTATAATACAAAAATGTACAATACAACCACTTAAGAAAGAATCTCACCAACAACAAGAATCCTTTCTGGCACATGCATTTCAAGTTTCTCCGTAGTATTTGACATTTGATTCCACGTTGATCTATTTGTAGCAGCACTATCTTCATCTGTATAATCCCCGTTTACTCGAATGCTTTTGGGGACTCGCATCTGCTTATCAATATTTGCATTAAACTCTGGATAGTAAATGCTTTCTATTTCTCCATTAAAATGTGTTGGACTGTGCGTCTTTGACATTATAACTGAAAATTTATTTTTATTACATAAAAACTGCCACATATATAAAGATTAAAGTATTAATGTTTGTATCATAAAAAGTATTCAATAAAATATAAATATATATCACAGTTTTTAAGCAATAAGCCGATAAAAAGTGTGCAAACAATGAAATGTCACAATCTAAGAGAATCAATAACTTTATTTAACATTGACATGATAGTACCTATGTTTCAATAAGCAAAAGAAGTGCTTTATAAAGATCAATTATTATGTTGTAATAAAACAAAAATATTTTCTTATGATGATAACGTAAAGACACAATCAACATGAGATGCAGAAGTTAGTGCTTCGTGTATTTCTTTTTTATCACTCACTCATCCATGACCATGTTAGTTGGTTATACAAGAGTCATTGTCGAACTTCAAGTTTCAAAGTTCTCTCCGGTTAGAAATTTTATCACCGGCAAAAAAACAATCGCGAATTAATGCAAATTCTTAAACTACTCAAGACTGATCAAAGAGAAAGTATCATTACGCGAATATTATTACAAAGAGAATATTTACCCTTTCGCGCCCTGATGTTCGTTAAACATAAAACCACCGCTCTAAAGTTCGTTACGAGAGTCGGTTTGACGGATTGAAATTCAAAGCATGAAGTATAATCGCAAAATGACACAGTCAGGCAACTGTCAGTAACATAATAAAATTTAATGCGCATGCGCGAGAATAAAAAGGTATCATTAAAATATCAATGATATCAACGTTTTTCAAATTATTAATAATATAATGAAAAGATTATTCAAGGATTAAATTATTAATATAATTTTAAAATGTTATATATTTTTTTTCAGTAATATATTGTGTTTAGCATCAATCAATTTATACAAGATGTTTTAAATCAAGTTCTTGTATATGTAACATCTTTCTTCTATATATAAAATTGTACAACATTAATTTATTATGATTTTTGAAGCATCTCATAAACTGATGAAGTGAAAGATAATCAATATTATTTAATCATTGTATTATTGATTGACAAACTAATATGCAAAAATCGAATTTTATAATATATTTAACATTATGTATTTTAGTTCAAAACAAATATTCAAAAATAAGTTCTTTCTAGAATTGTAAATTAAATATAAATTTTATATTACATCTACTTTAAATTAAAAATCAATTTGATCCGGATTGTCATAATCAGTAAATAATATTAAGTAAATGATATTAAGATGCAAAAAAAATTAATTTTGAAAAATTGTATTTATATTGTAATGTATATACTTTCAAATTATATTATAAGAGATGAAAAATCAAAAATGACTAATTCTTGAACAAAATAAATCAGAATAAAGAAATATGAATGATTTCTGTAATTATGTAAATAGAGATGTTGTTGTAAAGCTGTATAAACTATATATGTATTCTATCATCAGAAAAGTTATTTATAATGCAAGGAAAATATTTAATTTATAACTCCTCAGTTTTTTTGACATAATCTAACATAAATGATGCTCACAATGATAGTTCTGAAGTCTTGAAAGTAGATATCTCAGTACATTTAACATGAAAAATACTTATATCAGTGTTTTCATATATATCAACTTATTTTATAATATCTATTCTATTTAAAGCTATTATTCAATTATATAATCTATCTAAATACTTGAAAAACAGTTTGCATCCTTTCTTAAGAATTCGGATAGATTAATAATATCTTAATTGTGGCTTCAGGTTGTACTGGTATAATTATCCCATTTGTAATGCATGTTATAAATGGCATGTTAAAATGTCCCAATCAATGCTTTTGAACAGCTTGTAATAAATTTGTTTCTGGACATAAGCAAGCTTTTCTAATAACTGATAATTATCACTCTGCACAGTAAGAATGTAAATAGCCTTTTCAGGTGGGGGATTTATTCTATTACACAAATTGTATAATGCCATTATTGCTTTTGTATTAATATTCAAAATATCACAAATTATCTGAAACAAATATTTATTTGTTCAAGCTAGATAGCATATGTGAAATTTACATGAAAAATATACATATGTCATACTCACCACAACCTTTTTCATTGGAAAATTTTCTTTCATATATCAATGATTTCACCAGTATCATCTCTAAAATTTTCTGGATTCAAGCACAGAGAACTGTTAGTGTTTAAAGCATTACTGCTTGCATATGCTAATGCTACAGCCAGAGAATCCATTGTAGTTGTTTCATTTGAAAATAACAGAATGATCAAAGGTTTCCTAGTTGCTCTTGATATTATTTTGTTTATAGAGGACGAAATGTTATTCCATATATCTGATTCGTGATTATAATCTGCAGCTTTAATATTCTTAACAAGTTTAAATATTACTGAAGTATGATTGCTTATAGGTTGCATAGTATTTTTGTCCATTACATCTAAAATTACTCTTATAATTATACTGCAAATGATAATTATTGCTAATATATTAACAATAAGAAATATCAAATAGAAAAAATTTTTTTTCTCTTGTTTCATCTTAGATGATTGATTGGGAGAATTTTTATTCAATTCTGCTTTTCCAAAAGTTGTCGGTTTTATGGAACTTTGATGTTTATATATAGATGATATATGTAGCACCGGTACAAAATAGATCTGAAAAATAACAATTATGTATTTCATAAGCAAATCTCAAACAATTATATAATCCTTAATACAATATCACAATTAATACATCAGTATAAAAAGTCAGATTTATTAATATATTAGAATAATTATACGCAAATATAAATTAAATATAATCTAATCTTATATTATCAAATACATACCTTAGTTAGAATTTGTTTATTAAATACAGTGTTATCAGGATAAACGTATTGTAAGGATAAACGTTGCATGTATGATGTGAGTGGTGTACGACGTTTCGGTTGGTATGCAAACTTAATGCAATAATTTCTGTAAATAATAAATGTACTAAAAAGATAGCATAATGAATAAGGGAGAAACTCAACTAATTAAACATAAATATATATCAGTCAACATAAAGTTCTACGATAATCATTTCTCTTCTCCGCATTTTTGACACTGAACAACATTACTGTGATACAGCATACATAGGATCTGAAAGGGATTTCTGACAAAACAAAAATACCTTGAAAAGACTTTGCCGTCCATTCCGCAGCAGTTTAATAATCGGTGAGATGTTCTATCCCTTTTTTTTATCGTCGCACGAAAATAAATGTAATATCTTACATGGTAATTCCGCGAATTTTCAAAATCGCGGTCAGAAAAAAAAATCTCGAAGATTATGAGGCGCATTCAGAAATCCCATCTGGGATAAAAGTAGCATTTAATCTACCAATCAGAATGAAGAGATCTTTATTAGGCTTCTCTGATTGGTCAATTATTGCTGGTTACCTTAGGCCCGTTTCAAACTACTCATTGAGGGCCGGTTGTTCCAATTTCTTGGTAAATTTTACCCGATAGATAGTCTATCTTCGTCTCTTTTTTAGAACTTATCTGAAAAGAGTCGAAAATATGCTACCTGTCGAGTAAAACTTACCAAGAAGTTGGAAAAATCGGTCCTGAAAGTGATACGCCCTGATTGGTCAAATTTCAATGGGGAGCGTCCCGTTTGATCACGTTGCGATTAACCACAGCCAATTATATCGACCTGTGCCTAGGGTAACCAGCAACGATTAACCAATCAGAGAGTCCTATTTTGAATTGGCCAATTGGCGACGTGGTCAATCGGGTGCCACCCATTTCAACGTAGTCTGATACAAACTTTACGTGAACAAATTCATCGAGTTATATCGAATCGCAAAATATCGTGATCGATGCCTTATTTATCTCCCGCCAAAATTACTTGTCGACTGTCGAAACGTGAAGACGTGAAGTGGCATTTGTGTATTTCTATTGACAAACGTGGTTTGAATAGATTTGTAGCAATAATAATGGACGATTCGCAGCGTAAGTAGTTTGCCGATTATTTATGCGAAATTATCATCAATTTCTGGCTATATATCTACCACAGGTGTATTGTATATTTGTAAACACTACTGCATTTTCTTCCAATTTTTTGTTTACATTTAATATTCGTATAACTGATGATTTAGTAAACGTTAATATTAACAGCAAGTTAATCATAGAGTAAATAAAATAAATCGCATCGAATTAGTTTATCTTATTATTTTCTTATAAATATTTATAAAGAATATTGCACATTTTTGTTCTTTGCTAAAATATGTTTTAGCATCTGTGTCTGGCAGGGTTAAGCGTCAGAGGATTGATAAGACTGGCAGACTCTCAGCTTTGGAGAAACTGAAGGAAATTCGAAGCGGAGGAAAACGCAAGTATGAAATTGAAGAGTTAGAAAATGTATATGACGAGGTGGATGAAAAAGAATACAGCAATACTGTTTTGAAACGTCAACGAGACGATTGGATAGTTGATGATGGTATAAGAGTTTTTCTTATTTTATAAAGAAACATAAAATATCTTATTATAAGTAAAACAGACTTTATATTAAATAGCAATTTGTTTGGAAAATATTTTAGAAGGAATTTAAACCTGCTTCATAGAGATTAAAATATGCAAGCATTGATTTTAATTTAATTGCAGGAGAAAGTGGCTACATTGAAGATGGAAGGGAGATTTTTGACGATGATCTGGATGAAGAAAGCATTCAAGAAGCAAGAAAACAAAGACACAATATGGCTGGTCCTAGAAAGAAAAGAAAAGAAGAAAATGGAAAAAGAGGAAATATTCAAAGTATGATTAGAAATATGCCTTCTAAGAAAAACACCAATACAACAGTAATTAAAGATGATGATATTTTGGGAGAGTTGCTTAGTGAAATCTCTGTGTGTAAGAAAACAACAAATAGTCCCAAACCAACACAAACAAATAACAATAAAAATAAATTTTGTCATACAGTTCACTCAGATATTACGTAAGTTGATAAATTGTATTAATACATGTCTATATATTATGTTTTTACTATATTAATTTCAAATGATAAATTGATTACAGACAAAATTATCAACTTTTATCCACAAACCAAGAAATTAGTGATAAAGAAGTATCTGAAAAGTCAGAACAGCAAAATGTGATGAAACCAATGGAATCTAATGATATTGCACAAAGTGCAAGTCAAATAATTGAAGATATAGATGACACTGTGATATTTGATGCACCAAAAAAGAAGAGTGTGAATAAATCAGCAGAGATAAATAATTGTTTGAAATTAGAAGAGAATTTAAAATTAAAAGAACAAGATGTAAGAAAATTAACAGAGTCTAATAATATTACACAAAGTGCAAGTCAGATAATTGAAGATGAGGATACTGCTATAATGGATCCTAATGAGTGTATCAGAGATGTAAGTTTTACTTTTCCCATAATCTCATTTGTTATTACATTTATTATTTCTATAAGAGCAAAATTTTACATATGAAATACATTGCAGCTGTCTACTATAGATTTTGATGATGGAAGCATGGATGTTGATTTTTCCTTGCCAGTGAATAAAAATGTTATACCACAAAAGAATGGAACAGACATACAAACTACTTCATATAAAACTTCCATCAAAAGTATGAAAATCGGTAATGCCGTTGATTTGACGGAAATAGCGCCACAGTTGGTTAAGACAAAAGATAAAGAAGAAGTATTTAGGTTTTATTATTTGGATGCATATGAAAATCCATACAAAAATCCTGGAACTGTATATCTCTTTGGCAAGACTTATGTATCAAAACACGATGTATATTGTTCATGTTGTGTCATGGTGCATTGTATACCGAGAAGAATATATCTCTTACCTAGAAAATATGTATGCATATAATTTTTCATTAATTTTTGGTTAAGTTATTTGATTCAAATATGCTAATATTAGTCAATTGTTATTAATTATTAAATGCAGTTTCTTTTTATGGATCTAAATTACAGATAAAGACATCAAAAAACAACGAACCGCAATTAACTACTATTGAAGACGTATATAAAGAATTTGATGAATATGCGAATAAAATGCGTATAATGGAGTTTAACTGTAAAGAGACAAAGAAGCATTATTCTTTCGAGAAGGAAGGTACACCGAGAACTTCCGATTATTTGGAAATCAGATATAATGCGCGCTATCCAGCGATTGATGCCGATTACTCGGGTCCAGCAATAGAACGCGTCTTTGGCACAACAGTAAATGCATTAGAGCTGTTACTTATAGAACGAAAGATTAAAGGACCCTGTTGGTTAGATATTAAGAATATATCGCCGACCGCGGGACGATTCGCCTGGTGTTCGCAAATAGTAAGTGCATTTGTCATATGGTACAATAAGAAAATTGAATTTTCGAATACAGTTTATATAATGCAACAGGTGGTTACTTCAGACATGGACAATATATCGCTATGTTCCCAAGAAAAATCCAAGCCACCAATGGTAATAGCGACCCTAAATGTGAGGATGTCCTTGAATGCAAAGTTGCAGAACGAAGTAGTGATGGTTGTTGTATTGATTCATCACAAGTATAATGTCGACAAAGAACCACCAAAACCACCTTATGATCGCCAATTTTGCTGTATGTTTATTTTTACATCATTTGTTGATTACTTCACTTATAATTATTTTTGATATTTAAAAACAGCAATATTATTTTGCAATTAAATAAAGAACAAAAATTATTATATAATTTAAAAATACTCTCTTCATTAATCTTTAAATTGCAAAATATTTTTCTGTTTATCTATCAATTAAAATATTAATAAAAGCCTTGTGACTGATTTGCAATTTTTTACACAGTTGTCACACATCCTCGAGAAACTCCATGGCCGCGACAAATCCGGGACGCCTTCTTAAAGATCGCGAATACCGAAGTAATAAAATGCGAAACCGAAAGTGAATTACTCGAGGAACTATTAACTTTAATGCAGAAAGCAGACCCGGATTTAATAATAGGCTACGACTGCGCATTTCAATTTGACGTCTTGATGCAAAGAATGTTTTCATTAAAAGTGTCAAATTGGAACAGAATGGGAAGATTAAAATCTACAACTCCTCCTTTACTCAGGGTAAACATGTATCTTTTTTAAAAATCGAAATTAATATTATATACAAATCAGATAACGAATGTAGTAAAAGAATTTAATTCAAATTATATCTTTTAGGGAAAGATAATCCTCAATCAAGCATTTGTCGGTCGTCCAATTTGTGATATACAAATCTCGGCAAAGGAATTAAATTTGAAAGTCAGAAGTTATGATCTGCAATCGCTTTGCAGTGCAGTAAGTTGCATGATACATTAATGTCATATTCCTCGAAATATAAATTAATATCATACAAGTTTAATAAATATTTGTGATAGGTGTTAAAAACGAAGGAACATGAATGTAAAGAGATTACGCCGGCGGAGACTCTATTGTTCTACAATACAGCGGACAAAATTCTGAATCTAATACACATGACGTTAAAAGAAGCAAAATTCATTATAACCATAGTAATAGATCTCAACATTATACCGCTCGCACTTCAAATCACCTCTCTAGCTGGTATTACTTGCTTTAACATCTTTCTTTCAATTAATATTTTAAATATAACATTTTATATGTACCATCAATCTTCGAACGTAGGAAATATCTTATCGAGAACACTGTTAGGCGGAAGAGCAGAAAGAAATGAGTATTTGTTGTTGCATGCTTTCCATTTGAAGGATTACATAACTCCGGACAAGAAAATTGAGAAGAAAGCACGAGATGACGGTGAGATGTCAATATATTTTTGTATATTGTTATACGCGATTATATGTAACTAATGCTAAATCACGCATTAGATGGTCCGCGTAGAAAGGCTGCGGCATATATCGGAGGCCTGGTGCTCGATCCGAAGAAAGGTTTCTATGACAAGCTGGTGCTATTGATGGACTTCAATTCCCTGTATCCGAGTATCATACAAGAATATAATTTGTGCTTCACCACTGTACCTGGTGCGGCGTATGCCGATGTCGAGGTAATTCTTCGTCGCGAATAGATCAAAGTGCTTTGGATAAAAACGTAATTCGCATGATTTGTAGCAATTGAGTATTCCCGAATCGAATTTGGAGGCCGGTGTGATTCCAACCGAAATTCACAAATTGGTCAAGAGTAGACAGCAAATAAAACAATTAATGAAAACGCCGAATCTTACACCTGAACAAAAAATGGATTATCATATCAGGCAGATGGCATTGAAACTTACAGCCAATTCAATGTATGGATGTCTGGGAGCGACACATTGTCGATTCTATGCCAAAGGTCTTGCCGCTCTGATAACTAGTAAGTTGTGAAATAAATATCTAGAATGACACAACATGTAATATATATCCACTGTTGCTCTCAGCTAAGGGTCGACAGATTCTGGAGGATACAAAACATTTGGTTGAGAAATTGCAGTATGAGGTGATTTATGGTGATACCGATTCCTTGATGATAAACACCAATATTTTAGAATACGACGATGTTTTCTCGATTGGTAGAAAAGTATGGAAAATTTTATGTATATTAATTTATCATCAATTATAGTATTAAAGTATTAAATGTTTATATATATATATATATATATATATATATATATTATATTATATTATATTATATTATATTATATATACAGAATGTTTCAGACCACCCGTACTACCCATTTAAAAACTAGAGAAGTGGTTATTTCAAAAAAGTAAAAACATTTTCTTTATAAATCTTTTTCTTTATAAATGAAAAATAGGGGGTTTCATTTAAAAAAATGCACTTCCGGTGTGAATCGCCTATTTCCGACCGGAACCAAAAGTTGAAAATATCACCATTCGATAGAACGCACCCGATTTATAAAGAAAATGTTTTTACTTTTTTAAAATAACCACTTCTCTAGTTTTTAAATGGGTGGTTTTAAATGGTACGAGTGGTCTGAAACACCCTGTATATTATATATATATATATAAAATAAATGCTATATATTATACGGGATAATATATTTTCTAGATTATGCGAGAAGTCAATAACCGATATAAAAAAGTCGAATTAGACATAGACGGAGTATTCCGATACCTATTGCTTTTGCAAAAGAAGAAATACGCTGCTGTTGCAATGACAAAATTGCCAAATGGTCAGATGCAATTAATACAGGAACACAAGGGCCTGGATATTGTGAGAAGAGATTGGTGTCCATTGGCTTGCGATACTGGAAAGTAAGTGGACATATTTCTAGAAATTAATTTTATTCTCATTATGTTAAATCTAATATTATTCGTCTTCTCTCTCTTAGAAAAGTTTTAGATATACTTCTCTGTGATCAAGCAAGCGAAACACGTCTGGAGCAGGTTGTTCAGATTCTGCAGAATGTTGCGAAAGGCGTGAGAGAGGGGACGACTCCGCTATCGGCATTTGTCATCACTAAACAATTATCCAAAAATCCAGACGCGTATCCGGATAAGAAGCAATTGTCTCACGTGATGGTAGCGCTGAGATTAAATAAAGCGGGCGGTCGGATGTGGAAAGCTGGCGATACATTACCATATGTTATATGCGAGGTATCAAATTTGCAATCTTGATTCGCGAATTTTCCTGAGTTATAGAAACTGGAAAATACCAATAAATAAATGTCTGAAAAAAAAATTATATATTATTGTTTTATATTAGGATGGAACTGATGCGAGCGCGACGGAACGAGCGTATCACATCGATGAAGTAAAGAATAACGAGAAATTAAAGGTGGATGTCAATTATTACTTGTTGAGTCAAATATTTCCCGTGATATTACGAATCTGTGAACCTATCGAGGGCATCGACGATGTTTTCTTGGCCAATAATTTAGGTAACTTTGAACTTATATCATGAGCTTTAAAAAATGAAATAAATCTTTAAAAAAATTATATATATATATCTGTTAATCTGCTCTCCAGGTTTACAATTCGTTTACAAGCCGAAAACATTAGCTTGCGAGGCAACTCTGAACCTACCATTGGCTATCAATGACGATAGATTCAACAATTGTCTTCCATTGACATTTAAATGTAAAAATGAGCGATGCAATACGGACATAGTGATTACAGATACCATAACAGAGTTTGTAAGCTTACTTCGATACAATTTCAAAATTATTTCAAATTTTTTCTTCTCAGTGAAAAACTCGCATAATATTTATGACTTCCGCAGTATATTGAGAATATATTTAAGTGTTTGTTAATCTTACGTAGCATTCCGGTCGACAATTATCACTCAGTATGTGTCCCAATCAAGATTGTAAATTACCACCCTGGAAATACGCAAACATAATACAGAATGTGGTTCAGCTTGCTATGAGAAAAGCAATCGGCAGGTATTATAATGGTTGGTTGGAGTGCGAAAATCCACTTTGTTCTAACCGAACAAGAAGATTGCCATTAGATTTCGCGAGAAAGTTCCCGGATTGTCCAGCGTGCAAAGATGTTACTATGAGCAGAGTCGTAAGTTTAATCAAATACATTGCAAAAAATTTGAAATTTTCACTCTAAGATCATATTACATGTTTATTTATTTTCAGTATTCCGGAACAGATCTCTATAATCAGTTGTACTATTACCACAAGATGTTTGACATTAGTCAACCGGCTTACAAACGTAATGATTTTCTTTTATTACACGTTATATTAGAATCCGAAGAAACTGGATTAGAAGAATATTGATCTCTCAATCTGCTTTCAGATTTATTGTCCCAGTGTTCGCGAGATATGATCGCCGCGTATAATACGCTGAGAGAAGCGATCGACAGACAATTGAAGCGCAACAAGTTCTCGTGCGTAAATATCACAGGCATATTTAGCGGTAGTTCCAATGTAGCGATGTTCGGCAGTGCCGGATCGCGAGAGGATTTCGATGAATTAGGTGATCTGTCTGATGACACGGATAAGGAGATTTAAAAAGAAAAAAAAAACACATCGACCAAACAATAAGATATAAATCGAAAAGACTGCACTCGCGAAAACTTCTCATTAAATTATCTTTATTCGAGATAATACGTGAACTGTATATATATCCTATCTGCACGAATCCACATCTCACACATACGCACGCATACATGCATGACAAATCAGGAAAGGGAAATGTACTACGTCACATATGGTGGTAGCCCGAATTTTTCTGGTTGAAAGTCTTCGAGACTATTCAGGACCAAAGTCGCCTTGCTCGTATAATGTTTAGAAAGGTTTGGATCCGGTACCATAACGACCTGCATTCCGGCGTTCACTGCCGCTTCAACTCCGTTCGGCGAATCCTCGAAGACCAGGCACTAAAAATGACTCCGGCAATTAATCTTACATAAATTTTAATGGATGCTTATCGGTCAAAATGATATATCTCTTGCATGTGGAAGTATTTGAGAGTCAAGCTATCCGAAGAATACCTTCGGATTCGAAGATTACCTTCGAAGGATCCGGATTGTCACGAAAACGCTTGGCAGCCGTGAGAAATATATCGGGTGCCGGCTTTCCACTTACAACCTCGGGATCCGAGCCGCCGAGCACTATGTGATCGAAGAGGTCAAAGAGATCATGCCAACGACTGATTTTCACTTCGTAATTCTCTCGATCGGAGCTCGTGGCTAACGCGATTGGAATGTTATTTTCCTTTAAATGCTTCAAGAGCCGTACAGCGCCTATTATTTTAGAGATAAGATCATATATATTGTTATTCGAGATATATATTATATTACGTTATTGCATTGAATCTCAACGATCAATCTCGGTATTACCGGAGTATTACCTGGCATAGGATTAGTCTGTGGAAATAACTCCCGGCAGATCTCGGCAATTTCTTGTCTGAACTCCTCGACTGTTAATGGTAACTCTAACTCTTCAACTATGTAGCAGGCGACCTTCTTGATCTTGAAACCCATCACGTGCGCTTTATGCTCCCACGTGAATTCTTTGCCATAACGATTGGTGATACGATTGAAGGCCTTGGTGTACAAATATTCTGTATCTGCGAAAAAGAAAAAACAACTGCAGTCGAATTGAAAAAATTATCACTGTCCCATAGTTTTGGCAGAATTAATTTATTTACCGAGCAACAAACCGTCCATATCGAATAAGCAATGCGTGATCTTGTTGTATGCGTCGTCCGGCATCTTGCGATTTAAATCTCGGATCGGGGCTTGGAGGAATTTAATATTTCAAGTGCACTCAATGAGGAGATGAAGCACAAATAGCTCGGCTCGGAGGAACAGACAGTGAGAAAATTCTGCTGTAATCCAGATCAACTGCCTTATCTAATATGATAATATGTTTTTTTGTAGCCAATTTTTCTTCGATATATGAACGTATGAAATTGTACTTTGCAGAAAAATGGAGACGAAATCGTTTGTTCCAAGCGAATTTTACAACAAAGAAAATGGATTTATAAAGTATATTTTTTATGAAAGATATAAAAAAAAATATAAAATATGATTTAACGATAAAAGAAAAAAAAATAAATGTATATAATATAAAAAATATTAAGATTATTCTTAATATATAAGAATCATTTACATTAATTTCTTAGTGGATAAAGATGATATATGTATGTAATATTCTGAATATGTAATTTTGAAAATATTTGTTATATGTGTGTGAAAAAATAATATAATTTCAGTAAATAAATTATATTTTTAGAAAGGAAAGCTTTTTGGCGATATTCTTTCTAAAATTCTTTCGTTTTCGCGACAATCCGGATCCTAATTGATGTCAGCTTTTAAACTTCATATACGAATCCAAAAAGGAGGGAGAAGCCCTTAAAAAATTTTTAAAGTACAGAAAATGAGAAATTAAATATAATGAATAAATAAAAATATAAAAAAAATAAGAATATAATTATGCATAATTTAAAAAGAAAGGAAATATTGCAATGATAATAAAAATTAAAAACTAATAATTTGAGAAAAAATTGACCTATATAGGTCAAAGATCGCGCGGTTCGCGAGAAAAGGAACTGTACGTCAAATGTCACGTTCAAACATTTTATTCTCTCGCAACATGTATAAGAAATCATTATCGCGTATCATTCAGCCCGATTTTTGAACGTACTTGGACGTAAGGTTATCGATGTCCTTGATCAAACGTTAAGTAAATGACATTTCGTTCGCGTGAATGATTTAATACTTGGAAATTAACAAGCGCAATTTGACTTTTACTCGAAGATTACTCGTTCGTGTTCATCGTAATGTGCTTTTAGAAGAGCGACCGGACCGTCTGCGATTTTCCGCGGAAGATTTCCGTTTTATAATCGCCCGCGAGAACGACGTACGCACCTTAATCTCAATCGAGGAAACCTCGGAATCGGACGTTTCACGTGCAGCTCGCGGCTCGCGTTCGCACACGCAGTCTGACCAGCGCAGTGCGAGCGGCCGACCCTCTTTCACGACTGGTTCATCAGCAGTATGGCGGACGTAACAGAGGGAGAAAAGTTGTCGAAGAAGTGAGTATATGGAGAAAAAAGTGCGCGTTATATTATCGAGCGTAAGTTTCAATCCGTGGCCTACGATTGCGCGAGGATCCGCTTCCAGCGCGCGCGACATAACCTGGTGGTCCTGGTGAACGACATGCGGCTCGCGCCGCCACGCGGTCACCCACGTTGCACGCTTGACGCGAGATCCTGTATTCGTCCGCCCGTGTTTTCTCGCAGATAACGATATCTCTAAGACAGATCTAAGACCCTCTGACGCGAGCGCGTCACGTGGGTTAAAGTTTAATCCCGCGAGGTAACGACGATCATGCTCGGCACCTTGGGCAAAAGTCGCGCTATCGTGTCACAAACGCGCGCGTGGCTTGCGAACCGCGAGATAAAGTTGCGTCAGACGTCCCTACGTCGGTTCTCCAAGTGCGTAATGAATCGCTTGACGCAGCATCAGATCTCTGGAAAGATGCTGAAGCTATTCTGATTGTATTGCAGCGAGCAGAAGAGACGTCTCAAAGCTGAGCAGAAGGCTAAGGAGAAGGCTATAAAGGAGGAGGCTAAGGAACTTGTAGCAGCTATCAACAAGAATCAGAGTTCTAAGAAGAATGAGATCAAGGAGAGGAAGGAGGAAAATATTAGTCCAAATGTAAACAGTTTTGCTAGATAATTTATATCGTGAATATGTTAAGGAAATTTTTATCTTCACAAGTATGACTTGCAAAGAATTAAAAGCTTTTCATGAGCAAACAGCTGCATTTTTTTATACAATTCAGTTTCTGCCCCTTATGTTTCAACATTTCAAATTATTAATTAGTCTGTGTTATATAATGCAAAACTGAGTAATTCTTTTATTGTATTTTGTTACTAGGAATATTTCAAGCTCCGATCGAATATCGTCAGTCTACTCAAAACCGCCGATCAACCTTACCCGCATAAATTCGATGTGTCGATTTCTCTCACAAACTTTATCGAAGAGTATAGCAAGAAACTTAAGAATGGTGAACAAATGAAGGACACGATAGAAAGTGTCGCTGGACGTGTCCATGCTATTCGAGAATCCGGTTCAAAATTGGTTTTCTATGACCTTCGAGGAGAGGGTGTCAAATTGCAAATAATGGCCAATGCAAAACTGTATCAATGTCAGGATCTATTTGTAAGAGATACAGCCAAAATCAAGAGAGGCGATATTATAGGCGTTATCGGCTATCCTGCCAAAAGTAAAACGGGCGAATTTTCGATTATACCATCTTCAATTATTCTTTTGAGTCCATGTTTGCATATGTTGCCACATCTTCACTATGGTCTAAAAGACAGGGTAAGAAGTCATTTCACCAAAAGATACATGTTATAGAATTCTGCTGTAGAGACGATATAAATATATTATGTAAATATATTTGTAAAAATATTATATGTGTTAAAAATCTTTTTACTTATTATCAGGAAACGAGATTCCGACAACGGTATCTGGATCTTATATTGAATGACAAAGTTCGACGAATCTTTCACATACGCGCGCGGATAATCGCTTACATACGTAAGTTTCTGGATAATATGGGCTTCCTGGAAGTTGAGACTCCTATGATGAACATGATCCCTGGAGGCGCGACTGCCAAACCCTTTATTACGCATCATAACGAACTCAACAAGGATTTGTACATGAGAATAGCTCCAGAATTATATCTCAAGGTAAATAAATCTTTCCTTCTTCAAATTAAACTTGAAAAAATAAATTTATTCGAAAAACGAAAGAATGAGACTCAGTAAGATTAAAGCCATAAATATTTAATAGATGTTAGTCGTCGGTGGACTCGACAGAGTTTACGAGATTGGTAGACAGTTCAGGAATGAGGGTATCGACTTGACCCACAACCCTGAATTTACCACCTGCGAATTTTATATAGCATATGCGGACTATAATGATCTCATGGAGATTACGGAGAATATGATATCAGGCATGGTGAAAGCCATACATGGAAGTTGGAAGATAGAGTATAATACCAATGAAGGCTCAACACTTACGCTCGACTTTACACCTCCCTTTAAGCGCATTTCAATGATGGAGGAATTGGAGAGGATTCTTGATGTCAAGTTGCCAGCAGCAGATCAGCTTAATATACCAGAGGCAAATAAGATTTTGAGCGATCTCTGTGATCATCATAAGATCGAATGTCCTCCTCCTAAAACATCAGCGAGATTATTAGACAAAGTAAGAACGCAAATTTTTCTTGAAATTTTTTTTTAAATTTTTTCAATATGACACGTTTTCTTTAGATGGCATTTTACAAAATAAGAAATAATAGAAATATGTGTGAATTACTAATAAATATATGCAGTTATATATGCATATGTGTATAGAGATCCTAATTATATAGTATATATTTTATATATTTTTTTACAACAGCTTGTTGGTTCATTTATTGAAGATTCCATCATTAATCCTACATTCATCATTGATCATCCGCAAGTGATGTCTCCCTTAGCAAAATGGCATCGATCCAAGAAAGGTCTTACAGAACGATTTGAACTATTTGTTGGAACGAAAGAAATTTGCAATGCGTACACCGAATTGAATGATCCATTCATTCAAAGAGAAAGGTAATAAATTAATTTTTATTAAAATTTATATCATAAAAATACAATTTTTAAGAGATTAGAATCACATTTTCGTAAATTTTGAACACTAAATACGTGCATAGATTCGAGCAGCAAGCGATGGATAAAGCGGCCGGTGATGAAGAGGCGCAATTGGTTGACGAAACTTTCTGTACTGCTTTGGAATATGGTTTACCACCAACGGCAGGTTGGGGATTAGGTATCGATCGATTAACAATGTTCCTCACCGATACGAACAATATTAAAGTGAGTGTGATCAAATATATATTATATTTCCTAAAAGAAGCGAAAAAAAAATCGACATTTTAAAATTAATTTATCTTTTATAATTGAAATTGTTGAGAATTACAAGATTTTATTATATTGTCTTTTGTGTTAAAAGACATATAATAGATATATAATTTCCTTTTTACAGGAAGTATTGCTCTTCCCTCACATGAAACCAGACGAAAATCCAAATAAAAATAAAGAGATTGTTGAGGATGATAAAGCATTAAGTGATAATGGGGAAAAATAAAATAAAAGGTAATTAAAATATTTAAATGATAATTTAGAAAGCACTTAAAGCAGTAAAAAACACTTTAATATTTATTGTTAAAATGTAAATGTTATTTTTTTTCAATAGATAACTGCGGCTTATACACAAAAAATATATATATATATATACAATATATATATTTTTTAATTTTAAATTAAACTGCATTGAAGATATATAAACAGTGTTTTTCTTTCTTGTGTATATTATATTTATTTGATGCCCGACTACAGAACACTCATTATACAAACGAATATATATTTACAAAATCGCAAGAACACGGAGTAGAACAGCATCATTCATGTGTGTATAAATTAGAATGTTCCTTGTCTTCTAATGTAACAATTATAAATCATTTATTGTATTCCTTGTTTTTCCTTCTTTTCTTCACTTTTATATTATCATATCACATAGCAAACAGAATTTCCAAGATTACTTATTCAAACTATTGTTTATAATCTTTTAGTCATCAGTGATTTATAAGGCAATCAAACTTAAAACAATATATCATTCTTTAGAAAAATCATTCTCATACCTAACTCAAAATAATTTAAAAAAATTATAAATAAAAAATTTATATTATAAATAAGAATCTCTGATATATAATACATCTTTGGAAATCTCTAAGGAGTTAACTAAAAAATTTATTTGTAGAAGAAACAAAGGAAGATTTCTCTAATTAAGAAACATTCTAATACTCTTATATGGGACTATGTGTTTTAAAGTTGTAGAAATTTCAATTTATCAATCTATAGAAGCCTATTTATTCCAAAAAGTTTGGGATCAAAGATTTAACTTTTATGAGCCAAAATAAATTAGAGTACTTTTATTCTTTTTTGTATCCAATCTGTTCGTCACAGTTTTGAGTCAAGTTTTGGAACGCAATTCTGGAAGTTCTCTATAGGCGCAGGTTTGATAGCCGTTTCGCAACAGCTACTAATGAACACGAATAGTATGCGCGATAAAGAAAAGGAACGACACATACTTCATCAATCTTTTTGGAAAAAAAAAACTGAAGAACATCGAAGAATCTTAATAAGTACTTACATAATATCTGCTGGCAGCATATTTTTATATTGTCTGATATCCATGTTTGAAAAATATATAAATATTCTATATAAAGTTAATCTCTAATAACACAGGAACTTTAAATCAGCTTTGCACAACATCAAAGTTTTGAAATATTTTAGTTATAATAAGTCAGTCAAATCTAAACAATCCTAAAGTTCATTGTCCAATTTTCATAGCACATTTAATACCAAATATAACTGTTAAAGTTTACTTATCTAATATAAGAATCACATGTGAGATTAATATGAGGCACATGCAACTATTTATTAGTATTGAATGTGAATATATATGATTTTAATATATATAAAAGTATTACATTTGGATTTCTGAGAATTCTAAGTTTCAATAAACACAAGAAATGTATATTTGCCATATAAAGCTTTAGGAATAAGTATAAAAATTTATGTTTTTGGAATTTACAGATAATCTACTATTTATATTTCAATAGAACTTGGCAATCATATTTAGTTTAAATGTGCAGATCAAAATTTCAAATTGGATTAAAATGATCAAGAAGATACGTTTTGATGATTCATTGATATGTATCTTGCATTTAACTAATAACTATAGAAAAAAATTCCTAAAATGTGTGACTATTAAGATTGAATCCGTTATTTTGAACAATAATGTATTTTCAGCACAGATTTAGTCTAAAATATAACTTTCCAGTTTTTGTTTTATGGTAAAATTTGTGATATATTTTACATTTAATCTTTTAATAGTCACAATACACATTTGAGGAATTTCTTTTATAAACATTAATAGCTAATAATCACTCGCGTAATAATTGTAAAAATATGATTCTCATCGGAAGATTGAATGTTCTCTCTGCTGGCAGCATATTTTTAGTATTTCATATATCCTTAAAAATATTTTTATAATGTCTAAAAATGTATAGTTATTTTCCCTACAGGACAAATTAATTTAGTAACTAATGAAGCACATACTCATAAATCGAGATATGTGTAATCCAATCATTTGATAATAACTTGAAGACAGTTGTAAGACAAATATATAAATCTAGAAGAAACTTTCATCAGCTCTCCTCGTCCTGAACGCATTTTGTAACGGAATTATAATGAGCGCCTAACTCGTACATATGACGATGATAAGTCAATGTTACCTTCTTATCATTGCTGTATTCATCTCCGATGATATAAGGAGCTCCTGTAGCTTGTATGACTTCAATTGGGCATTTCAATATACGCGACAATACTTGCAACTGCAATATGTTATCAAAATGTTATCAAATGTTACCAAAATGTTATCAAAAAAATTACATATATTAATCAATAGATTAAATCACAGAGGAAGTAACTTGATTGTAAAAATCTACTTATATCCATATTTGTTCTATATTTTAAAAGTATATACGTCTATATTTACCTCAACAGCACCACCCCAAGCGCTTGTTTCAGCCACATCATTGCAATATTTTTCATATTCCTCGGGCGTCAATAAATCCTCAGAATCTGGATTAGAAAGAAATGGTAGAAAATCGTTCATGTTTTCTTTCAAATAATCTGCAGTTTTTGTTCTGAGATCATCTAAGCTCAGAGGTGTTTCCCCATTTATTTTAAGTTGATGTACCACTGCATTATATAAACTACAAACAAAAATTCAGGCTTTTATATATTTGAATAAACAAATCTCAAATAACATCTAAATTATTATACAATATATTGTTAGTCCTTCATTCTTGCTTTTCTCAGCAAAATAAATAAGATTATACATAATTAAACAAGGATAACAAAATTTTTACCAGTGGCCATCACTAGGGATTTCATAGATCATCAAGTTCTGTTTGGAAAGAATTTCTTTTATGGCCTCCGTTTCAATGTTTCTTTTGCCAAAGATGTTAAGTGTCTCTTGCTCAATGATTCTCTGATTGCGTTCCTTCTCTGCAATTGCTTTTTTTTCTCTCCTCTTTTGTGCTTTGGAAATTCTGTGTGTTGATTGTTCCAAGCTACTATTATCCTTATCGACTTCTTTGCTCACTTGTGCAGACTCTGTCTGCTGATCATTCAGAGTAACATGTGCCAATCTCCATGCATTCAATTCCTCTGTGTGCTGTTTTTCTAAGCTTTCTTCTAAACGCCCTATCTCTTCTGCAATCTCTTTCTTCTTCTTTTTGTCACCTTTGCAAATGGACTTTTTTAAAGTTTGTATCTGTGCTACAATCGAAAAAATCAGAAAGAAAACTTTAAATTGATTGACATTGTGTAAAAAAAAATTTTAATCTTATCAAATTGGAAAATGACTAAAATTACATAAATTTACTGTAAAGAAAAAAAAAAGAAAAAAAGATTGCACAAAATTGTAGGTGATAGGAAATTTGATTTCTGATTTGAATACCTTGCAACTCCTTTCGCTCTTTCTTGTGTTTCTGCATTAATTCCTCCTCCGTTAATATTGAATCTATCATTTTCTCTTAATCAGTTTTAAATATAACCTGTACAATCAATCGTGAATGAAATTCTTGCTCGTGGAAGAATCGTGCGCTTTACGTCACGATGGAAAGACCGAAAGCGGAGATGGAAGGAGGACGAGAATGGATGAACAGAATGGACGTGACCAGAGAGAAGACAGAGGTCTTATGACCTGCTTTTAGATAATCCCCGAAAGCGGTACTCCCTCTATGAACATTGAAAACGTGGACATGAACTACAAAGCCAATGTCCATGAATATTCTCAGAGGGTAATATATAATGTATACAATTTTTGGTTTTGTTCCGTGCTATGTGCACGAAATGCCAGTAATAGTGTTGTATAACAAGATACTTATGTATGTAAATTGATAGTAAATAAATTATTCAATCGCGAAAGATACTGTAATATTCAAAGATGAAATAAATATTTTTTCTATATTCATTGTCATATTTATATCTTTTTATTTACAAAACACAAAATGCCTGTTGTGGGATAAAAACATTTTTAATCGTATTTCTATAAATCTTCTTAATTAGCAATAAACTGATCTTTGATATTTATCAATCATTTTTTTAATTATTTAAAAATTTAATTATTAATACATGTATAATGTATAATTAATACATATAGAATTTGTCCAATTAATCAATGATTCTTCTAAAGTTTTTATTATTAAGACTCCAAAAATATAGATGTTGCAAAATATTTTAAGTCTCTTCCTTTATATAAAATATAAAGAATTCATATGTTCTATTTTAATATAACTAACATTATTTTTATTATAATTTTCATAACATTTTTATGCTTAATATAATATTTTTAATCAACATAATATTTTTATGCTTAATTTAATATTTTTATGCTAAATACATATTACAAAATATATACAAAATATAATACAAATTTAATATAAAATATAATTCGAAATTTAATACAAAATAATTTATTACATGGAATAATTTATTACACGAAAATGTCCAAAATATACGTATAATATAAAATTTACTAAAAATTTTAACATAGTCCAGACGAGACTGATTAGCGAAGATTAATTACGCGACATTTATTATTAATAATAATAGATATGCAATAATAGAATTTAATAAGTTTTACGTATAACGTAAATAATCGTGATCAAAAGAGTCATTAATAAAATTATTGATCGTTTCTTTAATTGTAAAAGAAAGTATTTGCATTACTGGCGCATTTTATGTAGATTATCAAAGGAAATATTTAAAATGAAAAGATAGAATAAACTTTGAAATCAACAATTAAATTACTAAATAAATCGCGATTTAAAATTCGCGAGAAAACGCGACGAATAAATAAATCGACAATAATCGGAACATTCGATTGCGAGATACGCATAATTTTTATAATATGATAATCGAAACCATCAATACACACGCGTGCGATATAATTATTATTATCCAAATGATGATAGATGAAGATATTTTGGCAAACATTTGTGATCCGTATTGTTTATGAACATAAAATTCACTGTCCGATTTATTTGCGATTAATACGCGACTTTATACGAATTTCACGATTGAGAATAAAATACACATCCTATTTCGCGCATGATTAACTGAATAAGATGAAATGAGCTCTGTAAGCTTTAAAATATAATTAAAAATCGCGCTGTAGCCACGTTTAATAAAGAATAACGGAACGAATAATTTTCAAAGTCCCTCTAATAATCGATGTAATTGTAGAGTTTAATAAGATTTAAATAATGTAAAGAATCACGTTTAAAACAGTCATTAATTATCGTCTTTTAAATTATAGAAGAAAATATTTGCACTACCAGCATTCTGCAAACTATTAAAAACAATATTCAAAGACGTGGAAACAAAGCTTCAATGTATAAGTCAACGATTAAATTATAAGATAAATTGTGACTCGAATTAACGAAAAAACGTGACGAATAAATAAGTCGATAATATGCGGAATATTTGATCGCGGTACGTATAATTTTTATAATATAATAATCGAAGTTCTCAATAGACACGTGCGCAATATAATTATTATCACGTAAATATAAAAAATCGAAAATATTTCGACAAACATTTGAAGTCTGTAATGTTTGTAAATATGCAATTCACCGATCGAATTTACTTGCGAATTTTTATAAGATAAATCGCGATTTAAAATTCATGATAAAACGCGATGAATAAATAAATCGATATTCAGAATATTCAATTGCAGATACGCGAGTGACATATACTGGTAATATCCGATAAAAAGAGGAGCGATCTTAAAAATGAAGAACGATTAACATCTTGTTTCTACATCAGATTTCGCAAAATCAATCTGCGAAGAAAAGTTAAGTGATCTATTGAACGTCGAGAACTTCATTGTAAGAGCGAATCCCGAATCTTTCGGATTATTCTCAATAGCAATGATTTCAGTATTAAATCAATGACAACTATCCCTAGTCATTATCTTCAATTTACGAAATTGATATTCATGTCAGAAAACATGTTCTTACATTATGAAGAAATATATTTTCTTATTGAAAAATAAATGGATATAACGATTTTGATAGAAATATGATTACGAACGATTATATTTATAAATAATGAAATACATGCGTTATTGGAGTTTGTGTTAAAAGTGCGAACACATATAACTTGGGGTACCGTTCGCGCGCGCGAGACGAATCGAATTCGATATCAGCAAGAATTAAAAAATTTCAATTCGAACAGTGTGCAAAATAAAATAAATCAAATAATTTTAAACAATTAATTCTGGATTAATTCTCTAGATTCTTATTCTTATAACGTTTAAATTAATAATTTCTTTTCTTTTAATCAATATCTTACTGATATAGGGATACCCATTCAATTTGTCTCGAAACTTTTTAGTATTCGCACATTTTATGTAATATTCATGTAACGTTTATAATTTCGTTTATATATAATATAACATAATATATAACAGTATTAAAAATTATAAAAATATTTTGGATACGTGCATGTATTTTATTATACATATATACAAAATGGTATATACCTAGAAACTAATATTTCAAAATAGCGATGGATGTCCAACACCTGTAAATAGTTTCTTAAAAGAAACTAAAAATTAATGTTAATATCCCCAGCACCTAGAAATAATTTTTCAAAAGAGACAAATTATAATAATTAAAAATATATTGGTTCATAATCATTTTTGTCAAAAAAATTATACAAATTAATTACCATGAAATTACTTGAAAAATTAAAATTTATACACAACGCTATATCCATATTTAATCTACTATTAAATCTTTCTGGCATTATATATATATACAATAATAATACCAATCCTAATAATAATAAAACATTTTTAACGAAGAAAAGAAAAGATACATTTCTCTTATTTAAATTAATTCGACGTTAAAGAAGCGTATCGTTGTTGAATTAACGTTAAAAAAGCGTATCGTTGTTGAATTACTACCGAAATCATTGGAAATTGCCAGGAAAACCTGAGATTAGTTCCTTCAATCTTACAATAAAAATTCCCAATTTTTAACAGGGCACCGAACTAGACGTCGTGAATGGATCTCACAAGAACTGGTGAGAAATAATTCTCTTAATGATAACTCTTTTATTAAAACGACAATCTCGTCTAAAAACGCGAAAAAGAACGCAAGAAAAACACGGTGTTTTTGCAATGGTAATTTATTAATTTATTTATGAATATTTTCCGATACAAAAAAAAATACAAATATAACTGAAAAAACAAATTATTAAATTCATAATTAACTCGCGATTCTATAATATCAAAGGTGATCGTTAAATTTCGTGAAGCTAATATTTAATCGTTGACTTATCACATCGAATCTTCACTCTCTTATTCGACATTTCTTCATATTTAATGAGCAATATTTAGGAATATTATCTGACGAGAGGGACAGCGATAAAATTCTTCTTTTAAAATGATAATCTTGTATAAGGACGTGAAGAGAACGCGGAAAGAACATGGTATTTTCTCAATCATAATTTAATAATTTATTTTAAGAATATTCAGTTCCGCGCAATATGGAATTCATAAATAAATAAAGCATATCATTAAATCTATAATAATTGACTCGCGATTCTGTAACGAAAGCATCTGTCAAATTTTATAATGCTTATATTTAATCATTAATTTAGAATCGAATTTTTACATTTTATATAAAAATTTTCCGAATTTATTAATGACTCTTTGACATGAAAATACAAATTGTTACTCTTTTATGAATATTCCAAAAATATATACTACAGAAACAAATATTTTAATTTAATGAATTACTATTATGTTAATTACTATTATGTAATCATTATACGTACTTTCGATCATTTTTCGTGTAATTTTGCATAAGAATTTACAATCGTAAATACAATTTTATATAATATAATTATAGTCATAATTGTATTATATTTTACAATTAAAATATCAATGTTAGATTATAATGAAAATACAATTATAACTATTTATAATTTACAATTTATAATTTACAAATTTATGATGCTATCAATATCAAATAATAATATTCCATTCATTCAAATATTTAATAACATCGATATAATAATTTGATATTAATAACATTAACATTTGAATTAAATATTATATTTGATTTAATACACATATTTTTAAGTTTTAAAATAAAATATAACATGTTTAGATTTCTTAAACGTTAATAATTATGCAATTTCTTTAATATTTCTGAAGATAATTTGGATAACATAAATTTCACTTTTAAAACATTTTTATTTTTAAAACATGTTACATTTATTTTCACAATGTTTCTAAAAATAAATTGAATTTAATTAAAATAATTTTAATCTACCTCTAGGATTATTGGAATATTAAAAGAAAGAATGAATCTTTCTTAATAGCCCTAACAGCCCTATTATTAAAGAATTCTAATAATTTTAATAGCTCTAACAATCCTACTATTACAAAATTCTAATGATCATAAGAGCCCTAACAACCCTAATATTAATAGAAGAATTCTAATGATGTTACTTAATAGTCTTAACAACCCTACTTCCTGATTAACTAAAATTATTCGAGATTTGAGGAACCTATCTCTAATCACCTCACCTAATCACGTATATATTTTAGTCACTTGCCCTAACCGAGTGCCGTAACTGCGTACCC